TGTGTGTATGTAATGTTCATTTGTAAATTTTATGTTTATGCCATTTTTTTCTTGTATGTACTGTTTATGTTACTGGGAAACCGCTCTGAGTCCCCTTGGGGAGATAGAGCGGTATATAAATAAAGTTTTGTTGTTGCTGTTGTTGTTGTTGCTGTTGTTGTGGGATTAACATAACTCAAAAACCACTGGGCGAATTGACACCAGATTAGGACACAAGACACCTATCAGGCCAACGAGTGTCCATCAGTCATAAAAACATGGAAAAACACAACAGAAGGGACTTAAACCCACCCACACACCCACCCACCCCCAATAAATAATACATTCACACATATATACACACACAAAGCACATATACATAGACTGGGCCACAGCAACGTGTGGCAAGGGACAGCTTATATATATATACAGACTGGGCCACAGCATATGCTGTCCCTTGCCATGCGTTGCTGTGGCCCAGTCTGTGTATATGTGCGTTGTATGTGTGTATATGTGTGAATGTATTATTTATTTTGGGGGGGGGGGGGGAGTTAAGTCTCTTCCGTAATGTTCGTTTGTGGGATTAACAGAACTCAAAAACCACTGGATGAATTGACACCAAATTTGGACACAAGACACCTCTCAGGCCAACGACTGACCATCACTCATAAAAACACTGAAAAACACAGCAGAAGGGACTTTAAAAAAAAAAATACATCAATGCGCAAAACCACACACACATGCAAACACATAAGTATACACATATACACAAATATATACAGACACACAGAAAACACATATACACAGACTGGGCCACAGCAACGCATGGCAGGGGACGGCTAGTGTACATATATATATATATATATATATATATATATATATATATATATATATTTGTTTGTTTGTGGGATTAACATAACTCAACAACCACTGGAATTGACACCATATTTGGACACAAGACACCAATCAGGCCAACGAGTCACCATCACTCATAAAAAACACTGGAAAACACAGCAGAAGAGACTTAAAAAGGCCCCAAAATAAAATAAATAAATTACAACGCATGCACCAAACCACACATATACGCAAACACACATATATACTCACACATGGCCATACAGCCCAAAAACACCTAGAACAACCCATCTACACACACATATATACACATACAAATCACATATACACAGACTGGGTCACAGCAACGCATGGCAGGGGATGGCTAGTATCTATATAAATAAAAATGTAATGTTTGTTTGTGGGATTAACAGAACTCAAAAACCACTGGGCGAATTGACACCAAATTTGGACACATTACACCTCTCAGGCCAACGAGTGACCATCACTCACAAAAACACTGAGAAACACAGCAGAAGGGACTTTAAAAGCCCAAACATAAAAATAAATTACAATGCATGCACCAAACCACATATATACACATATATACAAATATACACACACACAAAACACATATATACAGACTGGGCCACAGCAATGCGTGGCAAGGGACGGCTACTTATCTATATTGGACACAATACACCTCACAGGCCAATGAGTGACCATCACTCATAAAAACACTGAAAAACACAGTGGAAGAGACTTAAAAAACACAAAAATTAAAAAAATTACAATGTATGCGCCAAACCACATGTATACACATATACACAAATATATACACACACAAAACACATATACACAGAGTGGGCCACAGCAATGTATGGCATGGGATGGCTAGTGTGTGTGTTTGTGTGTGTGTGTGTGTGTGTGTGTGTGTGTGTGTATACTAGCCGTCCCCTGCCACGCGTTGCTGTGGCCCACATGGGGGTTGAGTGTGGGAGGTTTGGCCCAATTCTATTGTTGGTGGGGTTCAGAATGCTCTGAGATTGTAGGTGAACTAAAAATCCCAGCAACTACAACTCCAAAATGTCAAGATTCTATTTTCCCCAAACTCCACCAGCGTCCACATTTGGGCATATTGAGTATTGATATTCGTGTAGAGTTTAGTCCAGATCCATCATTGTCTGAGTCCACAGTCATCTTTGGATGTAGGTGAACTACAACTCCAAAACCAAAGGACAGTGCCCACCAAACCCTTCCAGTATTTTCTGTTGGTCATGGGAGAACTGTGTGCCAAGTTTGGTTCAATTCCATCGTTGATGGGGTTCAGAATGTTTTTGATTGTAGGTGAACTACAAATCCCAGAAACTACAATTCCCAAATGACAAAATCAATTTTTTTGAGTGGAGAACATACATTGGGTTGCCAATTGCCCCAGTGGTTTTTGAGTTCTGTGGATACCACAAACGAACATTACATACATACATACATACATACATATATATATATATATATATATATATATATATATATATATATATATGGTTGATGGCCAGTACCAAAAAACGAACTAACGTTGGAATAGGAACATATACATATATATGTGTGTCTCTTTTTCCACAGGGACCCCCAGGTGGTAGTGGGATCAAAGGCGAATCAGGAGATATGGGGCCGCAGGTATGTACGTTCCCACCCGAGAAAGCTATTGTGACGAAAACGTCCCACCATGTCCATAGAGAAACATATGCTTTCCTCTAGCATGATTCTAGAATCCATCTAACAAGGTTGTCCAGTCCACCTTCGTAATGTATATTCCCATGAATCTCATGCATTGTCCTCTGTGTCAGCTTATTATTTCCTATCTTTTTCAGGGTCCACGAGGTGTCCAAGGCCCTCCAGGTCCATCAGGAAAGCCAGGACGTCGGGTATGTATGTAGAAGCAGATAATTTCCTATGTAGCTGCATGAATGGTCAGTCTTTGGGGAATGAAGCGAGGAAATCAGGTCCGTTTCCCCCAAACTTCGCTCTCAGGAACTGTTTTAAGTCCATGTTGAAAGTAATGGTAGCCTTAGAAGAAGAAGAGAAGCCAGTTGAAGAAATCGTGCCATGATTAGGGTCACCTTGCTGCTGTTGGAGTCAGGAGGAGAGCTTTAAATTGGCTGTCCTCCTTTCTTCACAACCGTGGACAGCGAGTGGAGAGGGGAGGCCTGGTCTCTGAGAGGTCCCCTCTATCTTGTGGGGTTCCTCAGGGGGCCATTCTCTCCCCTCTGTTGTTTAACATCTATATGCGACCACTTGCTCAGCTGGTTCAAGGTTTTGGGCTTGAGTGTTATCAGTACGCCGATGACACTCAGCTGGTGCTGAAGATGGAAGGCTGACCGGACTCTGTACCCGATTATTTCCATCAGTGCCTCGAGGCCGTTACTGGATGGCTGCGTGCCAGCAGGTTGAGGGTGAATCCAGCAAAGACGGAGATCCTATGGCTGGGTCAACCGGGCAGTGGGGATATCCAGCTGCCTACCCTGGATGGCGAGGCGCTACACCCGTCATCATTGGTAAAGAGTCTGGGAGTCCTTTTGGACCCTCTGCTGACGATGGAGGCCCAGGTCTCCGCCGTGAGCAGAACCGCCTTCTTTCTCCTGCGGCGGGCTAGACGGCTGACCCCCTCCCTGTCCAGGGACAACCTAGCGACGGTGATCCAGGCCACGGTCATCTCAAGACTGGACTACTGTAACGCCCTCTACATTGGCCTCCCTCTGTCAAGTTAGTTCAAAATGCAGCTGCTCGGCTTCTTGCGATAACTCCGATGAGATGCCACATAACACCAATCTGATTGCAGCTGCACTGGTTACCAATTGAGCACCGGATCACTTTCAAAGTGATGGTACTCACCTTTAAGGCCTTGCATGGTCTGGGGCCGATGTACCTGAGGGACCGCCTCACCCCCTACCAACCCCAGAGATCCCTCCGCTCTGAGGACCAAGATTTATTGGAAGTGTCAAGACCTTGCGCCTAACAGCAACTAGACGCAAAGCCTTCACAGCAGTGGCACCATCGCTCTGGAATACTCTGCCACCTGAAGTCCGTGCCTTGCGGGTAGGGGCAGCTTGTCCATTATGCAAAGTAAGTGGCCGCAGTACTTTTTTTTTTTTGCCAGGGGCGCAGAGGCACCTATGTAAATGCCCCTCGACCGCCACTTGAGGAGCGCCCCCTCGGCTCACAACAGCCCTAGCAGTCCGGGGTGAGCCTTGGCTTCCTTGCCTCTCTGCCGGGCAATCCTCTTCCTGAAGTGGCCAGGCCCTTGAGTCTCACCTAGCCCCGCTCGTTCCTGCTCCATATCAATGATTGGTTGGGGGGGGGGCACCAAAATACTGTTTGCTTACCGTTGAAAATTACCTAGGGCCGCCTCTGCTTGCGGGACCTATCAGCTTTCTGCAGGGCATGTAAGACATACCTCTTTCGACAGGCCTTTGATCTTTGTTTTTAAATTGTTTTAAATTGTGTTAGATTTTAGCCTGTTCTTGTAAGCCGCTCTGAGCCCCAGGGGAGTGGCGGCATATAAGTTTGAATAATAAATAAATAAATAAATACAATGATAATAAAGTCATGCGTAGCCTCCCTTTCACAGCTGTTGCTATTGAGAAAAGAGTCATTATTCCCAATTTGGCACCACACGACAGTGGCAAGATGGGACGATAGGCAAAGTCAGGCTCACGGGGTGGGATTCTGGCTGGAGAATACATTCTGCAGTCCATGAATTGCTTCATTTCCCCATGCCAACCAGCATCTATGTCCTTACATGACTTGGAATGCCACCAGAAATGCCAAGGACAGATATCTTCCCTGCTATGATGAGCTTAATTTCCATTCCCCTGTTCCTCTTTTTCTCTTCCTTACCAGGGACGTGCCGGTAGCGATGGCGCCCGAGGGATGCCAGGCCAGACAGGGCCAAAGGTAATCTGTACCCAATTTTGACCCTTGGATCCCATTTCTTTGGAGACTCACAGACGTTCTAGAAAGGGTTCTGAATGTGGTACGAGTGACCCGGGGTTTTCATGGCCATGGATTTGTCTCTGCATTCCTGGGAGGGAAACCTTGCCTTTCTTTCCCTTTTTCCCTTTCTCCCTCTCTGGCGCTGTCCTCAAAAGCGACAGAAGTCATTAACCCGTGCATCTAAATGCAAAGGAAGTTTGCCTGGAAGTCATATATTAGAAGGTTTAAGTGCTTGATGATGGGGGAAACTTGAAGTGGAAATGGAAAGGAGGGGAGACAAGGAGCCGCAAATCATTGGTCCCCGAAGTGCGGCAGCCGTGGTTGTTGTCGTTTGCTTTTCCCCCCAAGGAAGGAACATTAGGGGAAAGGGGAGGAGAGAAGGGGGGCTGTATAATGGATAGCCTGCGAGCCAGAAACTCATTGAAGAACACGCGAGGAGACTCCAGAACCCGAGAGGGACATCATTCATTGCCTCCCCCTGTTCTCCCTGCTGCCTCCGACAAGGACAACTGAAATTGCTTCCCTCGGGTCAACCCATTCAGGTTGAATTTAGGGCAGAATGACAGGTGGAGGGAAAAAAAACAAGCCCTATTGCATCTGAACATACACAACCAACCGAATAATCCACCTTATGCCCCGAGGACATTAGAATGGATCCCTTTTTGTGACTACGGAAGCTCCCCAATTTGGGAGAAGCCATCTGCGAACAACCTGTACCTTGCAAAAAGTACCAGATTGCGTCCCCAAAAATCGGAGACACCTCCTGTTTTGTGGGGTTATATTCTGGGACCTCTGGAAGCTGCCCAACCCCAAAAACCCCTCGATTAGGGTGACCCCACCTCCAAAGAACCTGAATCTTGCCAAAAGTACAATTTTGCGTCCCCAAAAGTTGGAGACACCTCCAGTTTTGTGGGTTCACTGTCTATGACCCCTGGAACCCGCCCAACCCTGAACAACCTGAACCTTGCTAAAAGTACCATATTGTGTTTCCAAAAGTCAGAGACACCTCCCGTTTTATGGGGTCACTTTCTGTGACCCCTGGAAGCCACCCAACCCCAGAAACCCCTCGATTAGGGGGAGCCCAACTCCAAACAACCCGAACCTTGCCAAAAGTACCATATTGTGTTTCCAAAAGTCGGAGGCACCTCCAGAAGCCACCCAACCCCAGAAACCCCTCGATTAGGGGGAGCCCAACTCCAAACAACCTGAACCTTGCCAAAAGTACAATATTGTGTCCCCAAAAGTCAGAGACACCTCCAGAAGCCACCCAACCCCAGAAACCCCTCAATTAGGGGGAGCCCAACTTCAAACAACCTGAACCTTGCCAAAAGTACAATATTGCATCCACAAAAGTCAGAGACAGCTCTAGTTTTGTGGGGTTACTTTCTGTGACCCCGGGAAGCCGCCCAACCCCAGAAACCCCTCAATTAGGGGAATCCCAACTCCAAACAACCTTGCAAAAAGTATCAGATTGCATCCCCAAAAGTCAGAGAAAACTCCAGTTTGGGGGGATTACTTTCTGGGACCCCTGGAAGCTGCACAACCCCAGAAACCCCTCAGTTAGAGGAAGCCCAACTCCAAACAACTTGAACATTGCCAAAAGTACAGTATTGTGTCCCCAAAAGTCAGAGAAACCTCCAGTTTTGTGGGGTCACTTTCTGTGACCCTAGAAGCCACCCAACCCCAGAAACCCCTCGATTACGGGGAGTCCAACTCCAAAGAACCTGAATCTTGCCAAAAGTACAATATTGCATCCACAAAAGTCAGAGACATCTCAAGTTTTGTGGGGTTACTTTCTGTGACCCCTGGAAGCCACCCAACCCCAGAAATCCCTCAATTAGGGGGAGTCCAACTCCAAACAATCTGAACCTTGCTAAAAGTACCATATTGTGTTTCCAAAAGTTGGAGACACCTCCAGTTTTGTGGGTTCACTCTCTGTGACTCCTAGAACCCGCACAACCCCAGAAACCCCTTGATTAGAGGGAGCCCAACTTTGAACAACCTGAATCTTGCAAAAAGTACAATATTGTTTTTCCAACAACCTGAACCTGAATCTTGCAAAAAGTACAATATTGTTTTTCCAACAACCTGAACCTGAAGTCAGAGACACCTCCAGTTTTATGGGGTCACGTTCTGTGACCCTAGAAGCCACCCAACCTCAGAAACCCCTCGATTAGGGGGAGCCCAACTTCAAACAACCTGAACTTTGCCAACAGTACAATTTTACATCCCCAAAAGTCAGAGACACCTCCAGTTTTGTGAGATCACTTTCTGTGACCCTAAAAGCCACCCAACCCCAGAAACCCCTTGATAAGAGGGAACCCAACTCCAAACAACCTGAAACTTGCCAAAAGTACAATATTGTGTTCCCAAAAGTCAGAGACACCTCCAGTTTTGTGAGGTCACTTTCTGTGACCTCAGAAAACCCCTCCATTAGGGGGAGTCCAACTCTGATCAATCTGAATCATGCTGAAGGTCCGATATTGTGTCCTCAAAAGTTGGAGACACCTCCAATTTTGTGGATCACTTTCTATGACCCCTGGAAGTCACCCAATTTGGAAAAGGCCAACTCCAACCAACTTGAACCATGCTGATATTACACCCCCAATTGTCAAGGGCACCTCCAGTTTTGTGTTCTGTGAGACTTGGGGATTTTCAGGGAGCAAAAAAACTTTGGCATCTCGGTTCTTGGAGGCCAGACTGATATCTCCCTTGGGCAGATATTCTGAAATAGAGTTATCCCAAAGAAAAATGCAAAATCTACAACTCTGTAGTAGAACGAGATATCCATCTGGAGCAAGGGTCCCAACATACACACACAGCTTTAGAAAACTCCATAAACCATATGCCCTTGAAGAAGAACATGCACAAAAGTATGGTGCACTTCCACCCACCATTCATGTGCCATATGGTTTACTGCTAATGACGTGGAGCCACATAGGAAAGGAGAGAAGCACCTTGTTTGAAAACTCAATAAAATCCTACTTCCAGGTTGCAGAAAAGATCAAGATCTAGGCATCTATTTCTTATGTTTACACTCTGCTTTCTCGGTATTATTGGTATGAAAGAGATCGGGGGAGGAATGGGAAAATCTTGAACTGACCCGTCTTTCTTGATTTTGTTTCAGGGTGATAGAGGTTTTGATGGACTGGCCGGACTACCCGGGGAGAAAGGCCACAGGGTATGTTCGTTAGCTTCTTGCATTGTTTGGGTTTCCATCCCATTTTAAACAGGGTAGGAATGGAAGGAATCCTCATGATGGTCTTTGGGATCATTGACCATTGGTTATGTCTTTTGTTGATCGGGGTCTACCAAGAACATGCCTGATTCTCCTTTGTGATTCTTTTTTAGGGAGATCCCGGCCCTTCAGGTCCTCCAGGATCCCCAGGTGACGACGGGGACAGGGTAAGTTGGGGTGCCACTTCTTTTCAGTGCTATAAAATGTATAATTTCATATTTTTCATGCATCCCTCACTATGATGACAACACAACCTAGGTGAGGAATAGTATTTGGCAGGACTCGATGGTCTCGTCTTGATGAAGTTAACATTTTTACACCTCCTGAAGGCTGTCAGGAGAAAATGTGCACCTTGTTGCCAGCATTGACGTTTCTGAGGCTGCTTCTGAGAAACCAAATGTGAACAAAACATTAAAAAAAAATAGAACCAGGCTCCAAAAAGAAGAGACATGAAAAATTGTTTCAGCGGTGACCAGGGGAGCATTCGCACAGTTAAAACTTGAGCGCCAGCTGCGCCCGTACCTTGGGAAGTCTGACTTGGCCACGGTAGTCCATGCTCTGATTACATCCCGTATAGACTACTACAATGCTCTCTACGTGGGGTTGCCTTTGAAGACTGCTCGGAAGCTTCAAATGGTCCAACGCTCGGCAGCCAGGATACTAACAGGAGCGGTACTCAGGGAGCATACAAGTCCTTTGTTGCGCCAGCTCCACTGACTGCCAGTCTGCTACCAGGCACAATTCAAAGTGCTGTCATTGGCCTGTAAAGCCCTAAACGGTTCTGGCCCAACTTACCTGTCCAAACGCATCTCCTCCTATGAACCAGTTAGGACATTAAGATCATCTGGGGAGGCCCTGCTCTCGGTCCCGCCTGCAACACGGGTACGTCTGGCGGGGACGAGAGACAGGACCTTCTCAGTTGTGGCCCCTCGGCTGTGGAACGCCCTTCCTACAGAAATTAGATCGGCCCCCTCCCTACTGGCATTTCGGAGGAAAGTGAAGACCTGGTTGTTCGAGCAGGCATTTGAATAGGCAGTGTAATGAACACAGAAATACGGAACAACTGATGATGAGACTGGATCTTGATTTTGCTTGAGACACTAATTGTATGGACAATTAGCGTCTCAAGCAAAATCAAGATCACCATCATCATTTTATGTTTTTGTTGTTGTTGTTTCACATTTCTCTATGTAAACCTTTGCAGCCCAACTATTATGGGTGATGTTGACCTGGTCTTCTAGCCTTCTTTTTCACTTCCTCTTCCCTTCTTTCTGTTGACATTCAGGGAGACGATGGAGAAGTTGGACCAAGAGGACTTCCTGGTGAACCCGTAAGTCACAAAAGGATGAGGAAAACACTATTTTATCCTTTATTTGGCAGTTATGCTCAAGCTTGATTTCATTGAGAACTTAAGTTCTCATAATCTCAATTTCTCATGCTATTCTGGGAGCTGAAGTACAAACCATCTGGAGAACCAATGGTTGAGGGCAACTTCTTGAGAAGATTATGGTGTGTTTACATAGAGTTGCACTGGGAGGCCTAGAGATTCCTAGAGAGAACTTCATTGGGTATTCAGAGTACTAAGGCCGAGTAAGATGAGTTGAGGTCTCATTTCTTTGAGAACTAAAGTTCTCCTAATCCCTCACCGTTTCTCATGCTATTCTGGGAGCTGAAGTACAAACCATCTAAAGAACCAACGGTTGAGGGCAACTTCTTGAGAAGATTATGGTGTGTCTAATGTCACCATTCATAGGTTGTGCAACTATGGTTCTGTCTTCATAAAACAAATTTGTGAAATGGGTGTCTGGCTTGTTATACAAGTCCTCCACATCCACTGGAGTTAGGGGCACACAAACCAGCTCTGCCCCCCAAAAGTGAAAATCCACTAATTGAAAATTTGCATTTTTCAACTTATCTAGTAATCTCTGGTCCTTCTGCACAACTCCATGGTCAAGTTCTGCTGGAAGTTGACCATACAATTGTAATGGATGACAGAGATTGCTAGGGAGGTGTTCTTTCTACAGATCTCCATGTCCTACAGCATGACTCTATGGTCAACTTCCATAGAGTTGCACTGGGAGACCTAGAGATTCCTAGAGAGAATTTACTTGGGCATTCAGAGTAGTAAGGCCGAGTAAGATGAGTCGCGGTCTCATTTCTTTGAGAACTTAAGTTCTCCTAATCCCTCACCATTTCTCATGCTATTCTGGGAGCTGAAGTACAAACCACCTGGAGAACCAATAGTTGAGGGCAACCTCTTGAGAAGATTATGATGTGTTTAATGTCTCCGTTCATAGGTTGTGCAACCATGGTTCTGTCTTCATAAAACAAACTTGTGAAATGGGTGTCTGGCTTGTTATACAAGTCCTCCACATCCACTGGGGTTAGGGGCACATGAACCACCCCTACCCCTACAACAAACTTGTCACATGGTTGAGGGCAACTTCTTGAGAAGATTATGGTGCTCTGCTGGAAGTCAGCCATTGAATGGCAATGGATGACAGAGATTCCTAGGGAGGTGTCCCTTCTAGAAAACTCCATAATCCTCCAGTATGACTCTATGGTCAACTTCCATACAGTCTTACTGGGAGACCTAGAGATTCCTAGAGAGAATTTACTTGGGCATTCAGAGTACTAAGGCCGAGTAAGGTGAGTCGAGGTCTCATTTCTTTGAGAACTTAAGTTCTCCTAATCCCTCACCATTTCTCATGCTATTCTGGGAGCTGAAGTACAGACCATCTGGAGAACCAACGGTTGAGGGCAACTTCTTGAGAAGATTATGGTGCTCTGTTGGATGTCAGCCATAAAATGGCCATGGATGACAGAGATTCCTAGGGAGGTGTTCCTTCTAGAGATCTCCATAATCCTACAGTATGACTCTACGGTTAACTTCCATACAGTCATACTGGGAGACCTAGAGTTCCCTAGAGAGGTGTTCCTTCTAGAGATCTCCATAATCCTACAGTATGACTCTACGGTCAACTTCCATACAGTCATACTGGGAGACCTAGAGATCCCTAGAGAGGTATTCCTTCTAGAGATCTCCATAATCCTACAGTATGACTTTATGGTCAACTTCCATACAGTCATACTGGGAGACCTAGAGATCCCTAGAGAGGTGTTCCTCCTAGAGATCTCCATAATCCTACAGTATGACTCTACGGTCAACTTCCATACAGTCATACTGGGAGACCTAGAGATCCCTAGAGAGGTGTTCCTTCTAAAGATCTCCATAATCCTACAGTATGACTCTACGGTCAACTTCCATACAGTCATACTAGGAGACCTAGAGATCCCTAGGGAGGTGTTCCTTCTAGAGATCTCCATAATCTTACAGTATGACTCTATGGTCAACTTCCATACAGACATACTGGGACACCTAGAGATTCCTAGAGAGGTGTTCCTTCTAGAGATCTCCATAATCTTACAATATGACTCTACGGTCAACTTCCATACAGTCATACTAGGAGACCTAGAGATTCCTAGAAAGGTGTTCCTTCTAGAGATCTCCATAATCTTACAGTATGACTCTACGGTCAACTTCCATACAGTCATACTGGGASACCTAGAYATRCCTAGAGAGGTGTTCCTTCTAGAGATCTCCATAATCRTYCAGTATGACTCTACGGTCAACTTCCATACAGTCATACTGGGAGACTTAGAGATTCCTAGAGAGAACTTAGTTGGGTATTCAGAGTACTAAGGCCGAGTAGGATGAGTTGGGGTCTTATTGACCAGAAGTAACATTTGAACCAGATGGTTTGCAACCAGATTGCGCCATCCTGTTCAAGAAATGTGTGCCGCCCGAGACACACATGCTCCAGTTTCTTTTCCAGCTCTAATAGAAAGCAGTTGGCATAGTTTTGAAAAGGTAAGAGAAAGATAAATGCTACTGTTGCAGGGAAAAAAAGAAATCAGCTCACCAAAATGACAGCTTTTGTCAGAAATGTTTGGAACACTTCAAGCGCAGAGAGGGAGAAAAGCAGGGAAGGAGAGGATGTTAACAAGCTCATAGTGTCTCAATGAGATTCAGAGTGTCTCATTACAGTCTACCGAGGCATCATCAACCATGCTATTTTTCTCCACACGCTTCTCAACAATAAATTCAGGGCCTCTAGCTTCCTTAAAAAACACTGGAAGAGGCAGGTCTGGGCAATAATTAAGGTGTTTAGTTGACAATAAACTGTTGGAACATGGAGACAGGAAGGAGGAGAATGGAAAGGGGAAAGAACGGATTTGGAGAATATTCTGTTACTCTCAAGATTTCCCCTGACCCACTTCCTGTGGATGGAGAGGCATGAGACTTGGCCCAGTTCTGAGTCCTTCTTCTCTCCATGGGTGCCACCTCGGGACACACTCTTCTCCCATCTTTTGAAGCAACTGTCAACACCTCGCTTGTAGAAGTCGACAGGTTGCTCCAAAAGCCACGTTGTGACTTCAGAAATCAGAGTCTCATCATCTGAAAAAGGCTTGCCCTTCCAAAATAACTTCCTTGTTGGAAAGAGGTGCAAGTCCGGTGGTACGAAGTCAGGTGAATCAGGGGATTTTGGCCTGCATCAAGAGGAGCCTAGTGTCTAGATCTAGGGAAGTCATGCTCCCCATGCTCTATTCTGCCTTGGTTAGACCACACCTGGAATATTGTGTCCAATTCTGGGCACCACAATTCGAGAGAGATATTGACAAGCTGGAATGTGTCCAGAGGACGACTCAAATGATCAAGGGTCTGGAGAACAAGCCCTATGAGGAGCGGCTTAAGGAGCTGGGCATGTTTAGCCTGAAGAAGAGAAGGCTGAGAGGAGATATGACAGCCATGGATAAATATGTGAGAGGAAGCCACAGGCAGGAGGGAGCAAGCTTGTTTTCTGCTTCCCTGGAGACTAGGACATAGAACAATGGCTTCAAACTACAAGAGAGGAGATTTCATCTGAACATGAGGAAGAACTTCCTGACTGTGAGAGCCGTTCAGCAGTGGAACTCTCTGCCCCAGAGCGTGGTGAAGGCTCCTTCTTTGGAAGCTTTTAAACAGAGGCTGGATGGCCATCTGTCAGGGGTGCTTTGAATGCAATATTCCTGCTTCTTGGCAGAATGGGGTTGGACTGGATGGCCCATGAGGTCTCTTCCAACTCTTTGATTCTATGATTCTATGATTCTAGGGGGATGTGGGAGAATTCCCCAGCCAGAGGAGCATGCTTTTTCCATTTGGGCAACATGTGAGTTGGAACTGGTGCATTGTCTTGCAGAAGGTGGCCACTTTTAATGAGCATGCCACATTGTTTCTTGGTTGGATGGCTTCCCACAATGTCCGCAGCAGTGAAGCCTCGTCTGCCCCAGTGATGATGGTCCCCTTTGCTAGGAAATCCATCCATCCTCCTCCGTGCTGGTCCCAAAATACTGTGAACATAACCTTGCTTGCCGAGAGTTGGCCACGGGCCTTCTTTGGAGGCGGTGAGTCAGGATGCTTCCATGGCATCGACTGGACTTGAGTCTCAGGATCAGAGTGATGGACCCAGCTTTCCTCCTGTTGGGAAAGTCCTCCTGGTTTCCATGGCACATCATTGTCAAGAGAGTCTGAGAACATTGGACTTGTTCCTCCTTCTGGAAAGGTGTGAGCAGCCAGGGGACCCAGCAAGTGGATACCTTATGCATGTGAATATAGTCTTGGGTGATTTCTTCCATGGACCCCACACTCATCTTGACATTTTGGACTCAGTGATGAATGGTTTTGCAGCAATTTTCCAAATTGGCGATCTCCACTTTCTGGATGGTGTGTCCATCAATAGCAGAGTGGGGTCACCCTGGAATTGGAACTGTTTGCACCGAAATCCAACCACATTGGAATGGATGATGCCAGTTCTTGACTCCATCATATTTTGGGGAATCATCACCATCAATCTCTTTCCTCTCATCGAACGTCTCCTTTGGTGTGCGGACTTTCGAGTAAAGGAACTTGAGGACTGCTCTGTATTCCACTGGGTCCATTCTCAAATCTCGCACCACTTCCGCACCTGTCACATCAAGACCGTTCTCAGTTCTGAGTTGTACATTGGCACATAACCTATAGAGACTTATATCATGACACATGTGCAGTTTTGGCACCCTGTGATAAATAGAAGTGGATCAGGGGAACTCTTTAATGTATACTGGGAATATGAAAGAATAGATTAGCTAGAGTCCTCCTGGCCTTTATTTCCGAATCTAATCCTAATGGACATATTCAGAATATAGTTTGCTTTCAGCAAACTATATGTTGAGAGCCGTTCAGCAGTGGAACTCTCTGCCCCGGAGTGTGGTGGAGGCTCCTTCTTTGGAAGCTTTTGAACAGAGGCTGGATGGCCATCTGTCAGGGGTGATTTAAATGCAATATTCCTGCTTCTTGGCAGAATGGGATTGGACTGGATGGCCCATGAGGTCTCTTCCAACTCTTTGATTCTATGATTCTCTTCTAGGGCCCTCGTGGTTTGCTGGGACCAAAAGGACCGCCTGGTCCACCAGGACCTCCGGTGAGTAACACCACTCTTTCTTATTACAATATGTATCCACTTTGATTGGTTTGTTGGTTCTGGAAACTTTTTGTTCCTTCTTGCTCTTGCCATGGTGATCCTGAGTTGGAGGAACCTTCATGAGAAGCTCARGGAGAAAGCGTCATGAGAACTTCTGGTCGACCACTATCTTCAGYGCTTGCAMATTKAGYATCTGGTTCTGYAWWRTTTTTTGRTCCTTCTTGSTCTTYRCATGGTGATCCTGWGTTGYAGGAACCTTCATGAGAASCTCARMGYGAAAGCGTCATGAGAACTTCTGGTCGACCACTATCTTCAGYGCTTGCATATTCAGGATCTGGTTCTGYAWWRTTTTTTGTTCCTTCTTGCTCTTGRCATGGRYATCCTGTGTTGGAGGAACCTTCATGAGAACCTCATTGGGAAAGCGTCATGAGAACTTCTGGTCGACCACTATCTTCAGAGCTTGCATATTCAGGATCTGGTTCTGGAAACTTTTTGTTCCTTCTTGCTCTTGCCATGGCAATCCTGTGTTGGAGGAACCTTCATGAGAACCTCATTGGGAAAGCGTCATGAGAACTTCTGGTCGACCACTATCCTCKGAGCTTGCAGATTCAGYATCATGACCTCCTTGTTTAGGTCCTTCCATCTGTGATGGAATCTAAATTGTTTCTGATGTCTAGAACTTTCCTCATATTGTGTTTTTCAAACTTTTCATTCAGGGCATTGCTGGAATGGATGGACAATCCGGACCCAAGGGGAATGTGGTAAGGTTCTTGTCTTGTCTTTCACAACCCAACCCAACCATGTTGCAATTGAGCGAGTGCGTCCAATCAAGTTGACACTCCAGCCTCATGAAGGATTTCTTGTCCACTTAATCCCATCTCCTTTGTAGTTACCAACTCCCACTACCATTCACACAGTTGCCTACTCATTGCTTTAGCCAACATCTTCCTTCAATGGCCATTGTTAACCTGGTTTATGTGCAATTATGGTTTGATAATCTGATCCATGGTTTGATATCTCCTTTTCTTCTCAAGGGTCCTCAAGGTGAGCCTGGGCCACCAGGTCAACAAGGAAATCCAGGTGCTCAGGTGAGATTATACTGACTTGGTCAGATGAAAAGGCTCAATCCTTTTCGTTCCGCATTGTGGATGAGTCTTATCCTTCTCTTTCTTCTTCTCCTTCTGCTCCTCTGCCATTTTCTTTTCCTTTTCTTCCTTCTTCTCTCCCTCTCCTCTTCTTCCACCATTTTCTCCTCCTCTTTGTCCTCTTTGTATTTCTGCTCCTTTTCTTTCTCATCTTTGTCTTCTCCCCCTTATCACCCTATTCTTCTCCTTCTTCTCTTTCTTTTTCCTTCTCTTCTTTTCCCTACCCTCTCCCACTTCTCCTCTTTCACCATTTTCTCCTCCTCTTTCTCCTCCTTGTATTTCTGCTCCACTTCTTTCTCCTTTTCTTTCTAATCTTTGTCTTCTCCCCTCCATCACCCTCTTCTTCTTCTCCTTCTTCTCTTTCTTTTTCCTTCTCTTCTTTTCCCTATCCTCTCCCACTTCTCCTCTTTCACCATTTTCTCCTCCTCTTTCTCCTCCTTGTATTTCTGCTCCTTTTCTTTCTCATCTTTGTCTTCTCTTCCTCATCACCCTCTTCTTCTCCTTCTTCTCTTTCTTTTTCCTTCTCTTCCTTTCCCTCTCCTCTCCCACTTCTCCTCTTTCACTGTTTTCTCCTCCTCTTTCTCCTCCTTGTATTTGTGCTCCCTTTCTTTCTCATCTTTGTCTTCTCCTCCTCCATCACCCTCTTCTTCTCCTTCTTCTCTTTCTTTTTCCTTCTCTTCTTTTCCCTCTCCTCTCCCACTTCTCCTCTTTCACCAATTTCTCCTCGTATTTCTGCTCCACTTCTTCCTCTTTCTCCTTTCCTTTCTTCTTCTTCTGCTCTTCTTCCTTCTCATATCCTGTTTTCCCTACTTGCTTCATTTATTCCTTTTTCTCTTCCTCCTTCTTATGGATGTATTTGTGTATTTGTGTTTCTCTTAACCCAACAAGTCATCCCCACCTTTCTTCTTCTTCTAGGGTCTCCCAGGTCCTCAAGGCGCCATTGGCCCACCAGGAGACAAGGTATGTCCACCAGAATCAGTTATGGCCACCCTTGCTATTTAGAATTGCATGGTATGCCTTGAAAAAAGTGTCGACTTCCATGTCTGACATCTTGCTTGTTTCCTAATCCCCGTGTCCCTATGTCCCTTCCCAAATATGACAATGCAACAATTGTGGTTGGTACTTAGAATGATAGACTTGGAAGTGGCCTCCTAGACTGTTGAGTTCAATTTCCTGCTCAACGCCAAATTCCCAGCTAAAGTATTCCCAACCAATAGCTGTCCATGTTCCTTTTGAAGACATCTAGAGAAAGAGATCCCTCTCTGTGATTCAAGGTCTTGTGGTGCCAGAGCGCAGTCTGTTCAGCGCCTTCCAAGTCGCCCAGTCTTCTGTGTGCCCAGGGGGGATTCTCTCATTTGGTATCACCCACCAATTGAGGTGCTGGGTTTGAGCCTGCCACTTTTGGACTCTTGCTTGCTGGGGTGTTCCAGCGAGTGTCTCTGTAGATCTAAGAAAACTATATCTTGATTTAACTTGTTGACGTGCTGGCTGATACCCAAACAGGGGATGAGCTGGAGATGTCTCTGCCTTGGTCCTTTCACTATTGGCTGCTACTTCCTGGCGGATGTCAGGTGGTGCAATACCGGCTAAGCAGTGTAATTTCTCCAGTGGTGTGGGCGCAGACACCCCGTGATAATGCAGCATGTCTCATTAAGAGCCACATCCACTGTTTTAGCGTGGTGAGATGTGTTCCACACTGGGCATACATATTCAGCAGCAGAGTACCATAGCGCAAGGGCAGATGTCTTCACTGTGTCTGGTTGTGATCCCCAGGTTGTGCCAGTCAGCTTTCGTCAGCTTTCTAGCACCCACTTTTTGCTGAATGTTCAGGCAGTGCTTCTTGTAGGTCAGAGCACAGTCTAGGGTGACTCCCAGGTATTTGGGTGCGCTGCAATGCTCCAATTGGACTCCTTCCCAAGTGACCCACAGAGCTCGGGATGCTTGTCTGTCCTTAAGGTGAAAAGCACATGTCTGTGTTTTAGATGGATCAGCTGGTTTTCCCTATAATAGGCAGTAAGAGCACCTAGAGCAGTGGTTCTCACCCTGGGGTCCCCAGATGTTTTTGGCCTTCAACTTCCAGAAATCCTAACAGCTGGTAAACTGGCTGGGATTTCTGGGAGTTGTAAGCCAAAAACATCTGAGGACCCCAGGTTGAGAACCACTGACCTAGAGCTTCGGAGAGCTTCTGTTCAACCATCTCAAAGCTTCCTGCTTGAGCGGTGATGGCACGATCATCAGCATAGATGAAGCTCTCTGTCCCTTCTGGCAGTGGCTGGTCATTTGTGTAGATGTTGAACATGGATGGAGCAAGCACGCTCCCCTGAGGCAGGTTCTTCTGTTTCCGCCATCTGCTTCTCTGGCCCTGGAACTCAACAAAAAAGCTCCTGTTTTGTAGCAGGTTTCCTATGAGGGGAGTGAGGTGGTAGTCCTTTGTGATATTATACATTTTTCTCAGGAGGAGGCGGTGGTTCACAGTATCATAAGCCGCTGACAGGTCTATGAAGACAGCTCCTGTGATCTGCTGCCTTTCAAAGCCATCTTCTATGTTAAAGTAGTCCCAACCAATAGCTGTCCATGTTCCTTTTGAAGACATCTAGAGAATGAGATCCCTCTCTATGATTCAAGGAATGTACTCTAGTTTGGACAAATGAGAAGATGGGTCATTGGCTTGGTGATTCCTTGTATGTTCCATCTCACTTGAGGAATAGGAGAGGGGTGGTCGAGGTGGCAAAAAAAGTCTTACTTAGTTGACTCCAGACAACAAGTCTGGTTTCTCCAAACACAGAACAAGGGCAATTTCCATTAAGGCTGGACCAATCTGAGATGCTCTTTGAAAGAAGAGAAGGGTTGAAAGACCACATTTGTGACGCTAACAACCTTGTTTCCTTTCCCTCTCTCAGGGTCCTCTAGGAAAACCAGGACTTCCAGGCATGCCAGGAGCAGACGGCCCCCCAGTAAGTTGGCTTTGAAAATGTAAACATCTCACATCGCAGAAAGCACACTTGTAGGGGTGGAAGAAGATTCAAAAATAGTCTCCACAAAGGCAAATGTTCTTGAGTGTTGAAAGACTTAGATTGACAGGATCTTCACAGTCGGGAATCTATTCTGTGCACATTTTATAATGGTCTTTTCTCTGTACAAAAAACAGCAGTTTTCTGGGTAGGCAAGGGCCTTTTAGGCTTGGGCGATCCAGTTCGTTAATTTCGTAATTCGTTATTAATTCGTATTTAAATTAGCTTACGATCCAATATCGAACCATGCAGGAATAGTGTGAGGAGTAATTAAGAATCGAAACAATTTTTCCAATTTTCGTAATTATTTTCGTAATTATATTTATGTCTGGTGCAAGTTTTACAATCTCGCATTTACCCCACTTCCGGTCCCTTTGCTCTGCTGCTTCCCTCCTCTTTCCTCATGCTTCTTCCTGCCTCACTTCCGCTGTCAGCCCTAGTTCTGCCAACCTAGCAGTTCGAAAACATGCAAATGTGAGTAGATCAATAGGTACCGCGCTCCATGCAGTCATGCCTGCCACATGACCTTGGAGGTGTCTATGGACAACGCTGGCTCTTCGGCTTAGAAATGCAGATGAGCACCACACCCAGAGTCAGACATGACTGGACTTAATGTCAGGGGACTACCTTTACCTTACTAACTAATAATATTCTATATTAAAAATGCTACATATGTATATTATATCAAGACAATAATACATGAGAAGTATAGTCTGTATATATTATTAGTATATGATGATATATATATTTTTTTACTAAGGTACAGATATGATAGATGAATGTATAGAGAGATAGCACATATAGATATACAAATACATAGTAATACACAATAGTACCCTAATAATCTCACGAGAAATAGTAACAATAATATCATATAATATAATAATAAAATAATATAATAATATAAATATAAATAAATAATAATAATATAATATAATATAATAAATATAAATAAATAATAATATAAAATAAAAATATAATAAAATAATATAATATAAAATATAATAATATAAATAATATAATATAATATAATATAATATAATATAATATAATAAATAATATAATATAATATAATATAATATAATATAATATTAGTTGTGTTTGTTTTATCACACCAACAGTCAACAACAGAGGGAGAGGGAAGCTTCAGAAGTTCCCCCTGTCCCATTTGGAGGTTTTTTTAGCATATTGCGCAATCGCGTCCGCCATTAACGAATCGATTCGTAATTTACGAAATTTCAGAAATTTCGAAATTTTGAAATCTTAAATTTTGGAAGTCCTCAGAATTTAGAAACGCTAGCGCACCCTAGAAACGAAATGAGTTTAGAACCAATTTTTTTCTTGATCGCCCAAGCCTAGGGCCTTTTTATGCTGAACATGCTCTTTGTGCAAAAAAAAGGTCAATAGATGGTTGACTTAGTGGTAGCTTAATAAGCCGGAGAACATTTAAAGTCTGCCTTGGAATTAATCCAGTCCTTTCCTCGGAATTCATGATCTGCTTCGGTTGAAGCTTCCAAAAGTTAAGGATAGGTGAGAAATCAACCACAAAGAAGCATCAACATGGAAAGCCTTGTTGACAGTCCTATCCTGCGTGATAATGGTCCCTTGTTGACTGGAGACTGTTGTCATCTTTCTTAACAGGGTCATCCTGGAAAAGAAGGTCCTTCGGGTGAGAAGGGAACTCAGGTACGTATCAACCAAATACACATCCTTATGCATTCCTGAATGATGCTCCTATCTGTGTGTCTGCATGGTTTCACCTAACTGTGCTCTCTAGGAATTGTCTAGATCCTCCATGCATTCCTTTGGAAATTATCATGGAGTTGCTCTGGATGATCGAGCAAATTCTTAGAGAAGATATTTTGAAGGTCCTCCAGGATGGTGTCATGACCTCCTTTCCTGGTGTTGTGGAGAACCATGAAAGTAGACCATGCCTTGGCCTGTAGCTCACTTGAAGCAAGGGAGAGGGTTTCCATGGGCTGTGAAGGAGAGGACCAAAGTGAAGGATATTAGGTGGTAGGGAAACCAACTGTCAGATGGAACTTTGTAACCGTACTGTTTGGTCTGAGAAATAAAGCCCTTCCACTCTGTCTGTGAGGCAATTTCTTCATGGAATCCTCATGCTCCTGGATGAAAGGGAGCACCAGAATGAGGGATATGAGGTGGTAGGGAAACAAACTGTCAGATGGAACTTTGTTTGTAACCGTACTGTTTGGTCTGAGAAATAAAGCCCTTCCAGTCTGTATGTGAGGTAATTTCTTCATGGAATCCTCATGCTCCTGGATGAAAGGGAGGACCAGAGTAAGGGATATGAGGTGGTAGGGAAACCAACTGTCAGATGGAACTTTGTTTGTAACCGTACTGTTTGCTCTGAGAAATAAAGCCCTTCCAGTCTGTGAGGTAATTTCTTCATAGGGTCCTCATGCTCCTGGATGAAAGGGAGGACCAAAGTGAGGGATATGAGGTGGTAGGGAAACCAACTGTCAGATGGAACTTTGTTTGTAACCGTACTGTTTGGTCTGAGAAATAAAGCCCTTCCAGTCTGTCTGTGAGGTAATTTCTTCATGGGGTCCTCCTGCTCCTGGATGAAAGGGAGGACCAAAGTGAGGGATATGAGGTGGTAGGGAAACCAACTGTCAGATGGAACTTTGTTTGTAACCGTACTGTTTGCTCTGAGAAATAAAGTCCTTCCAGTCTGTCTGTGAGGTAATTTCTTCTCTAGAAAAATGCAGATCAGGACAGATGGTTCTAGGTTAATTGTTGGTGGAAGCCATTCATTGTAGTAGAATTTGCTGTTGTCTATGGTTTCCTTTCTTTGAAGCATCCAGGAGCATGAGGAATGGGGTTCTCATGCTCCTGGATGAAGGGGAGGACCAAAGTGAGGGATATGAGGTGGTAGGGAAACCAACTGTCAGATGGAACTTTGTTTGTAACCGTACTGTTTGCTCTGAGAAATAAAGACCTTCCAGTCTGTCTGTGAGGTAATTTCCTCTCTAGAAAAATGCAGGTCAGGATTGGTCTAGGTTAATTGTTGGTGGAAGTCATTCATTGTAGTAGAATTTGCTGTTGTCTATGGTTTCCTTTCTTTGAAGCATCCAGGAGCATGAGGAATGAGGTCCTCATGCTCCTGGATGAAGGGAAGGACCAAAGTGAGGGATATGAGGTGGTAGGGAAACCATCTGTCAGATGGAACTTTGTTTGTAACCGTACTGTTTGCTTTGAGAAATAAAGCCCTTCCAGTCTGTCTGTGAGGTAATTTCTTCTCTAGAAAAATACAGATCAAGACAGATGGTTCTAGGTTAATTGTTGTTGGAAGCCATTCATTGTAGTAGAGTTTGCTATTGTCTATGGCTTCCTTTCTTTGAAGCATCCAGGGGAGGGGAGGACCAAAGTGAGGGATATGAGGTGGTAGGGAAACCAACTGTCAGATGGAACTTTGTTTGTAACCGTACTGTTTGCTTTGAGAAATAAAGCCCTTCCTGTATGTCTGTGAGGTAATTTCGTCTCTAGAAAAATGCAGATCAGGACAGATGGTTCTAGGTTAATTGTTGGTGGAAGTCATTCATTGTAGTAGAGTTTGCTATTGTCTATGGTTTCCTTTCTTTGAAGCATCCAGGAGCATGAGGAATGGGGTCCTCATGCTCCGGGATGAAGGGGAGGACCAAAGTGAGGGATATGAGGTGGTAGGGAAACCAACTGTCAGATGGAACTTTGTTTGTAACCGTACTGTTTGCTATTGTCTATGGTATCCTTTCTTTGAAGCATCCAGGAGCATGAGGAATGGGGTCCCTCATCCCCTTGAAACAAACCATAACAAATCGCCAGTCAATCTTAATGTACTTTTATTCATGGAGGAACTGGCGAATCCTGAGCAGAAACACAGCAGTGAAATTGCTCAGTGGATCAACCATTTGAAGTGGTCTCCTATGTTCATATGGTGATGGTCTTCTAAGGAATGAGCACAAGGTTGAAACAGAACGTCATGAAACCCCAAAGGAAGAGCAAAGCCATGAGATGGTAGCCCATTGATGTAACTGTAAAGCTAGGGAGCTTCTAGCCTTGAAGGAGTAGTCAAGAGCCATAACTACATACCTCTCCTCCAGCCAAAACCTCATTGTAGTTTCGTTCATTGTGGTCCATGCTGAACGTCCACCAAACGCAATCTGGAAGTATTGTTGAAGGATGGTTCACTCCTAGCTGACCGTCATCAGCGTCCAGTGGTGTGTTATTTAGAAAGAGGATGTTTTGTTAAGATGTGGATTGAACCACCTAGAATTCACACAGTTAGTATCTCATGTTGTGGCCAAATTCTAGCCCAATTCGAGCTGCAACCTTGCTCAGGGCTGTCCTGTCCTTGCTGCCTCGGCTTAGTCCCCAAAGGCGGAAATTTGCAAGTGTAGGCGTCCGCTGAATTCGAAAGCAGGGTCATCCATCACGGAGTCAGATGCTGCCCTAGAAGCCATTTAGCAAGCAGCCGGCAGTCGGCTCAGCAGCAGGCATGTCTGGAATTCCCATGGTGCCAGCTTTCCTGGAGAATTATGGCCTTGAGGCATCTTGACCTCTGAACAAAGTCTGCCTGGCTGGGTGTATTTATTCCTTTTGGCCCAAAGATTAGGCTGGAGACAGTTGGGGATTGGGAGGTTAGACTTAATTGGCTCACCGGTCCTAGAGAGTGGAGAAGTCAGATCTCTCCTCCAGCAAAGGTATCTGAGAAGTTGGGTGTAACCAGGGGCGGTTCAACCATTACGCAAAGTAAGCATTCGCAGTATAGTTGATTTTGCCCAGGGGCGCTCTTGGGTGGAAAATAGACCTTGACATATGCGAGTTGTAGTTACTGGGATGTATAGTTCACCTACAATCAAAGAGCATTCTGAACTCCACCAATGATGGAATTGAACCAAATATGGCACAGAACTCCCACAACGAACAGAAAATATATATCAGTGATTGGTTGGGGGGGGGGGCAAAATACTATAAACAACAACATCATAATTACATAAAACATGTGAATACATCTATATATATAAAATGGGAAAGGGCGTTCAACGGGACAGCAAAACGCGAAAAAACCCCGACGAAAACTCACCAAATTTGCCGTGCACATACCTCAACCCACAAGGTATGCACAACACTCATCAAAATTCCAAACAACATTTCAACAAACTCACAATTACAAAAACCAACTGAGCATGCGCAGTGCCCAGGGGAGGAAGTACACACGCAATGCACTCTGGGAACTGTAGTTCTAGAACGCAGCCTGCTCGCTGGGGGCCAGGATGCTGCGCGAACGGAGAAAGGAAGGAAGGAAAGGAAGGAAGGAAGGGAGGGAGGGAAGTTGAGAAGGTATATGAAAGAAGAAAGGTAGGAAAGAAAGAATACAGAGAGAGAAGGAGGATGGGAAAGAAGGGAGAAAGGAAGGAAGGAGGAAAGGAAAGAAAGTTAGAAAAAAGAAGAAAGGGAAGGGGAAGGGAAGGTGTCAAAAGGAAGGAAGAAAGGAAGGAAGAAAGGAAGGGGAATTTGGGAAGGAAGGAAGGAAGGAAGGGGAATTTGGGAAGGGGAAGAGAGGAAAAAAGCGAAGGAAGAAGAGAAAGGGAGGGAAGAAAAGAAAGAAAGAAACTGGAAGTCAAGAGCGAAGGAAGGAAGGAAAGAATAGAGAGGGAAGAAAGGAGAGAAAGAGGAAGGAAAAAAGGGAGGAGGAAGGAAAGACGAAGAGAAGGAAAGAAAAAAGGGAAGGGAGGAAAGACGGAGCAAAGGAAGAAGAGAAAGAAGGAGAGAAAGAGGGAGGGAAGGAAAGAAATAAAGAGAAGGAAGGATGGGAGCAAAAAGCTAAGGAAGGAAGTAAACAGGTAGAGAAGGAAGAAAGGAAAGAAGAAAAGGAAATGAAGGAATGAGTGGAAGGAGAGAAAGAGGGAGAGAAGGTTGGCCACAGCAACGCGTGGCGGGTAAAGCTAGTAAATAAAAATGTAATGTTCGTTTGTGGAATTAACAGAACTCAAAAACCACTGGACGAATTGACACCAAATTTGGACACAAGACACCTAACAACCCAATGTATGTCCTTCACTCAAAAAACATTGATTTTGTCATTTGGGAGTTGTAGTTGCTGGGATTTATACAATCAAAGAGCATTCTGAACCCACCAACGATGGAATTGAACCAAACTTGGCACACAGTTCTCCCATGACCAACAGAAAATACTGCATGGGTTTGTTGGGCAGTGTCCTTTGGTTTTGGAGTTGTAGTTCACCTACATCCAAAGATGACTGTGGACTCAAACAATGATGGATCTGGACCAAACTCTACAAGAATACTCAGTATGCCCAAATGTGAACACTGCTAGAGTTTGGGGGAAATGGAATCTTGACATCTGGGAGTTGTAGTTGCTGGGATTTATAGTTCACCTACAGTCAAAGAGCATACTGAACCCCACCAACGATAGAATTGGGCCAAACCTCCCACACAGAACCCCCATGTGGGCCATAGCAATGCGTGGCAGGGGATGGCTAGTAATAATAATAATAATAATAATAATAATAATAATAATAATAATAACAACAACAACAATAATAATAATAATAACCCACCTCTCCTCAATACCTACCAGCATTTCACATACACTCTCCAAGAGATGCATTTTTCTAGCACATAATCCTCCATGTTCAATTCAAAGTTGTGATAGAAGACTTGTAGTAGGTGGTGTCATTGTGTGAGCATCTCTTGGTTTCGCTTTCAGTTGGTCTTTTCGTGGCTCATATGGCTGTGGATTCAGCCCTCCAGATGTTCCTCTGAACATCTGATGGAACACGCAACATTGATGTTCAACACAGTGGTTGTGGATCATAGTCTATACAACAGGACACAGCCTTGGTGTAGAAACCTGACCATGGTCCCCCAAAATTGCCTGGACCCTACTTGGGATTTACATGCTTTGCTGGTTCTGGGTTATCCAAGAGCTTTTATCTACTATGGAAACATCTGAGATAATTTCAGTGCAATACATTCACTTTGTTTTCTTTCCTTTTGTTACCAGGGACCTGCTGGCCCTCAAGGCCCAATCGGATATCCTGGACCCCGTGGTGTCAAGGTAAGGTGGCATCTTGTGTTCCTTTCAACTCAGGGAATTCACTGTAATACCCTATATACTTACGTATAAGTCTACCCCATGTAGAGGTCTAAGGAAGATTTGGTGGCCCAAATTATGGATCTCAATATGATCCATGGATATGTTGAGTTCACTCCTTGGAGAAGGGAAATATATTGGTCGGTAGAAGAAGCACTAAGGAACTTAGCTTGTCTGGGTGGGCTATACAGGAGAAGATCTTATCCAAGATGACCTAGTCCAGGATTTTTTGGGCATTAAGTCTTCCAGAAACTCACTAGGAACTATCCAAGTCAGTGATTCTCAACCTGTAGGTCCTCAGGTGTTTTGACCTACAACTCCCAGAAATCCCAGCCAGGTTACCAGGTGTTAGAATTTCTGGGAGTTGAAGGCCAAAACATCTGGGGACCCCAGGTTGAGAACCACTGATCTAAGTCCTTCAGCAAGTGTTGATATCCTTCCTCCAAACTCACTGGGGCTACTTCAGTTCCTTCAGCAACAGTTGATGTCCGTCCTCCTGACAGAAAGGTCAACAACATGCCTTTCAGCACATGTTGATCTCCTCCAAACATACTGGGTCTACTTCAGGTCTCTCAGAAAGTGTCCAAGATGGGCTGGTTCAAGCTTTTATGGGAATGAAGGCTCCAAGATGGCATCTTTTAACATCTAGAAGCTCACTGGGGTCTATCTAGGACCTTCCTCCAAACTTAGCAGGACTACTTCAGTTCCTTCAGCAAGAGTTGATGTCCTTCCTCCAGACAGAAAGGTCAACAACATGCCTTTCAGCACATGTTGATCTCCTCCAAACACACTGGGTCTACTTCAGGTCTCTCAGAAAGTGTCCAAGATGGGCTGGTTCAGCTTTTATGGGAATGAAGTCTCCAAAATGGCACCTTTTAACATCTAGAAGCTCACTGGGGTCTATCTAGGACCTTCAGTAAGTGTTGATGTCCTTCCTCCAAACTTAGTAGGACTACTTCAGTTCCTTCAACAAGAGTTGATGTCCTTCATCCAGGCAGAAAAGTCAACAACATGCCTTTCAGCACATGTTGATCTCCTCCAAACGTACTGGATCTACTTCAGGTCTCTCAGAAAGTGTCCAAGATGGGCTGGTTCAAGCTTTTATGGGAATGAAGTCTCCAAAATGGCACCTTTTAACATCTAGAAGCTCACTGGGGTCTATCTAGGACCTTCAGTAAGTGTTGAGGTCCTTCCTCCAAATTTACCGGGGATATTTCAGTTCCTTCAACAAGAGTTCATGTCCTTCCTCCAGGCAGAAAGGTCAACAGCATGCCTTTCAGCACATGTTGATCTCCTCCAAACTCATTGGGTCTACTTCAGGTTTCTTACCAAGTGTCCAAGATGGGTTGAGCTCACTGGGGTCTATCTAGGACCTTCAGTAAGTGTTGATGTCCTTCCTCCACTTAGCAGGGCTACTTCAGTTCCTTCAGCAAGAGTTGATGTCCTTCCTCCAGACAGAAAGGTCACCAACATGCCTTTCAGCACATGTTGATCTCCTCCAAACGTACTGGGTCTACTTCAGGTCGCTCAGAAAGTGTCCAAGATGGGCTGGTTCAAGCTTTTATGGGAATGAAGTCTCCAAACATCTAGAAGCTCACTAGGGGTCTACCTAGGACCTTCAGTAAGTCTTGATGTCCTTCCTCCAAACTTAGCAGGACTACTTCAGTTCCTTCAGCAAGAGTTGATGTCCTTCCTCCAGACAGTAAAGTCAAGAACATAAATCAGTAGGATCATATAGTTGGGGGAGACCCCAAGGACCACCCAGTCCAACACCATTCCACAATAGAGGAAGACACAATCCAACCATAGATAGCCATCCATGCCAGGTGATGGTTGCAAATGGAGGCTGAATCAATGAGGAGAGGAAACAAGACTTAGAACAGTGGTTCTCAACCTGTGGGTCCCGAGATGTTTTGGCCTACAACTCCCAGAATTCCCATCCAGTTTACCAGGGAGTTGAAAGCCAAGACATCTGGGAATCCACAGGTTGAGAACCACTGACTTGGCAGCTTTCTTCCTTTTCTTCCCCTTCCAAACAGCTGATATAACACTCTAAGACCGCCAGAGGGTGCTCAGCAAACTAAGTCTCCCCAGTTCCAAGTTCCAAGTGCCCAGTTGCATTCATCTAAAATGTGAAGCAATGCCAATTTGTGAACGAAAGGAAACTAAAACACCTATCACTGATTCAATGGGATAAAATGATTAGATCATATTATGATGAATTCATGATAAATTTTAAAAAAGTGAGAGACCTTGATATTTGGGAGTTGTAGTTGCTGGGATTTATAGTTCACCTACCATCAAAGAGCATTCTTAACTCCAGAAACAATGGAATGGAACCAAACTTGGCATCCAGAACTCCCATGACCAATAGAAAATACTGGAAGGGTTTGGTTGGCATTGACCTTGAGTTTGGGAGCTGTAGTACACCTACTTCAGAGAGCACTGTGGACTCAAATAATGATGGATCTGGACCAAACTTGACACAAATCCTCAATATGCTCAAATGTGAACACTGGTGGAGTTTGAGGAAAATAGACCTTGATATTTGGGAGTTGTAGTTGCTGGGATTTATAGTTCACCTACAATCAAAGAGCAATCTGAAACTCACCAACAACAGAATTGGGCCAAACTTCTCACACAGAATCCTCGTGGTGGAGTTTGAGTTTGAGGAAAATAGACCTTGACATTTGGGAGTTGTAGTTGCTGGGATTTATAGTTCACCTACAATCAAAGAGCATTTTGAACCCCACCAACAATAGTATTGGGCCAAACTTCTCACACAGAATCCTCATGACCAACGGTGTTTTCTGATGGTCTTTGGTGACCCCTCTGACACCTCCAGGTTGAGAAACGTTGGTCTAGATGCCCTCTAGATATGGAAACAAACTTTACACCAACATTATTGAGGCCAAAGGGATTCTTCGACCTCCTCAACTTGTAAATTTGCATCGATTCTTGCTAAAAAGAAGAGAAAAAGAGGTTTAGTTTCCTTTGAAATTCCACTAGCGCATTGCCTTCTGAAGTTTCCCCTTAAGGAATTGAGATTAACTCCGTTCTCAGCTTGATTCTTGAGGAACCGGATTGCTAGAACCAATATTCAACATTCAGAGCAGGGTTTGCATGTTATGAATCGGAAATCGGGAAGGCGCGTGGATCAATGATCCTTGCATTTGAAGAAATGTTCAGTTTTGTCTCTGAAATGGGGGTCTTTTTGAAGCCTCAGCAAAACAGTGTCCCCTGCTCACCTTGGTCTTTCTAGGACGCCAAATTCTCCCCAGGATGAAAGATTCGGCCCTCGTGCGCCACCAATGAACGATCCATCTGTTTGTCGCATCTATCTTGTACATGTGCCAAGTGAAATTAATTCATTTTGTCATTTATTTTCTTCCCCGAAAGGGAGCCGATGGGGTCCGCGGCTTGAAAGGAACCAAGGGCGAGAAGGTGAGTAAGTACAACTTGGTTGTGTTTGAAGCCAATGTCAGATCGTTTTGGTGGAAACTCTTTGACCTCCTCATAGCCCCAGATATTTGTTTCTCAACCTTCCTAATGCCACAACCTCTTAATCCAGTTCTTCATGTTGTGGTGACCCCCAACCATAACATTATTTTCATTGCTACTGCATAACTGTCATTTTTCTACTATTATGAATCATCATGTGTGAGGGTTGAATGAAAAGTAATGCCTCCACCTTCGTTACTTGGGTTTGGATGGGAATATTTTAATAAATCAAAGTCAGAAATAACCCTTAGAATGTGCTCTTTAACTACCACTATTCACTTTTCCACATAATCACCAGACAACTGGATATATTTCTGCTAACGATGAACAAGTTTTCTGAAGCCATCATGGAAGAAGTCGACACTCTGTTTCCGCAACCAGCGTCTCACAGTTCTCTCATCCTGGGTACCCATCGTGCACAGATCTTCCGATAGCCGAGCAAAACAATAATGTGACCTACACGTTCTTGTGAAATGCCGATTATGCTTGAAATTTCTCTCTGAGTGATACAACAATTGTCCTGAATCAATCTGTCAAACTTTTGCTTGTGAAACTCGGTGGTTGCTGTCACAGGACGTCCAACTCTTTGTCATGCAAGTCAGATGTTCCCATCTCAACATCTTTAAACTTACTCACCAAACGACACACAGTACTCACATCCAGGGGCGGCTCATCCATTACACGAAGTAAGTGGTCGCAGAACACTTTTTTTTGCCAGGGGCGCAGAGGCGCCTCTGTAAATGCCCCTCGACCGCCACTTGAGGAGCGCCCCCTCAGCTCACCACAGCCCTAGCAGTCCGGGGGGAGCCTCGGCTTTCTTGCCTCGCTGCCGGGCGATCCTCTTCCCAAAGGGGCTGGGCCCTTGAGCCTCACCTAGCCCCTCTCGTTCCTGCTCCACCCAGCCACCGGGTGCGCGAGCAGAGCTGGCGCTCAATCGTTCTCCACGTTCGATCCCTTCCCCATGACTGGCTCCCTTTCCCGATCCCCGGCTCCACCGCCTCCTCTCCTCTCCCCAATCCGCGGGTGGGCCAAGGCGGAGCCGCTGCGCCTGGCCCGCTTCGGGTCCGGAGGCGTGTCTGAAGACCCCGTGCCCACCAAAAGTCGCCTCTTCTCCTGACTTTCTCTTCAGCCATTGGGAGAGAGAGAGAGAGAGAGACCCTCCAGCTGGAGTATCTCCCACCTCCGCTCCCTCCTTTGTTTTTGCGCCTACCTTCAGGAAAGGTGGGCATCTCCACCTCTCTCTCTCTCTCTCTCTCTCTCTCTCTCGGTCCCAATGGCTGAGGAGAAAGTCAGGAGAAGAGGTGACTTTTGGTGCACACGCCGGGGTCTTCAGGCACGCCTCCGGACCCAAAGCGGGCCAGGCAAGGGAGTAAGTGCGGCAAGGTGAACTATTACTGGGATGTATAGTTCACCTACAATCAAAGAGCATTCTGAACTCCACCAATGATGGAATTGAACCAAACGTGGCACACAGAACTCCCACAACAAACAGAAAATATATATCAATGATTGGTTGGGGGGGGGGTGCCAAAATACTGTTTGCTTACTGTTGAAAATTACCTAGGGCTGCCTCTGCTCACATCGACACAATCCCCATCAACAGCTTGCATTCTCTGATGGATATCCTTTGAGGTGATACCTTCTGCTGTCAAGAATTCAATGACTGCACGTTGCTTAAGTCGCATTGACTGACCATCTGTGCAGGGTTCAATACTTCACTTTAACAACACAACCATTCAATGCTAAGGCTTCCCGCCAAAATGGAACTGTAGAGGAGAGTCTACTGAACAAGCCAGTACCTGCCACATATGTTGCTTAAGTCACATTGACTGACCGTCTGTGCAGGATTCCATACTTTTCACTTTAACAACACAACCATTCAATACTAAGGCTTCCTGCCAAAATGGAACTGTAGAGGAGAGTCTACTGAACAAGTCAGTACCTGCCGCAGACCAGCTTTGCCATCTGTTGAGGAGTAACGAAGGTGGAGGCATTACTTTTCATTCAACCCTCATAAATACGTGATATGCCACATTGTCCAACCACCGTCTCCCAAAGCAGCTGCTCTGCTCCAAACTCAAGAATGGAAAACGGAATGCTGGTGGACAGGAAAAGAGATTTAAAGATGGGCTTAAAGCCAACCTCAAAAACTGTGGCATAGACACTGGGAACTGGGAAGCCCTGGCCCTTGAGTGCTCTAACTGGAGGTCAGCTGTGACCAGCAGTGCTGCAGAATTCGAAGAGGCACGAATGGAGGACAAAAAGGAGAAACGTGCCATGAGGAAGGCAGATCAAGCCAACTCTGAGCAGGACCGCCTTCCACCTGGAAACCCATATCCTCACTGCAGGAGAACATGTAGATCAAGAATAGGACTCTACAACCACCTATGGACCCACCACCAGGACACCACATCTGGAAGACAATCATCCTCGAGCTACGAGGGATCACCTAAGAAGAAGACCTGATATGCCCTCTATGCTGGACGTTGACCATAGTCACTCTGGGAAACCTAGACAATTGGATTTCTGAATAGCAACTAGTGTTTTGTGTCCTACAAGAATGATTTGGGGACATTTCGTAGAATCATAGAATCATAGAATCCTAGAGTTGGAAGAGACCTCATGGGCCATCCAGTCCAACCCCATTCTGCCAAGAAGCAGGAATATTGCATTCAAATCACCCCTGACAGATGGCCATCCAGCCTCTGTTTAAAAGCTTCCAAAGAAGGAGCCTCCACCACACTCCGGGGCAGAGAGTCTCCACTGCTGAATGGCTCTCACAGTCAGGAAGTTCTTCCTCATGTTCAGATGGAATCTCCTCTCTTGTAGTTTGAAGCCATTGTTCCTTGTCCTAATCTCCAAGGAAGCAGAAAACAAGCTTGCTCCCTCCTCCCTGTGGCTTCCTCTCACATATTTATACATGGCTATCATATGTCTTCTCATCCTTCTCTTCTTCAGGCTAAACATGCCCAGCTCCTTAAGCCACTCCTCATAGGGCTTGTTCTCCAGACCCTTGATCATTTTAGTTCGCCCTCCTCTGGACACATTCCAGCTTGTCAATATCTCTCTTGAATTGTGGTGCCCAGAATTGGACACAATATTCCAGTTGAGGTCTAACCAAGGCGGAATAGAGCATGGGGAGCATGACTTCCCTAGATCTAGACACTATGCTCCTCTTGATGCAGGCCAAAATCCCATTGGCTTTTTTTGCCGCCACATCACATTGTTGGCTCATGTTTAACTTGTTGTCCACGAGGACTCCAAGATCTTTTTCACACGTCCTGCTCTCGAGCCAGGCCTCATCGTCCCCCATTCTGTCTCTTTGCATTTCGTTTTTTCTGCATAAGTGGAGTATCTTGCATTTGCATGCTCGTTGTCTCCTGTCATGACCTGATTTATTCCTTTCATAGGCAAGAATGAAATATACTCTGGGATTTAGATCCTGGAAACTCATGTACAACTGATCTCCCCCGTTTCTCTCCATTTGCAAAGGAAATCCACTTCTGAGCTCCTTTGTATCACCAGGTTGTAATCTTCAATTATGTTGAGAGCGGATTCAGATTTACACCTTTTGGGAAGCCAATACCGGCGAGGATGGAGGATTCAACCGCCGGCAGCGGAGCAACGAACACAACGCAGTATTTAACGAGAGCTTTGACAGCCAGCTCGGTCTCTGCGTATTTCAAGTAGACTGTCACATTCTCCAAAGGCGTAGCAAAGGCTGCGTTATATTCGAGACCCGTTCCAACCTCAAATCCCCCCAGCTAACATTTGTAGTCCATCCCGAGCAAATTTGACAAATATAACCACCGTGGGGCACCTGAGCCCTCCGATGTTGTTCTTGAGGCTTACCGCATCACATTTTAGTGCCCGACAAGCTCGCTTTAGGACTGCATCGCTCTATTGATGGATCCTCAGCAGTTAAGCTCATGCCGAGTGGAAGAAATACGAGCGTTGTTACCGATTTCTCCCCGCCAAAAAACGGGACGGAAATGTCCGGGGGTGCAATAATTGGTTGCCGGTGTTGGCAAAGTCCTAGTATTTATATCAACAGAAGGGACACTCTTACCTACTAGTTGGAGAGAATAAAGGTACCCTTGGGATTTCATTAGATCTGGGAAGCTTCGGCAAGATGTCCTCCACCGCGACGTTTGTGATGTATGTCAGTGTCATCCCAAAGCTGTCCTGTTTATGCTGCAGAAACGAATCCTTGGATCATTGTGAAGCTGATTTGGAGGAAGGGAAAGTAGAAATACCCAGGTTGTGCAAATTTGGAAAGGAGTCATGTGCATTACCTTCTAGGCTTGGGCAGTTTCGTTCGTTAATTTCGTAATTCGTTATGAATTCGTATTTAAATTAGCTTACGATCCAATATTGAGCCATGCAGGAATAGTGTGAGGTAGGGCTGGGCAACCACGGAAAAATTTGCTTCTAAACTCGATTCGTTTTTTGGGGTTTTTTGCGTTTCGATATTTAAAAGAATTCCGAAATTTTTCTTTAAAAAAGTTCGATATTTACGAAATTTCGTAAAATTACGAAACAATACGAAACGAATACGAAACGAATACGAATCGATTCGTTAATGGCGGACGCGACCGCGCAATACGCTAAAAAAACCTCCATATGGGACAGGGGGAACTTCTGAAGCTTCCCTCTCCCTCTGTTGTTGACTGTTGGTGTGATATTTATAATTTTTTTCACTGATTAAACAAACAACAGCTATAAAACTTGCCCCAGACATGCGGAAATAATAACAAAACGATTTCGAAACGATTTCGAAACGAATACAAAGCAATTACGAAACGAATTGAAAAATTCGTTTCATTTTTTAGATGCTCCTGAATGGTTCGTTATCGCTTCGTAACCAAAAAAAATAACGAATTTTTAACGAATTACGAAATTACGAAACGAAACCGCCCAGCCCTAGTGTGAGGAGTAAATTAGATTCGAAACAATTTTTTCAATTTATTTCGTAATTGTTTTGTTTTCGTAAGTATTTCGTTATTATTTCGTAATTATTTCAAAATTATTTCGTTAATTATTTCGTAATTATTTTCGCATGTCTGGTGCAAGTTTTATAGTTGTTGTTTGTTTTATCACACCAACAGTCAACAACAGAGGGAGAGGGAAGCTTCAGAAGTTCCTCCTGTCCCATTTGGAGGTTTTTTTAGCATATTGCGCAATCTCGTCCGCCATTAACGAATCGATTCGTAATTTTACGAAATTTTGTAAATTTCGAAATTTTTTAAAGGAAAATTTCGGAATTATTAAAAAAAACGAAACGCAAGGGCCCCCTAAAAACAAAACGAGTTTAGAACCAAATTTTTCCGTGGTTACCCAGGCCTAAAAGGTACCCCTGGGATTTCATTAGATCTGGGAAGCTTCGGCGAGATGTCCTCCACCGCGACGTTTGTGATGTATGTCAGTGTCATCCCAAAGCTATCCTGTTTATGCTGCAGAAACAAATCCTTGGATCATTGTGAAGCTGATTTGGAGGAAGGAAAAGTAGAAATACCCAGGTTGTGGAAAATTTGGAAAGTAGTCATGTGCATTCGGGACTTACCTTCATCCGTTTTGTGTGGGTGCCCCGATTCATTTCGACTGAGCCTCCCGAAATTGGGAGGTCAGATATTTGTTTTCAGTTTTCGGGTCCAAAATATCCGTTTTCTTTCGGCCCATTATTGGAGCTGGCTTAAGGAAAGGCAAAAGCTGCACATCGCAAGTGCTAAACCTGACTCACCACATAGAAGATGTCTTCGAAAGGCAGCAGATCACAGGAGCTGTCTTCATAGACCTGTCAGCAGCCTATGATACTGTGAACCACTGCCTCCTCCTGAGAAAAATGTATAATATCACAAAGGACGACCACCTCACCTGCCTCATAGGAAACCTACTACAAAACAGGAGCTTTTTTGTTGAGTTCCAGGGTCAGAGAAACAGATGGCGGAAACAGAAGAACGGCCTGCCTCAGGGGAGCGTGCTTGCTCCATCCATGTTCAACATCTACACAAATGACCAATCACTGCCAGAAGGGACAGCGAGCTTCATCTATGCTGATGATCATGCCATTACTGCTCAAGCAGGGAGCTTTGAGACGGTAGAACAGAAGCTCTCCGAAGCTGTAGGTGCTCTTACTGCCTATTACAGGGAAAACCAGCTGATCCCTAATCCATCTAAAACACAGACATGTGCCTTTCACCTTAAGAACAGACAAGCATCCCGAGCTCTGAGGATTACCTGGGAAGGAATCCCACTGGAGCATTGCAGCACACCAAATACCTGGGAGTCACTCTGGACTGTTCTCTGACCTACAAGAAGCACTGCCTGAACATCAAGCAAAAAGTGGGTGCTAGAAACAATATCATACGAAAGCTGACTGGCACAACCTGGGGATCACAACCAGACACAGTGAAGACATCTGCCCTTGCGCTATGCTACTCTGCTGCTGAGTATGCATGCCCAGTGTGGAACACATCTCACCACACTAAAACAGTGGATGTGGCTCTTAATGAGACATGCCGCATTATCACAGGGTGTCTGCGCCCCACACCACTGGAGAAATTACACTCTTAGCCGGTATCGGACCACCTGACATCCGCCGGGAAGTAGCAACCAATAGTGAAAGGACCAAGGCAGTGACATCTCCAGCTCATCCCTTGTTTGGGTATCAGCCAGCATGTCAACAACTTAAGTCTAGAAATAGTTTTCTAAGACACTCGCTGGAACACCTCAGCACCTCAGCAAGCAAGAATCCAAAAGTGGCAGGCTCTAGATCTACAGAGACACTCGCTGAACTCCCCAGCAAGTGAGAGTCCAAAAGTGGCAGGCTCAAACCCAGAACCTCAATCCAATGGCTGATACCAAATGAGAGACTCCCCCCTGGGCACACAGAAGACTGGGCGACTTGGAAGGCGCTGAACAGACTGCGCTCTGGCACCACGAGATGCAGAGCCAACCTCAAGAAATGGGGCCACAAAGTGGAAACCACGACATGCGAGTGTGGAGAAGAGCAAACCACTGGCCAACTGCTGCAATGCAACCTGAGCCCTGCCACATGCACAAGGGAGGACCTTCTTGCGGCAACACCAGAGGCACTCCAAATGGCCAGATACTGGTCAAAGGACATTTAATCAACTACCAAGCTTGCAAATTCTGTGTTTTGTCTGTTTGTTTGTTTTTGTTAAAAATGTAATACAAATGTCTGGTTGCTGATGACACGATAAATAAATATTGGAGGGGGGACATTGGAACAAAATGAAGACCTCCATCATCACTTGACTGCATTTTCTTTGCTCCTTGTCCATCTTGCGTTTTGTCATACTTTCTCCTCTTGTTTCCTTCATGCAGGGTGAAGATGGCTTCCCAGGTTTCAAAGGTGACATGGGCATCAAAGGAGACAGGGTGAGTCGGTGGAAGTCTAGTTTTGTCAATTTATGCAGGTTGTATGTATACACTATGAGTGAAATGGGAAGGTTGCTCCCAATAAGAATCGACCCCTTTAAGCACCAAATTTCTAGGAAGTCATATCCATCATGAATTGTCATCAGGTTGGCTTCAACTTATGGCGACTATATGAATGAGAGATGTTGAAGATAGGGTCTATAGGGATGATGTCAATGCCATCAACCAACAAAAAAATAACAAAGCCAGCGGACCTGATGGGATCCCTAAATTTACCTCTTTTTCCATTCTTACTAGGGTGAAATTGGCCCTCCTGGTCCAAGGGGTGAAGATGGGCCCGAAGGTCCAAAAGGTCGTGGTGGGCCCAATGGGGAACCTGGCCCATTAGGTCCTTCAGGAGAAAAGGTAAGAATCCTCCAGCTTGAGAGATACATTATAAGCATCCCAGAAGCCCTCTCGCATTTTTGACCTTAGCCTCGATTCCCTCTTCCTCATTTTTCTCTACCCGAGACTCTGACTTTTGTCATTTAAGGTGAGTCTTAGAGCTATTTCATAGGTGGGATTCCAAAAACTTATATATTTTGGTTTCTTTCCCTAGGGTAAACTTGGAGTTCCTGGTTTGCCGGGTTACCCTGGAAGAATCGGGCCAAAGGTAAGCCTTGCTTTATTTATTCCTACCATTTATGCTCATCCATATATTGACCTCATATATATATTGATATGCCCCATTGATAGGTTGAGGGTCTTTCCAATGGAAATTGACAATAGAGGCTCACTGGAGGACCTAGAGATCCCTTGAGATCATCTCTAAGAATCTCAAAGTCTTCCAGCACAACTCTATGCTTGACATTTTAAGCTCATATCTATGTCTTTTAATATATGTGTATTTATGTATCTATCTACGTATTTTAACCATGTTGTACTCTGCCTCAAGCTTAGAAGGGAGGCGAGTAAAAAATAAAATGTAATATCTGGTGGGAAAAGACCACTGAGTTGGAGGACCAAGAGATTCCTAGAGAGCATATAAATCAAATCCTCAACTCATCAAACTTGCAGAAGTTAAACCACAGAGTCACTTTAGAGGACCTAGAGATTCCTAGAGGAGTACAACTTGACTTATGATGGAAGAAGACCATAGAGTCTCCCTGGAGGACAACCTCTACTAACATAGAAAAACCATGAATGCTAAAGACACTATTTTTTAACCCTGGAGGACACCTCTCCAGGAATCTCAAGTCCCCCAGTATGATTCTATAGTCAATTTCCACCATACCGGTCCTCCAGAGTTATTCTATGATCAACTTCCATCGTAGAGGTCCACTGGAGTGATTCTATGGTTATCTCTCACTATGGAAGCCCTCCAGAATGCTTCTATGGTCAACTTCCATCATAGAAGCCCTCCGGAGTGATTCTATGGTCACCTTCCACTGTGGAAATCCTCCAGCATGATTCTATGGTCAACTTCCATCATAGAGGTCCTCCACAGTGATTCTGTGGTCACCTTCCACTGTGGAAATCCTCCAGCATGATTCTATGATCAAGTTCCATCATAGAGGTCCTCCAGGGTGATTCTATGGTCACCTTCCACTGTGGAAATCCTCCAGCATGATTCTATGATCAACTTCCATCATAGAGGTCCTCCGGAGTGATTCTATGGTCACCTTCCACTGTGAAAATTCTCCAACATGATTCTATGGTCAACTTCCATCATAGAGGTCCTCCAAGGTGATTCTATGGTCACCTTCCACTGTGGAAATCCTCCAGCATGCTTCTATGGTCAACTTCCATCATAGAGGTCCTCCGGAGTGATTCTATGGGAACCTTCCACTGTGGAAATCCTCCAGCATGATTCTATGGTCAACTTCCATCATAGATGTCCACCAGAATGATTCTATGGTCACCTTCCACTGTGGAAATCCTCCAGCATGATTCTATGGTCAACTTCCATCATAGAGGCCCTCTGGAGTGATTCAATGGTTATCTCTCACTATGGAAGTCCTCCAGCATGATTCAATGGTCAAATTCCATCATAGAGGTCCACCGGAGTGATTCTATGGTCACCTTCCATTGTGGAAATCCTCCAGCATGATTCTATGGTCAACTTCCATCATAGAGGCCCTCCAGAGTGATTCTATGGGCACCTTCCACTGTGGAAATCCTCCAGCATGATTCTATGGTCAACTTCCATCATAGAGATCCTCCAGGGTGATTCTATGGTCACCTTCCACTGTGGAAATCCTCCAGCATGATTCTATGGTCAACTTCCATCATAGAGGTCCTCCATAGTGATTCTGTGGTGACCTTCCACTGTGGAAATCCTCCAGCATGGTTCTATGGTCAACTTTCATCATACAGACCCTCCAAATTGATGCTATGATCAACTTCTATCATGGAGGTCCTCCAGAGTGAACTTCCACCAGACTTTGATCATTGCATCAAATGCCGATAAAGACGTTCTTCTAGGATGCTGACTATACTGGATGACCCTTGGGTTCTCCTCCAATGGTGATTCTATGGAGTTGTCAAACCACCAATGTGGAGGGCTGACTTTATTTACTGCTGGTGAGATTCAACACTAATAATTCACAATCCAGGAAATCAAACACGTACGTCTAGCAATCTAGGTCAAATTGATTTTGCTCGTCTTGGCAAATTTCGAGGAATCTCGGGGTAAACATGCTCAAGTTGAGAACTTCTAGTGCGAAGCTGCATGCTCATGCTCCTGAATTATTAAGCAGAGGTTCTCCCTGAGGGGACCAGAAATCAAAGCGTCCGGGGCCGTGGCGCCCTTGCAGCTCGGAGGGAAGTGTTTGATGATGCCAAGGAACGCCTCCTCCTGCATTTCCAAGAGGAAGGAGAACACCAAAGATCCCCCCCCCCTTCAAAAATCCCACATTGCTGTCAGTACAAGTTGTTAGATAATTAATTAAGCAGAATAGCTAATGAGGCCGAGCTACGAAAGCCATGGCCCAGTTTTCAGGATGAAAGGCGCCCGCCGGCTCCACCTCCCTGCTTTCATTTTTGGAGTTGCTGTCAAACGTTTCTACTATTTTTTGTAATAAATCACAGGAAATTCCCTGAGTAAGAAGCTCTTGTCTGGTTTTCACTCAGAATCCCTGGAAATGCGAATTTCTGTGGAAGGTTACAGTAGTCCATGCGGTCATGCTGGCCACATGACCTTGGAGGTGTCTACAGATAACGCCGATTCTTTGGCTTAGAAAAGGAGATGAGCACCACCACCTAGAGTCAGACACAACTAGATTTAATGTCAGAGAAAATATTTACCTTTTATTTATACACATAATAAAAGCAAAAATGTGTGTGTGTGTGTGCTGCTGTGGTGTCCACTTATATAGACAAGCTCCTGCCTCCACAAACAGCTAAAGCTCACACTATTCAGGAGACACCAAACGCCCTCCCTCCAATGACATTGCTGGTTATAGCGAGTGCCGTGAACATGTCCAAGAGCCCTGTCAATGTCCTCCACAAACACCATACTACGCACTACCCAAGGGAAGGCTTTCATACAGGGATAATTTCATCCTAGATTTTCTGTGTTTCCTCCACCACAGGCATCCCAGTGTTCCTTACTCTCTCCATTGGTGTGGAATTTGCATGACCCCCACCCACTGCCTCTCCCTTAATGCTTTCCTATTCTTTTCTATGTCACATAGCAAACAGAGGAATAGATCAGCAACTGAACATACTAGAGCAGTGTTTCCCTAAACTTAATGTCTAGGGAAAACCTTTACCTATATATATATATATATATACTAGCCGCCCCCTGCCACACATTGCTGTGGCACACATGGGGGTTCTGTGTGGGAGGTTTGGCCCAATTCTATCGTTGGTGGGGTTCAGAATGCTCTGTGATTGTAGGTGAACTATAAATCCCAGCAACTACAGCTCCCAAATGTCAAGATTCTATTTTCCCCAAACTCCACCAGTGTTCACATTTGGACATATTGAGTATTCGTGTAGAGTTTGGTCCAGATCCATCATTGTTTGAGCCCACAGTGATCTCTGGATGTAGGTGAACTACAACTCCAAAACCAAAGTACACTGCCCACCAAACCCTTGCAGTATTTTCTGTTGGTCATGGGAGAACTGTGTGCCAAGTTTGGTTCATTTCCATCCTTGGTGGGATTCAGAATGTTCTTTGATTGTAGGCAAACTATAAATCCCAGCAACTACAACTCCCAAATGACAAAATCAATTTTTTTGAGTGAAGGACATACATTGGGTTGTTAGGTGTCTTGTCTCCAAATTTGTTGTCTATTCATCCAGTGGTTTTTGAGTTCTGTTAATCCCACAAACAAACATTACATTTTTATTTATATAGACTAGCTGTGCCCCCCATGTGTTGCTGTGGCCAACCTTCCCTCTTTCCTTCTTTCCCTCCTTCCTTCACTCCCTCTTTCCTTCCTTCCTTCCTTCCTGTCTTTCCTTCTCTTCTTCCTTCTCTATCTCTTTCCTTCTTTCCCCTTTTTCTTTCTCCTCTGCTGTCTCTCTTTTCTTCTCTTTTTCCTTCTTTCCTTCCCTCCCTCTTTCTCTACATTTCCCCCTTCCTTCGCTCCCTCTTTCCTTCCTTCTTTCCCTTTTTTCTTTCCTTCTCTCCTTTCTCTCCTTCCTTGTCTAACTTTCCTTCCTTCCCCCTTTTTCTTTCCCCCCTCTTTCTCTCCTTTCTTCCTTCTCTACCTCTTTCCTTCCTTCTCTCTTTGCTTCCATGCTTCCTTCTCTCTTTCCTTCCTTCTTTCCCTCCCTCTTTCTTTCTTTCTTTCTTTCTTTTTTCTTCTTTTTTCTTTCTTTCTTTCTTTTTTTCTCCCCTTCCCTCCCTCTTTCTTCTTTTTTTGTATTGTCATTTAGCTTTTTGTCATTTAGCTTTTTGGGGCTTTCGGGGGGGCTTACTTCCTTTTCTATCCTTCTTTCTTTCCTTCTTTCTCTCTTTCCCTCCTTCTTTCCCCCTTTCTCTCCCTCTTTCTCTTCCTCCTTCTCTCCTTCTTTCCTTCTCTACCCTTCTTTCTTTCCTTCCTTCTCTCTTTCCCTCCTTCTCTCCTTCTTTCCTTCTGTATCCTTCTTTCTTTCCTTCCTTCCCTCCTTCTTTCCCTCCTCTCCTTCTTTCCTTCTCTATCCTTCTTTCTTTCCTTCCTTCCCTCCTTCTCTCCTTTCTTTCTCTATCCTTCTTTCTTCTTTCCTTCCCTCTTTTTCCTCTTCCCTTCTTCTTTCTTCTTCTCTCTTCCCTCCTTCCTTTCTTCCTTCTTCTTTTTCTTTCCTTTCTTCCCTCCTTCTTTCCCTCCTTCTCTCTTCTTCTCTTCTTCTTTCCTCCTTCCCTCCTTCTTTCCCTCTTCTTTCCCTCTTCTTTCCTTCTCTACCTTCTTTCTTTCCTTCCTTCTCTCTTTCCCTCCTTCTTTCCTACCTTCTCTCCTCCCCTCCTTCTCTCCCTCCTTCCCCCATTCTGTGTATGTGTTTTGTGTGTATATATGCATATACTGTGTGTTTGTGTATATATATGTGGTTTTGCGCATGCATTGTAATGTATTTTTGTGGGGTTTTTTGCTTTTTAAGTCCCTTCTGCTGTGTTTTTCAGTGTTTTTATGAGTGAAGGACATACAAGTGTATGTTGTCCAAATTTGGGGTCAATTCCGCCAGTGGTTTTTGAGTTCTGTTAATCCCACAAACAAACAATACAATTATATTTATATAGATTTATATCCACAATATTAAGGTGCACTGCCTTTTATGAGATGTTTACATGGAGCAAAAAGTGCATCTCAGAATCAAAGAAATGCGGTATTTTCCTCCCACTTTTCCTTCCTCTTGTCAATTGTTATTCTCCGCTGTTGGCTTTTATGATTCATGTTTAATGTTCAGAGACATGGGCTCGTTTGATGCAAGGGGCCTAATTAACCGCCAAAGCTCCTTTCCCGCCACGGGTGCCTGCTTGGCTTCCCCCGTTGCCCTCCTCCGTTGGCGTAACCTTTCTTAGCGGGCCCTTCCGTCCGCTCGCAGCTCGGCAACCTTCAAGGCAAAGGCTCTTCTGCCAATTCAATTTATTAGTCTGTTTGTTCTGGATCCTGCCTCCTTCTCTGACAGATGCTCTGCCGTTTCCAATAGCAACCGCTCGGATTTGGCGGCACGTACCTGGGTGACACCTGCGTCGAGTCGCTCAGCCGTAAAGGCACCCCACCAAGGAGGAGACGCAATAAAAAAAGAGATGCAAGAAGTCGCCAATCTAATATAACGTACCGAAATAGCAGAGGGAAATGTTCTAATCCAATCGGGCCTCCCTATCCATCGAGTCGACATCCATGGCCTCCGGCATCCCAAATATTTTAATAATTATTTATTTGCATTTGTTTAAACCGAGATACTGAAATTTTGTTGTTCATTCGTTCAGTCGTCTCCGACTCTTTGTGACCTCATGGACCAGCCCACGCCAGAGCTTCCTGTCAGCCGTCACCACCCTCAGCTCCTTCAATATTATATTATATTATATTATATTATATTATATTATATTATATTAGGTAGGTAAAAATGTCCCCTGACATTAAGTCCAGTCATGTCTGACTCTGGGCTGTGGTGCTCATCTCCATTTCTAAGCCGAAGAGCCAGCGTTGTCCATAGACACCTCCAAGGTCATGTGGCCAACATTGCCGCATGGAGCGCCGTTACCTTCCCGCCGGAGCGGTACCTATTGATCTACTCACATTTGCATGTTTTCGAACTGCTAGGTTGGCAGAAGCTAGGGCTGACAGCGGAAGCTCACGCCGCTCCCCGGAATCGAACCTGCGACCTTTTGGTCAACATGCTCAGCAGCTCAGTGCTTTAACCCACTGCGCCACCGGATATATTATATTATATTGAAATACATATAACAAAATACGAAAAGCAAATTTGATTTTGTTGAAATGCGTCAAGGAAGACTTAAAGGAGGTGCCGATGTAATGTAACACCCAAAAATGCGATGTAAACATTTCTAATACCGGGTTGTTGTAGGTTTTACTCCAAGCACTGTCAGGCCATCAAATGCTAATCAAGGTGGTCAGTTGAAACATTCCCACCTAGCTCCAGCAGACAAGAGTCCTTTGTCCCACCCTGGTCATTCCACAGATATATAAACCCTTTTCCTAGTTCCAACAGACCTCACTACCTCTGAGGATGCTTGCCATAGATGCAGGCGAAACGTCAGGAGAGAATGCCTCTAGACCATGGCCATATAGCCCGAAAAACCTACAACAACCCAGAGAGGAAACAAACAAGGACATCTAATCACCTCTCAACAAAAGTTTGCTCCAGGCACTGCCAGGCCATCAAATGCTAATCAAGGTGGTCAGTTGAAACATTCACACCTACCTCCAGCAGACAAGAGTCCTTTGTCCCACCCTGGTCATTCCACAGATATATAAACCCTTTTCCTAGTTCCAACAGACCTCACTACCTCTGAGGATGCTTGCCATAGATGCAGGCGAAACGTCAGGAGAGAATGCCTCTAGACCATGGCCATATAGCCTGGAAAAACCTACAAAAACACACAAATACTAAAACAGCCTAAGTCATAGAGTCCTTGATCTGGAGTCCTTGGCTCTCTCGTCTTGGCCAAGTTTCCAGGAAAGAAGGGAACAGTTGGAGCCAAATGGGCACAGAGTTAATGCTATTACCTGGCATATTGGGAGAAAATAATAATAATAATAATAATAATAATAATAATAATGGATAGAGAAAGGAACCCTTAATAATAATAATAATAATAATAATAATAATAATAATAATAATAATAATAATAATTCCTAGTTCCAACAGACCTCACTGCCTCTGAGGATGCTTGCCATAGATGCAGGCCAAACGTCAGGAGAGAATGCCTCTAGACCATGGCCATATAGCCTGAAAAAACCTACAACAACTCAGTGATTCCGGCCATGAAAACCTTCGACAATACATTTCTAATACCTTCAGCCCTCGATATCCATGGATTCCACCATCCACAGCTTAAAACAATATGTTTTTAATGATCCCAAAGAGGGATCCTTGGTTTTGTCATTATTTATTTACAGTATTTATATTCCGCCCTTCTCACCCTGCAGGGGACTCAGGGCGGATTACAATGTACATATGTATGGCAAACATTCATATATAGACAGACATTCAGAGGCTATTTAACATTCCAGCTTCTGGCCACCAGGGGAGCTGTTGCTTCACTGTCCTTTTGTGACACTGATAAAGTACTTCCTTATTCTTTGCATACTTCCTGGAGATTTTTATGGCCTCGTAAATCAGTTAAATTAGCCTCCCCACATAAGTGGTACCTACATTTTCTACTTGACAGATGCAACTGTCTTTCGGGCTGCAAAGGTCAACAACAAGATACACAATTTTGGTCGGAAGCTCACTCCGACCCGGGCTGGCTTCGAACTCATGACCTTTTGGTCAGTAGTGACCAAAGGCCATTTCCTTATTTATTTGGATCAAGTGGGGAAATTCTCAAACAATTTGGTTTCTTGGAACCGATGTCTCACGATGCAGTGTTTGAAATATGGATCATTCTCATTGATTCCCTTTTCTGTTGTTCTTCCTTTTTTAAATATAGGGATCTACTGGATTTCCAGGATTTCCAGGAGCCAACGGAGAGAAAGGCACAAGGGTAAGAAAAATGCCATTTTTTTTTCACTATTGGCAGCCTTCCCTATCCTGTCATTTCCCTTAAGATTGATACTAGATTTGTGTGGTTCAGCCAGCTGATGACAATGAGGGGGTTGTTATTCCAGGGCTTGGGAAATTGGATGGGTTTTTCAATGATGGGAGTTTAGATCCTGCCTGTGAGAATGGGCTTGAAAGTGAAATTTCCTCAGAGTCCAGCAGACAGGGAGATGCACCGGTTGGTGAAGACTTTTTGCCTACTCGTTTCATAGCAACCTCAGATAAGGAGTTGGATGGGCGAGTTCACCTGAAAATACACCAGTAGGAATTTAAGACTTCATGTTAGGGAAGAAATAAGCAAATTAAGGAAGCTACAGAGCCTTCGTGAGATACAGCAGTGTGAGAAATCTCACAGGCATGGTAGTCAAGGTCACAGGCACGACTTCATGGCTTGTGGACTTCAAATCAGAGAATCGTTCCCTTTAGAATTCAGATCAGGCAACGCTGCAAAGCAGTGAGGATCTCGAACCTTGCTTCCAGTTCATGTTTCGAGTCTAAGAACTTGGGAATTTGGATTCATGTTTTAAGAAGCATCTATAGTCTTGCTTTTGGATTCATGTTCGTGTTTTGATTCTTGTTTTCCTGGATTTATGCTCATGTTTTGATTCTGGTTTTCCTGTACCTTGTTCTCTGGAACAGATTTGGACTGTTTGGATTATTACCTTTGGAGTGTTTGGTTTGGCTCATTACTTGTTGACTCTTTTTCTCATTGCCTATTAGATTTTGCCTTTGTTATGGCGATTTTTCCTTTTCCTATGTATTAGTAGTAAATTGTTTTACTACTATTTTTGGATTACTGGCTAGTAGGCTTGTTTGATCATGTTCGTTCGTTTCTAAAGTCGTTATTAATTCGTATTTAAATTAGCTTACGATCCAATATCGAGCCATGCAGGAATAGTGTGAAGAGTAATTAAGAATCGAAACAATTTTTCCAAATTTTCGTAATTATTTCGTAATTATTAAGACGGGAAAGAAGGAGAGAAAAGGTGCCAGCGTTGCCTTTCCTCCCCATCCTCCTCCTCCTCCTCCTCCTCCTGGAGATATTTTATTATCTTATTACTTGTTTTATTATTGTTTTATTATTTTATTTTATTATTTATTAATTTATTAATTTATTAATTTATTAATTTATTAATTTATTAATTTATTAATTTATTAATTTATTAATTTATTAATTTATTAATTTATTAATTTATTAATTTTAAGTGATTTTAATTTGTATTTTTACTTTAATGTATTTTAATTTCATCCTGAATTTATTTTAATTTGGTTTCTGTTAGTTGTAAGTTTTATCACCAACAGTCAGCAACAGAGGGAGAGGGATGCTTCAGAAGTTCCCCCTGTCCCGTTTGGAGGTGTTTTTAGCGCATTGTGCAATCGCGTCCGCCATTAACGAATCAATTCGTAATTAATGAAATTTCGTAAATTTCGAAATTTTGAAATCTTAAATTTCGGAAGTCCTCAGAAATTCGAAACGCTGGCACCCCCTGGAAACGAAGCGAGTTTAGAACCAATTTTTTTCTTGATCAATCAAATAGAAGGACCCCCTCATGTAGACCTTCGGACTATAGGATGAAGTGCTCCTTCAAATATTGGGGTAACAGGAGACCTCAAAAACACAACTGAAATAATCTCCTCTTTCCACTCTTTCTCCTTTTCCTTATTCTAGGGCACCCCTGGAAAACCGGGACCAAGAGGGCAACGAGGACCAACGGTATGAGATCTTATATTTCCCTATCTTTTGTAGTTGAAGAATTGCTCCTTGAATGACATGCTCAGCTATAGGGTGGGTGACACCTGGCTTGAAAACAGTCCATGTGAAGGGATCTAGGTGTCTTAGCAGACACGAGTCAACAGTGTGATGCAGCAGCGAAAAATCCAGTGGGATTCCAGTCTTCATCAATGGGACCTTTGTGTCTGGATTGAGGGAAGTCAATCCTGTGTCCAGTTCTGGGCAACACAATTCAAGGAGTAGGTGGACAAGATGGACAAAATGGTCAAAGGTCTGGAAGCCTCTAAGAAACATCTTAGGGAGCTAGGAATGATTAGCTTGGAGAAGAGAAGTTGAAGGGAAGGCAAGATAGTCATGCTTAAGTATTTGAAAGGAGGTCACATTTAGGAGCTCCAGAGACAAGGTCATGAAGCAATAGGCCCGGCGTACCTGTCCAAACGTATCTCCTTCTACATCCCACCTAGGAGTTTAAGATCTTCTGGGGAGGCGCTGCTCTCGTCCCTGCCCCTGTCACAAACACGGTTGGCGGGGACAAGGGACAGGGCCTTCTCGGTGGTCGCCCCCGCCTGTGGAATTCGCTCCCTGGGGAAATTAGGTCAACTTCATCCCTCCTCTCCTTTAGAAAGAAAGTAAAAACATGGATGTGTTACCAGGCCTTTGGATAATCTTGCAGACTTGACGATGATAATGACGACAATTGCTATGGAAATGTATTGTCGAAGGCTTTCATGGCCGGAATCATTGGGTTGTTGTAGGTTTTGTCGGGCTGTATGGCCATGTTCTAGAGGCATTCTCTCCTGACGTTTCGCCTGCATCTATGGCAAGCATCCTCAGAGGTAGTGAGTTATGGAAATGGTTTATAGACAAGTGTAATGGAGACTACAATTATAGAACTCGATGGGACGACGGCCACTAGACTGGCCCCCTTTTTAGTAGACTTTATTGTATTAATTTAAAGTTTTAACTATTTATAATTATTGATTTTGATGTGTATTTTATTATATTTTACGTGTAGGCATTGAATATGTGCTGACTGGAAGCCACCCTGAGTCCTCCTAAATCAGTGTTTCTCAATCTGGGGGTCAGGACCCCTGAGAGGGTGTCAAAGGGGTTGCCAAAAACCACCAGAAAACATAGTATTTTCTGTTGGTCATTGGGATTCTGTGTGGGAAGTTTGACCCAATTCTATTGTTGGTCGAGTTCAGAATGCTCTTTGATTGTAGGTGAACTATAAATCCCAACAACTACAACTCCCAAATGTCAAGGTCTATTTTCCCCAGACTCCATCAGTGTTCACATTTGGGTATATTGAGTATTCGTGTTTGGTCCAGATCCATCATTGCATGAATCCACAGCACTCCTCTGGGTATAGGTGAACTACAACTCCCAAACTCAAGGTCAATACTCACCAAATCCTTCCAGTGTTTTCTGTTGGTTATGGGAGTTCTGTGTGCCAAGTTCGGTTTAAATCCATCGCTGGTGGAGTTCAGAATGCTCTTTGATTATAAGTGAATTACAAATCCCAGCAAATACAACTCCCAAATTACAAAATCAATCCCCCGCCCAACCCCACCTAGCATTCACATTTGGGCATATTAGGTATTTGTGCTCAATTTATGGATGACTTTAATTGTGATTGTTCTATCTTAATAATGACTTATTTCTTTCCACATCCATCTTCTCCAGGGTCCCCGAGGAGAACGTGGGCAGCGAGGTATCACCGGGAAGCCAGGACCAAAGGTATTTGGAAGCAAGTCTTGGGCTTTCCTCATCTCCGAATTTTGTTCTAGGCCTCCGCAAAGTGCAGTTGTTTCCCTTTGGAATGACCTTAAGTTTGCCAGTTCAGAACTGTCCCTGCAATCTCAGTGCCAGATCCTAAGAGTGAAACCAAATGAGATCTTCGAAGTAGTGGACCTTTACACACTTACCACAGTTGTAATGTACATCGTATGCAGTTCAAATGAAATCCCCCCAGTCTAACGTATCTATATAAATAAAAATGTAATGTTCGTTTGTGGGATTCACATAACTCAAAACCCACTGGATGAATTGACACCAAATTTGGACACAAGACACCTCACAGGCCAACGAGTGACCATCACTCATAAAAACACTGGAAAAGAGAGGGAAGAAGTAAGGAAGGAGAGGAAGGAGGAAGGAAGGAAGGAAAGGAGGATGGAAGGAAGGAAGGAAGGAAGGAGAAGGAGGAGGGAGGGAGGGAAGGGAGGGAGAGAAGGAGGGAAGAAGGAGGAAGAGGGAAAGAAGGCAAGAAAGAAGGTAGAGAAGGAAGGAAGAGAGAAGGAGGAAGAGAAAGAGGAGAGAAAGAGGGAAAGAAGAGGGAAGGAGAGAAGAAGGAAAGGAAGAGGAGAAGGAGGAGAGAAGAGGGAGAGAAAGAGGGAAAGAAGAAGGAAGGAGAAAAGAAGGAAAGAGAAAGGTAGAGAAGGAAGGGAGAGAAGGAGGAAGAGAAAGAGGGAGAGAAGGAGGAAAGAAGAGGGAGAGAAGAAGAGAAAGAAGGGGAAAGAGAGAAAGAAGAAAAGAAAGAAGATAGAAAGGAAGGAAGGAAGGAAGAGGAAGGAAGGAAGAAGGAGGAAGGAAAGAGAGGAAGAGGAAGAAGAGGAAAAGAAAGAGGATAGAAGGAAGGAAGGAGAAAGGAGAAAGAGGGAAGGAAGAAGAGAGAAGAAGGAAAGAAAGAAGGATAGAGAAGGAAGGAAGGAGAGAAGGGAAGAGAAGAGGAAGAAGAGGAAGAGAAGAGGGAGAGAAAGAGAGAAAGAAGGGGAAAGAGAGAAAGAAGGAAAGAAAGAAGGATAGAAAAGGAAGGAAGGAAGGAAGGAAGGAAGGAAGGAAGGAAGGAAGGAAGGAGGAAGGAAGGAGAAGAGAAGAGGAAGAAAAGGAAAGAAAGAAAAGGGTAGAGAAGGAAGGAAGGAGACAAGGGAGAGAAAGAGGGAAAGAAGGAAAGGAAAGAGAAGAAGGAAAGAAGAGAAGAAAAAGGAAGGAGAGAAGGAGAGGAGAAGAGGGAAGGAAAGAAGGGGAAGAGAGGAGAGAGAAGGAAGAGAAAGGAGGGGGAAAGAAGGGAGAGGAAGAGGAGGAAGGAAGAAAGAAGGAAGAAAGGAAGGAAGAAGGAAGAGGAAGGAAGAAGAGAAGGAAAGGAGAGAAAGGAAGGAAGGAAGGAGGAGAGAAGGAAGGAAGAAGGAAAGAAGAAGAAAAAAGAAGAAAGAAGAAGAAAAGAAGGAAGGAAGAAGAGAGAAGGAAGGAGAAGGAGGAAAAGAAAAAGAAGGAGAGAAGGAAGAAGGAGAGAAGGAAGGAGAGAGAAGAGGAGAGAAGAGGAAGAGAAAGAAGGAAGGAAGGAGAGAAAAGGAAAGAAAAAGGAAGAAAACAGAAAGGAAGGAAGGAAGGAAGGAAGGAAGGAAGGAAGGAAGGAAGGAAGAAGAAGGAATGAATGAAAAGGGGGAGGAAAAAAAAAGAAAAGAAAGGAAAGAAAGGAAAGGAAGAGAGAGAAGGAAAGAAAGAAGGAGAGAAAGAGGAAGGAAGAGGGAGAAAGGAGAGGAAGAGGAAGAAGGAAAGAAGAAGAAGGAAGGAAAGAAGAAGGAAGAGAGAAGGAGGGAGGAAGAGGAGAAGGGAAAGAAGAGGGAAGGAGAGAAGGAAGGAAAGAAAAGGCTAGAGAAGGAAGGAAGGAGGAAGAAGGAAGGAAGGAGAGGAAGGAAGAAAGGAAGAAGGAAGGAAAAGGAAGGAAGGAAGGAAGGAGAGAAGAAATAAGAAGGAAGAGGGAAGGAAGGAGAGAAGGAAAAAGAAAGAGAAGGAAAGAGAAGGGGATAGAACCAAAGAGCAAAGGAAGGGAGAAAAGAAACAGGTAGAGAAGGAAGAAAGAAAGAAAGAAAAAGAGGAAAGGAGAAAGAGGAGGGAAGGAAGGAAGGAGAGAAAGAAAGGAGGTGCTCTCACTTTGAGAATCCTCCCCCCACCCCACATTCTGAGAATGGTTAAAGAAACCCCTGAGATCTGGAAGTTATAGATCTCAGAGAACCTTCTTCCTGTCTCTTGTTTTTATCGGTTCTGGTTTCCATCGTTGTGACTTTTAGCTAATTACAGTGGCTCGGCGGCGGCATGAATCTCTCAGCAGGAGTCATTATCCACTCACAATATTTATCCTCCCTTGTAAAACAGACACACCTCCTCCACGGTTTGGTTGCAGTTGCTGTTTAGAAGTAACAGGGAAGGGGGAGAAAGAGGCGGTGTGTCGTTATTTACGGCTGAGCATTGTTCCCAATGCAGTATCCGAGCCTTTCATGGCACAAAAGGGGTGAAACACAGAAGCAGGAATTGACCACTTTCTGCTTGGATCCTGGATGGGAATCATGTCTCTTCCAATATGATTGGAGTGCGACGCCCAGTAACTCCACCCAGCACACAGTATGGTTAAATATGCGGGATTCCACTTTGTGGCCCCATTTTTTAAGGTTAGCTCTGTATCACGTGGTGCCTTCCAGGTCATCCACTCTTCTGTGTGCCCCGGAGGGAGTCACTCATCCGATATCAGCCACTGATTGAGGTTCCAGATTTTCACCTGCCACTTTTAGACTCTTGCTTGCTGAGGCGCTCCTGCAAGGATATTTGTAGATCTTAGGAAGCTATTTCTTGATTTAAGGCATTGGCATGCTGGTTGATATCCAAACAGAGGATGGGCCAAAGATGTCAATGCCTTGGTGTTTTCATTGCTGGCTTCTACTTCCAAGCAGATGTCAGGTGGTGCAATATCAGCGAAACAGTGTAATTTCTCCCGTGGTGTGGGGCATAGACATCCTGTGATGATGCGGTATGTCTCATTAAGAGCCACATCTACTGTTTTAGCGTGGTGAAATGCGTTCCACACTGGGCATGCATACTCAGCAGCAGAGAAGCATAACGCAAGGGTAGATGTCTTCACTGTGTCTGGTTGTGATCCCCAGGTTGTAACAGCTTTCATATAATATTGTTTCTTGCACCCACTTTTTGCTTGATATTCAGGCAGTGCTTCTTATAAGTCAGAGCACGGTCTCAAGTGACTCCTAGATATGTTGGTATGCTGCAATTCTCCAGTGAGATTCCTTCCCAGGTGATCCTCAGAGCTTGGAATGCCCAGACATAGATATGCTTTTGTTGATGGTAACACCTTAGGGATATTGGTAATGTATTATTTTAATATTCTCTTTTTTACTTCCTTTTTCCTTTTTAGGGGAATTCTGGTGGTGACGGCCCCCCGGGTCCACCAGGAGAAAGGGTAAGATGAAATTATATAGCTCAAACATGAGGTATAATGTACATATTCGTAGTGATATTGGTAGCTGTTAAGCCATTGAACTGTTGAATCTGCTGACCTAAAAGTTGGCAGTTCACAGCCACAGGTCGGGGTGAGCTCCCGCTGTTAGCCCCAGCTCCTGCCAACCTAGCAGTTCGAAATCACGCAAATGTGAGTAGATCAATAGGTACCGCTTCGGCAGGAAGGTAATAAAAGCTATCATACTGGCAACACGACCAGGAGGTGTCTACGAACAATAGGCTCCTCGGATTGGAAATGGAACAAGAACACTTCCCCATGACCAGAGTTGAGCACCAACCTCCAGAAAGCTGGAAATGAAAGGGGAAGCCTTTACCTTTGTATGTCATTGTTGTTTCATTGTATTAAAGGCATTGAATAGGAACCCCCGGTAGAGCAGTGGGTTAAACCACTGAGCTGCTGAACTTGCAGATTGAAAGGTCACAGGTTTGAATCACGGGAGCGGGGTGAGCTCCTGCTGTTAGCCCCAGTTTCTGCCAAACTAGCAGTTCAAAAACATGCAATTGTGAGTAGATCAACTATATGAGCTGTTCAACAGTGGAACTCTCTGTTCCAGCGTGTGCTAAAGGGTTCTTCTTTGGAAGCTTTTAAACAGAGGCTGGATGGCCATCTGTTGGGAGTGCTTTGAATGCAGTTTTCCAGCTTCTTGGTAGAATAGGGTTAGACTGGATGGCCCATGAGGTCTCTTCGAACTCGATGATTCTAAGGAGTTGTTATACTTCAGAAACTTCAGAAAAATTGTGTTGCATGGTGTAATACCTCTTCTTTCTTTTCTTTCAAGGGTCCTCCAGGGACCCAAGGACCTACTGGATTTCCCGGACCAAAAGGCCCTCCAGTAAGTATAATTTTTCAATATTTAATTTATTGTTTTATACATAGTATTGACTATAATCACTTTCCAAAACAGATTTTAAAAATCCAACAAAAACTGATTGAAAACCGTTTGTTTTCTATAGGGCCCACCAGGAAAAGATGGGCTTCCAGGCCATCCCGGGCAGAGAGGTGAAACGGTAAGTATCGTGAGATCTTCCAATTGTGGTCTTCACTTTGCAGTTCAGGACTGTAGCCATCAACTACCTTGTAAAACAGCAGTTCTCAACCTGGGGGTCGCGCCCCCCAAGGGGGTCACTGGGCCATTTTCCGGGGGTCGCGAAGTCACCTCGGTTGGCTGCCGGCTCCTATGTGAGCCACATAGCCATGGCCATGGAAGGGGCCTTTCCCGCTCACCTCCTGCGCCCTCCGGCCTCAGAGGATGTGGGGGTCGAGTGTAAGGCCCTTGCCACGGCCATGGAGGGGGCCTTTTCCCGCTTGCTTCCCGCGCCCTCTGGACTCAGAGGACACGAGGGGTGAGTGTAAGGCCCTCACCATGGCCACGGCCATGGAAGGGGCCTTTCCCACTCGCCTCCTGCACCTTCCGGCCTACGTCATAACAGTACAGTTATGACGTAGCAACAAAAATAGGGTTGGGGGTCACCACAACATGAGGAACTGTATTTAGGGGTCACGGCATTAGAAAGGTTGAGAACCACTATTGTAAAATATTGGCAGAGGCCAAAGGTTTACATGGGAATATGGAGACATCCTGATATTTTGAGAATTGTGACATATGCCCGGGTTATTTGAAAAGGCATTTGTTGGCTGAGTTATTTGTCGGCTGAGTTCAGTGCTCTTTGGAGAACTGTGAACTACAACTCCCGTATGCCAAAGTCAATCATGGTCAAAACCCGCCTGTATGTGCACTTGGCCATGTTGGGTCTGTGTGCCAAGTTTGATCGAGATCCAATGCTAGGTTCAAGGCTCTCTGGATAAGAGTGAACCACAACTCCCATAGGCAAAGGGAATCACCCCCTAACTCCATCTGTATGAACTGTGGACTATGTTGGGTCTGCGTGCCAAGTTTGGTCCAGATCCCTCATACGTGAGGGTCGCAGTGGAGGTAACTGAAAGTACTGCAAATCTGGCTGGGTTCAAGGCTCTCTGGATAAGGGTGAACCACAACACCCATATGCCAAGGGAATCACCCCCTAACTCCATCTGTATGAATAGTGGACCATGTTGGGTCTGTGTGCCAAGTTTGGTCCAGATCCCTCATGCGTGAGGGTCACAGTGGAGGTGACTGAAGGTACTGCAAATCCGATGATCCATGGTCAATCCTCCCCCAAACTGCACCAAGAATACAGTGGGTCATGGGGGTGGGGGGTCTGTGTGCCAACTTTGACACTGGCTAGGTTCATCCCCTAACTCCATCTGTATGAATAATGGGCCATGTTGGGTCTGTGTGCCAAGTCTGGTCCAGATTCCTCATGTGTGGGGGGTTGCAGTGGAAGTGACTGAAGGTATTGCAAATCCGATGATCCATGGTCAGTCCTCCCCCAAACCACACCAGCATGTACAATGGGTCATGGGGGGAGGTCTGTGTGCCACGTTTGGTCCAGGTCCATCGTTCGTGGGGATCACAGTGGTCTGTGGGAGCTGAATTGGGTGAAGGTACTGCAAATCCAATCATCTGTGGTCCAACCTTCCCCAAACCGTACCTGGACATAAAGTGGGCCATGTTGGGTCTGTGTGCCAAGTTTGGTCCAGATCCCTTATGCATGGAGATCGCAGTGGAAGTGACCGAAGGTACTGCAAATACCATCATCCATGGTCAATCCTCCTCCAAACTACACCAGTATTATAGTGGATCATGAGCGGGTCTGTGTCCCAAGTTTGGTCCAGGTCCGTCATTCGTGGGGGTCACAATGGTCTGTTGGAGCTGAATTGGGTGAAGATAGTACAAATCCAATCATCGTGCTCCAACCTTCCCCAAACATTACCTGGACATAAAGTGGGCCATAGGGGATCTGTGTGCCAAATTTGGTCCAGGTCCGTCATTCGTGGGGGTCGCAGAGGTCTTTGGGAGCTGAATTGGGTGAAGGTACTACAAATCCAATCATCCGTGGTCCAACCTTCTCCAAGCATTACTTGGACATAAAGTGGGCCATAGGGGATCTGTGTGCCAAGTTTGGTCCAGGTGTGTCATTCATGGGAGTCTCAGTGGCCTGTGGAAGTGGCAGCCAATCAGAAAGCTGCCACATACCTACACACATACAAACACTGTGTGTGTGTGTGTGTGTGTGTGGCATTTTGATGCAAATGAAATATTCAGGTAACAAATTTCAGTGTACAAAAAACTAAACTCGGTGGGAAGGAAACACACAAAATTGAAATACAGAAGATTTATATCCTTATGTCAATGATTGGGAATTGATGGCACGAAAATTGCCTTCTCGCTCACCAGGGGAAACATTTCTCTGAGCCGTAGTACAACCCGTCATATCCCTTTGCTTCTTTCACCCATCCAACAGAAAGCATCATGTCGTCTCCAATCTCCTTCATGTTTGCTCTCCTGCGAATATCCAGATAGCTCGCTCTCTCCTCTTCCGTTGTCCGCTGGGATTCCTCTCGTTCCTTCCCCGATGATAAGCCCTCTTATCGCCAGAGCGGCTTGTTAAGTCAGCCGGATCATTCGAGAGGGTACAATGAAGCATTTTGCGTGCATCCAAAATGACAATATCTTGTCTTTTCACAGGGTTTCCAAGGGAAGACAGGACCCCCTGGACCTCCCGGAGTTGTGGGTCCTCAGGTGAGCCCCCCAAAGGATACCCAGGTTTTGGAGGGGATGGAGAGTCATCCAATTATCTAGACATTTGGGGGTTCTCTTGCCAAATAAGTGACGAAATAAATTCTGTTTCATGGGGTAAATAGTAGATTTGTGCATCTGATGCGGAAATACACTTGATTCGTATCTAGTTTGGATGTTTAGCACTTCCAATCCCCCTCAAATATTAAGAATTTGGATCAAAAGGAGCCTGTGATTCTTACGTTTCCGATATTTTTCCAATGTAGCTGTGACGGAGCTAAAATTCACAGGGCAACCAAGCCCTGCTGAGAGGCGAGGCCAAACCTGTTGGCATGCCTCTCCAGCCAATCAGGGCTAACGGAGGAGGGAGGGAGAGGCAGAGATAGCTAAAAAATGTTGTTTGTAAGAACTTTGAAAATTTTCCAAAAATCCATGGATAAGTCAAATGTTCTGAAATTTGGCGAGCTAACAGTGGTAAATGTGTTCTACCACCATAGCAAGTCTCATCAGAATAGCTCAAAAAATGAATGAGAGAGAAGCCCCTCAAGTTTCCCCACTGATAGTAATGTTTTCCTTAATGCGCATGTGCGACCACCATTAACAAAGTACTTATGAAGATTCTGAAGTTTCATAAAGTTTCACAATTTTTACCCCCAAAATTTGGGAAGGACTTTAGAAACCAAGTGCCAGCGTCCCCAACTTTTGAATACAGTTTAGAACCATTATTTTTGGATCTCGATGTTCAATGAGAAGCCAGGTTTCTTGGATGCTTCTGCAAAAATGTTTAGAGTGCCTTGTAGGTCTAAATATGCACAGACTACATTATCATCAGCATATTGGAGTTCTACAACAGATGTTGTGGAGACTGAACTATAGAAGGACAGAGTCACTCAAAGAATCCCTGCATTGTTTGTGTTGTTTGTGAGACATGGAGATTATGACCAGGGCTCTTGGTGAGGTCTCATTCATAGGGTTGGCCGGGATGGCTCCTCTATGATTCTATGAAGTATGTGGAAGATCTGAGAGTCTTTTTGGTACACTGTTTTGTCTTCTCTTAAAGGGTCCTACTGGAGAAACGGGTCCAATGGGAGAGCGTGGCCACCCTGGCCCTCCTGGGCCCCCAGGTGAGCAAGGACTTCCTGGGCTGGCTGGAAAGGAAGGAACAAAGGTAGGTCTGGTTTGCTTGACGTTCCCTTAGGAATCCTAGGATCCACTCTGTGATTTGGGTTGGGGCAAGGAGACCGAAGTGACTGTGTTACGTAGTAGCGAAGAAACAAAACAGAGATGTCTTTTCCATTCTGAACCATGGACCTTTCCTTGCAGGGTGATCCAGGACCTGCTGGTCTTCCTGGGAAAGATGGCCCAGCTGGTTTGAGAGGCTTCCCTGGAGACCGAGGCCTTCCTGGACCAATTGTAAGTTGAGGCATTTCTCTATGGGAGGTCAAGGATCAATCCTCCTCTCTTGGTCTACCACCTAGGTTGTGAGTAATGGATGACCTATTCCTCTTCCTCTTTCATCTTGTTGCCCATAGGGACCCGTTGGGCTGAAGGGCAATGAAGGACCACCAGGTCCTCCTGGACCAGCGGTAAGTATAAATGTTCTCTAGACCCTAAGTGACAAAACGTATGGAAAGTTGTGGCCACTTTTCTGTTCAAAGCAAGCTCTCAAAGCTAGGAGACAACCAGTGTAATTTCTGAAGGGCCTCATTTCATTATTATGTACCAATGTTGATACTTGACTCCCATCTCCAAGGTATCTCATTATATGCACGTCTGTATTCAGTAATCTGAAATACAAAATACTTCTGGTCCCAAGCATTTTGAAGAAGGGATACTCCACCTATACTGCCAGTCATAGACTTATGGTTGCCCCATCCAATGTCTTTTAGTTTTCTTAGGCATGGATGGTGTCTCCAGTTCCTTCCTCCAAATTATATTGCACAATGGCATTCATGTCTTTCTTAGTAGGCTTAGGACTTCAACCCTCTTGTTGTCCTCTCTATTCAGGGTTCTCCTGGTGAACGAGGTCCTGCTTTCTTAGTAGGCTTAGGTCTTCAACTTTCTTGTTGTCCTCTCTATTCAGGGTTCTCCTGGTGAACGAGATCCTGCTTTCTTAGTAGGCTTGGGTCTTCAACCTTCTTGTTGTCCTCTGTATTCAGGGTTCTCCTGGTGAATGAGGCCCTGCTTTCTTAGTAGGCTAAGGTCTTCAACCTTCTTGTTGTCCTCTCTGTTTAGGGTTCTCCTGGTGAACGAGGTTCTGCTTTCTTAGTAGGCTTAAGTCTTCAACCCTCTTCTTGTCCTCTCTATTCAGGGTTCTCCTAGTGAACGAAGTCCTGCTTTCTTAGTAGGCTTAGATTTTCAACCCTCTTGTTGTCCTCTCTATTCAGGGTTCTCCTAGTGAACGAGATCCTGCTTTCTTAGTAGGCTTGGATCTTCAACTTTCTTGTTGTCCTCTCTATTCAGGGTTCTCCTGGTGAACGAGATCCTGCTTTCTTAGTAGGCTTGGGTCTTCAACCTTCTTGTTGTCCTCTGTATTCAGGGTTCTCCTGGTGAATGAGGCCCTGCTTTCTTAGTAGGCTTAAGTCTTCAACTTTCTTGTTGTCCTCTCTATTCAGGGTTCTCCTGGTGAACGAGGTCCTGCTGGAGCTGCTGGTCCAATCGGTCTACCAGGAAGGCCCGGACCCCAAGGCCCACCAGGTCCTGCTGGTGAGAAAGGAGCCCCGGTAAGTCTTATATCCAGATAGCAGAAGATTGAATGGACACCTTGTAAAAGAAGCCAATTTACTATTTTCAAAATGGCAACAACGGTAGGGTCAACAGACGAACCAACAAGCCCTGGTCTGCCCCAGCTTAGCTTCCAGGACCAAGTAGAATCAGATGCCTTCAAGTTGCCCATTAATCCCAATGATTTCATAGGGTTTTCTTGGGTAATGAATATTCAGAGGTGGTTTTGACAGCCTTTTCTTCTGAACCCTATGGTCTCCCAGCCAAGTGTTGACTTGGGTTGACCCAGCTCGGCATCCAAGACCAGGTGAGATCTGGTGGTTTGAGTCCTTATTATTAACAACTGATATGAGAACATAATCAGAGTTCAATTTCACAACGAATGTGAAAGACGCGATCCAAAACAGAGAATGCATGGAAGGAGAAGAAAACATTATTCCTCTCTTTGGCCCAAATTGCTTTCCAGTTTGCCCTCAGAATGATTGTCCTCAAAAGCGGATGAGCTTGATAGCTTTGCATTACACAAGGACGTATCCACTGATATGAATCTCTGTTATTTGAGGCACTTGTCTCCCTCCTCCTGCCCAAGACTTTTCGAAAGATGGCATCTGAGCCTGCATCTCCTCTCCAAGCTCCATCACCAACTCCCACACTGAAGTATTTATATTTGATGTGTTTGGAGGAAGCTGAAATGCGTTGTTTATCTGACACCTAATTGGTTGCTGCGGCAAACGCGTTGCCTTGGATGCGAGCAGAAATCGAAGTGGTACTTCTGGGAAGAAACAAACCTTCAGCCCACATGGGCAGGAGGCAAAAAAAAAAAGATGAAGAAGAAAAGTGAAATCTCTTTTCTTCTCCAATCCTGACCCTCAGGCATTGAATTGTTGAAGCAGTTGCCCATCAAAAGCAAACTTTTGGAAGTATTTCTTTACCCGTCTCATATAAGAATGATAAGAAAGAGGCATTTGTAATCATGCAAAAGCAAGAGCTGCTGCTTCGTGTCTACTTGTTGTGTGCCTTCAAGCCATTACCAACTTGTGGAGACCTTACGGTGAACCCATCATTGGGTTTTCTTGGCAAGATGCAAAGAAAGGCTTTCCATTGTGTTCCTCTGAGGCTGGGATAGTGTGGCTTGCCCAACATCATCCATGTCTAGTTGTTGCGTGCCTTCAAGCCATTACCAACTTGTGGAGACCTTATGGTGAACCCATCACTGGGTCTTCTTGGCAAGATGCATTACTCTGAGGCTGGGATAGTGTGGCTTCCCCAACATCATCCAGTGGGTTTCCATGTGAGATTTCAAAGTCTGCCATTCCATCACACTGCTTTTTGGAGATTTCAAGTCACAAAATCCTCCCAAATTGCCGAATGGGGGAATGTTGTGAGCTGTGGTTCTGGACCCTCCTTCTAAGGAGAAACATCTTTCAGAGAAGGTTGATATTAGAATTTGTCAGCTAGATGGAATTGCTAGTTTACCAGGTTGGGCCAGAAAGATCTTAAAAGGTCCTGAACCTTAGATGACTCCAATAACCATGTGGTCCTCAAAGGTGTTTCTGTGGCCCTGGACCCTCCTTCTAAGGAGGAACATCTCTCAACATCTCTCAGAGAAGAAGATTGATGTTAGAATTTGCCAGCTAACTAGAATTGCTAGTTTACCAGGCTGGGCCAAAATTTATCTAAAGGGGTCCTGAACCTTAGTTGACTCCCATAACCATGTGACCCTCAGAGATGGTTCTGTGGCCCTGGAACCTTCTTCTAAGGAGGAACATCTCTCAACAGCTTTCTATCCAATTGACCATGATCTCTTTCTGGGTTGTCTCGCAGGGATGGGACTGGGAGATACTGTCTTACAATGGCTTTGGTCCTTCCTGGAGGGCCATACCCAGAAGGTAGTGCTGGGGAACCCCTGCTTGAACCCCTGGCTGTTGTCCTGTGGGGTTCCTCAGGGTTCCATTTTGTTTTCCATCATGCTGTTTAACATGAACATGAAACCACTGGGAGAGGTTATCCTGAGTTTTGGAGTACAGGGCCACGGATATGCGGATGACACCCAACTCTACTACTCCTTCCCACATAAAGCCAAGGAAGCTGTCCTGACCCTAAACCGGTGCCTGTCATCAGTAATGGACGGATGAAGGCAAACAGATTGAAACCTAATCCAGACAACACAGAGGTGGTCCTGGTCAATTGAAAGGCAGTTCAGAGAATAGAGATCTAGCCTGTGCTCATGTGTTGCATGATACTTGAGAGCAATCTGTTCATGAATGTATTAAAGTAATGATTTATTTCCTGCTTTTTCAGGGTGAGAAAGGTCCTCAAGGTCCAGCAGGTCGTGATGGTATCCAAGGACCAGTAGGTCTCCCAGGACCTGCAGGTCCTGTTGGCCCTCCAGGTGAAGATGGAGACAAGGTAGGAGAACTTCCATTTAGGTCAGTGCTTTCAAAACTGTGATTCATGGACCACCAGCGGTCCACAAGAACTATAATATGCTCCATGACCTCACTGTTACTACACTGTTACAAGGAGAGTGATGAGAGCGATGAGGATTTGCAACGAACCCCTCTTACAGTGCCAAGGCTTAGAATCATAGAGTTGGAAGAGACCTTGTGGACCATCCAATCCAACCCCATTCTGCCAAGAAACAGGACAATCACATTCAAAGCACCCCTAACAGATGACTATCCAGCATCTGTTTAAAAGCCTCCAAAGAAGGAGCCTCCACCACACCTCAGGGCAGAGAGTTCCACTGCTGAACAGCTCTCACAGTCAGGAAGTTCTTCCTAAAGACCGGGTAGAATCTCCTTTCCTGTCCTTTGAAGCCATTGTTCCACATCCTAGTCTCCAGGGCAGCAGAAAACTCATTAAATATGGTTCTCTGTGGGTGAGCAGATGGCGACTACTGGATGGCATATGTGCTGTATCAGATACTAGAGCTGATATGGTCTATCCAATTGAATGTTTTGAATCAGTGCGCCAAATAACCAAACCGAATATAAAGTTGACCAAAAAAATGATATGTAACCCTTTTGATACTAATGTTGGAGAGTGGTCCCTGGTCAAAGAGGTCCATGGTTGAAGAGGTCCCTTGTCAAAATGGTCCCTGGTCAAAGTGGTCCCTGGTCAAAGAGGTCCCTGATCAAAGAGGTCCCTGGTTGAAGGGGTCCATGGTCAAAGAGGTCCCTGGTCAAAGTGGTCCCTGGTTAAGTGGTCCTTGATCAAAGAGATCCTTGGACAAAGAGGTCCCTGGTAAAAGAGGTCCCTGGTTGAAGAGGTCCCTGGTCAAAGTGGTTCCTTGTCAATGAGGACCCTGGTTAAAGAGGTCCCTGGTCAAAGTGGTCCCTGGTCAAGTGGTCCTTGATCAAAGAGGTCCCTGGTCAAAGTGGTCCCTGGTCATGTGGTCCCTGGTCAAAGAGGTCCCTGGTCAAAGAGGTCCCTGGTCAAAGAGGTCCCTGGTCAAAGAGGTCCCCGGTCAAAGTGGTCCCCGGTCAAAGAGGTCCCCGGTCAAAGTGGTCCCCGGTCAAAGTGGTCCCCGGTCAAAGAGCTCCCTGGTCAAAGAGCTCCCTGGTCAAAGAGGTCCCTGGTCAAAGAGGTCCCTGGTCAAAGAGGTCCRTGGTCAAAGTGGTCCCTGGTCAAAGAGCTCCCTGGTCAAAGAGCTCCCTGGTCAAAGAGGTCCCTGGTCAAAGAGCTCCCTGGTCAAAGAGGTCCCTGGTCAAAGAGGTCCCTGGTCAAAGTGGTCCCTGGTCAAAGAGGTCCCTGGTCAAAGAGGTCCCTGGTCAAAGAGCTCCCTGGTCAAAGAGGTCCCTGGTCAAAGTGGTCCCTGGTCAAGTGGTCTCTGGTCAAAGAGGTCCCTGGTCAAGTGTTCCCTGGTCAAAGAGGTACTTGGTCAAAGAGGTCCCTGGTCAAAGTGGTTCGTGGTCAAAAAAAGGCTGGAAACCACTGATGTAGATAGGCATTTCAGTGAAGAGACCTCCTTCTTACTTTATGGAGTAGGTCTGAAAGGAATAGTCAAAGAGGAGAGATCAAGAATGCTCTTTCAGAAACTTTAAGATGTATCCTCTAGAAGACCCAATACATTTGGGGTTCATATAAACTGTAAAACAAATGCCGTTTGACATCACTTAACTGCCACAGTTCAATATAATTATGGTGATTTGGGTGTTGGAAAGATGTTTTGGAGTTATCCACCACAAATGGTGACTTGCAGCAACAGAGATTGATTAAATTGGGGCAATCGCCCCAATTTTGAGGGAGGCAAGCGTGTGTAAAGACCACCTTGCCCACCATTTCCCCACTCTGTTACAGACTATGCTGACTTATGTGGGCCAAGTATCCGACACAATACAAAGCAGCTTTGTGTGTTCTTCAAAGTATAAATTCCTTGCCTGGCATTGATGGGGTGAGACACGGAATCCCGCTGAGAAATTTCCCTTCATATCAAAAAATGCTTTCGATTTTCCTCCGGATTCCCCCGAGTCTCCAGCTTTGCCTTGAAATTTCGCCTTAGGCAGAATTTGACACGTCGACGTTGAGTATTCTTTGCTCGCCTTTCTCCCTTCTCCCAAGTCAACTGGGCTAACTACAAATATATATATATATAACCGTGAAGGCTTCTAATCAGTTAGAGAACCGAAAGAACGCCCTTCAGCCAAATTCTGACCAAACGTGGCATGAGGAAACTCAGCTTTGATCACCAGGCGTTTTTGGAGTGTAGGAACACGATGTTTTGGAAAGGAAGAGGAGAAGAAGATGCATTTGCTGAATTATTCACATCGCTAATTGGTATCGTTATAGCATTTGTGGAGTCAGAAGAGATTTTAGCTCAAGTCCAAGGAAAGTAGGGCACATGGAAGCTCTCGTGGAGTGGTTGTTGTGTATCTGTATGTATAATGATGTTTTCCTGTTTGCTAGGGGGAAATTGGTGAACCCGGACAAAAGGGAAGCAAAGGGGACAAAGGTGAACAGGTGAGTATTGATTTGTATTTTTCGTGAGTTGCTCTGTTTCTATCCCTTTGGATATGTGTCAGGACCCAGAAGCCTTATTTAGAGCCAAGCACAAGATAAGAGTACAAAACACAGCTTTATTAAACAAAAATAGTCTTTCAAAGCACTTAATTTTGGTGCAAAGAATCCCAGGAGTAAATTGGCATCAAAAACAAAGCGATACCAGAAACAAAAATATAACCCGGATTATAGCGCTGCCTTATAATCCGGATTAAACTCAGAGTTAAGCAATTCGCTTGAAGGTTGGTAGAGCACAAAAACACAGTCACAGAAGATGAAAAACGAAGTCCCGAAACAAGGAGTTGTTCAAGCACAGAGTTATTAGAGTTCAAAGTCCAGATAGCCAAAAGCGTTGGTCAAACCGTTCCGTAGTCAAGCCGTTGCAGGAATCACCGAGGAGCAGGAAAACAGGAACACACGAAGCTGCAGCCTAGGACCCAAATTCAAGAGTTGGCAGTACAAAGAGTTATGTCCAATAAAGACACTTTGCCTTCTGCAAAGTAACATGCCCACAGACCCCACTTTTATCTCAAAGTTCCTCATCAGAGCTTGATGAGCTCCCCACCCTTTCCTCATCGCTCTCAGCTGCCTCCATCCCCGCAGCTGAATCCGAGCGCCCATCCCTCCACCTCTGCCAGCGTCTGCTAAGACTTAGATCCTGCCAAGAGGTCCCTGGCTGCCAATCCTCAGTGAACCCCTCAAATTCCTCACGGGTCCAATCTAATTCCTCCTCCTCCATATCACTCCCAGACCCAGAACTCCTTTCAAACCCCAGGAAATCCTCTTCGTCTACTAGTGCACTAAGTATTTCCCGGATGCGCTTCCTTTGTAATTCCCCTTCAGACTCCGGGTCACGAGCAGACCTCTTTACACCTCTGCTCTCCTCCCCATCCCCCATTTCGCAATCCGAGAAGCCTTGAAACGTATCAGTATCGCTTGGGGCCATAATGATTTCCCTAATGCACTTTCGCTGTTGTTCTCCCTCTGACTCCTGAGCAGACCTTTTCTCCCTGCTACCAGGAGTAGCGTGAACTACAACAATATGTCTCTTAGGACATTGGAGGCAAGACTCATCATCCCAGCTTCCTCCACCATCTACCCAATGTTTCCGTTTCCTCCATCCTACTCCTAAATATGCATTTTCCTAATAAGGAAATTAGAATATTAGTACCAACCAGAGTAAGCCCATTGAAGCAAACGTCTTGTATTTGTGCATTGTATTTCTTTCTATATCCATACCACTCAAGGTATCTCTGTTTCTTATCAGGGTCCGCCAGGTCCTACAGGTCCACAAGGTCAGATCGGCCAACCAGGCCCAGCGGTAAGTATGTGTTCAACTGCTAATCATCTAGTATTTTTAGTATTTCATAGAATCAAAGAGTTGAAAGAGACCTCATGGGCCATCCAGTCCAACCCCATTCTGCCAAGAAGCAGGAATACTGCATTCAAATCACCCCTGACAGATGGCCATCCAGCCTCTGTTTAAAAGCTTCCAAAGAAGGAGCCAGGGTTCCAAGGGTTCAAGAGACAGGTCAGGATACTGAAAATCCACAAACCTGGGGGAAAACCAGCAGCATCTACCACCAAAATAAAACAAATACTTTTCTCCTGAAGATCAGAACTCTTACTTACAGATTTCTCAGCCCTTTAGAACTTAGACTTACATTAACCCTTCCATCACCAACTGCTAGGCCTACCACCACCAACCACCATCAACTGCAGAACATAATACATGACAAGGAGACTTCACCACATTCCCATTGATCCTATCCATGGGAGGTCCTAGAACTGAATCTTCACAAAAGCCAGAAGGTCCATTTCTCATCTTCTCATCTGTGACATTCACAGAAGCTTGTCAGGTCTACAGGGGGAAAATTGTGTAGATTTTCAGTGTATTTATTCCTTCCTTCCAAGGGAGCCGACGGAGAGCCAGGCCCTCGAGGACAACAAGGTCTTTTTGGTCAGAAAGGCGATGAAGGATCGAGAGGATTCCCTGGACCTCCGGGGCCAGTCGGACTGCAGGTAATCTCCACACACTACACTACATATCCAATCCACAACCTCCTTGACCGTCTCCCCTTAACTAAAGGTTGTAACTGTAATATCACAATACATGTCATGTAAATGATAGCTTAGTAAACATTCTAAATATATGCATATTACTAAGAGTAAGGCTTTTCTTGTTTTCCCTACAGGGTTTACCTGGACCTCCTGGTGAAAAGGGAGAAACGGGTGATGTTGGCCAAATGGTAAGATACTTTAAATATATGTATATACTATATTTTCATTAGAATATTGCAGTTTCAACATATATTGATAAGTCCACGCAAGCTTATGCTTTCACTCAGTTAGTCTCTGAGATCCTAGAAGACCTCTTTGAATGTGCATCTGGATGAAAGAGTTTATTGGTCCACTAATGGGATGCCTTCTTCTCCTCACAGGGTCCACCAGGGCCACCAGGGCCCCGAGGTCCATCTGGGGCCCCTGGAGCTGATGGGCCACAAGGTCCACCAGGTGGGATTGGTAATCCTGGAGCAGTCGGTGAGAAGGTAACCATCTCCTGAAGACCACATCTATGAAGAAACAAATGCATTGGTCATAGAATCATAGAGTTGGAGGAGACCACAAAAGTCTCAAAAATAGCTCTTGTTTACCTTTCATTCACCCACCCGTCCCCCTAAAAGAGGATGTTGTACTGGATCATGTTGGATAGATTTGGGTACTGGGTCATGTTGGGACATATACTGGGTTATGTTGGATAGGCCCAAAAAAGATAAACATATTTCCTTCTTGTGTCCTGCCATGTACAGGGTGAACCTGGAGAATCTGGAGAACCTGGTCTACCTGGAGATGGTGGACCTCCTGTAAGTATGGATCTTGAAAATAGGGGTGGGAATAACGGAACACATGGGTTGTATCCACCAACCCTTTTGGCAAACATTTGGGATTGGTGCTATGGCAAGAAGTCTGCTAATGTGATCTCTCACTTTCCATTGACAGGGTCCTAAAGGAGAGAGAGGAGAAAAGGGAGAAGCTGGTCCTTCTGGGGCCGCTGGTCCTCCTGGCCCCAAAGGACCTCCAGGTGATGACGGTCCAAAAGGTAGCCCTGTAAGTAGCCTTCACTTGTATTTCAATGCCTATGATGCCTTAGATTAGAAGAGTGTTTTCCAAATCCTAAATAACACCAGAAGGTTGAGGTTGACCTCCATTGTGTCGAGGACCTCTCATTTCCCAACATTAAGCCACTTCATATAGCTCTACACCAGAGAGTCATGGCACAGTCTTGAGTACCATGTCCGGTATCCTATTGTTACTCCTAACTACAGTAGACCCATTGATTCCTTTAGATTTGTCTATGTGTTGACCCAATTGGATCTACTCTGATGTTTGGAAATTGGCCATAAAGTGGGCAACTATCCCAATAACTATCCCAATAATAAGACTGTGAATATTATCACTGGAGTGGGGAAAGTGGTCATCATGTGACCCTTGAACCCCTGAAATGTGGCCAGATATGACATGACACCACATCCAAGGAAGTGATGTGCAACCTCTAGAAATTGTAGGAGTGAGTGGCATGCCATTCTCCCTCCGACTGCCCACCCCAGTTTACACCCTTACCTGAATGACCATTCTGTCTTCAGGTCTTAATTCTTCAAAATGAAATATTCCCAATAAGTATTTGTATGAGTAATGTTTTTTCCCATTCCGTTCATCTTTGTAGGGTCCAGTTGGCTTCCCTGGTGACCCAGGTCCTCCAGGTGAACCTGGTCCAGCTGTAAGTACCAATCAATGCAACTAATGGTTACTTTCTTCTTGTTTCCTCTCTGAAAGTATAGTCAACTCTCCATTCCCATGCTATTTTGAGCCCAAGGATTCAACCAAGGAGGGATACTATTTTGCTCTGCCATCATAGAATCCAAGAGTTGGAAGAGACCTCCTGGGCCATCCAGTCCAACCCCATTCTGCCAAGAAGCAGGAATATTGCATTCAAATCACCCCTGACAGATGTCCATCCAGCCTCTGTTTAAAAGCTTCCAAAGAAGGAGCCTCCACCACACTCCGGGGCAGAGAGTTCCACTGCTGAACGGCTCTCACAGTCAGGAAGTTCTTCCTCATGTTCAGATGGAATCTCCTCTCTTGTAGTTTGAAGCCATTGTTCATTGTCCTAATTTCCATGGAAGCAGTAAACAAGCTTGCTCCCTCTTCCTCCCTGTGGCTTCCTCTCACATATTTATACATGGCTATCATATCTCCTCTCAGCCTTCTCTTCTTCAGGCTAAACATGCCCAGCTCCTTAAGCCGCTCCTCATAGGGCTTGTTCTCCAGACCCTTGATCATTCTTAGTCGCCCTCCTCTGGACACATTTCAGCTTGTCAATATCTCTCTTGAATTGTGGTGCCCAGAATTGGACACAATATTCCAGGTGTGGTCTAACCAAAGCAGAATAGATCATGGGGAGCATTACTTCCCTAGGATCTAGACACTATGCTCCTATGATGCAGGCCAAAATCCCATTGGCTTTTTTTGCCGCCACATCACATTGTTGGCTCATGTTTAACTTGTTTTCCACGAGGACTCCAAGATCTTTTTCACACGTACTGCTCTCGAGCCAGGCCTCATCGTCCCCCATTCTGTCTCTTTTAATTTCGTTTTTTCTGCCAAAGTGGAGTATCTTGCATTTTTCCCTGTTGAACTTCATTTTGTTAGTTTTCGCCCATCTCTCTAATCTGTCAAGATCGTTTTGAATCCTGCTCCTGTCCTCTTGAGCATCCATGGATTTTAGTATCCATGGGGTTGTCAAGATGTTCCTCAGAAGCAACATATATGGAGGTGGATATGGACTGTGTGAAGATGGTCTTCTCTCTTTTCCCTCAGGGTCAAGATGGTCCACCAGGTGATAAAGGTGATGATGGTGAATCTGGACAAACGGTGAGTTCATCTCATTTTCCCTCAAAGCTTTGGCAATAAGGACGTTCCTCCATTTCCTGGAATCTCTCTGATGATTTCCTCTGTGTTTGGTCTTTTTGGTGACTGTCCTGCAAAATCCAATAATTGTATTGCTAATGGCGTCTTTCTCTCTTCTATGCAGGGCTCCCCTGGTCCAACTGGAGAACCTGGTCCTTCCGGCCCACCAGGGAAAAGAGTAAGTTATATTTGTACTTAAAATAATTTTGCGTCCTGTAATGATCACCGATTTTTAATCTGCTCTAGCTGTGACTTTTGGTTTTGTCATTCCGGAGAGGGAGGTTCATTCCCATCTTGTTTTCTTTTCCTGTAACCGAACAGCATTGAAATGCAATCAGAGGTCATTATCATCTCCTCTTGGGTTCAGCAGCCTCAATGTTTCCTATGTAGCGTGGGAGTATTTGTGCCGTTCATTGCAGATGCAAGTTCTTCAAATCATCAACGAGAACAAGAAGAGAATTCCAATCATACAGAACAAGAGCTAGATTCTGAAAACCGAAATATTCCAAAATTGTCCCCCAGGTTCCTGAGATAGTGACATTGTTATTTCTCCTTTTTCCCTTCCCTCTTCTTGTTTCAGGGCCCACCCGGACCAGCAGGTCCTGAAGGCCGACAAGGAGAAAAAGGTGCCAAGGTAACACATTTCAGACCAGTGTTTCTCAACCTGGGGGTCGGGACCCCTGGAGGGGTCGCCAGGGGGTGTCAGAGGGGTCACCAAAGACCACCAGAAAACACAGTATTTTCTGTTGGTCATGGAGGTTCTGTGTGGGAAGTTTGGCCTAATTCAATCATTGGTAGGGTTCAGAATGCTTCTTTGATTGTGGGTGAACTATAAATCCCAGCAACTACAACTCCCAAATGTCAAGGTCTATTTTCCCCAAACTCCATCAGTGTTCACATTTGGGCATATTGAGAATTCGTGCCAAATTTGGTCCAGATCCTTCATTGTTTGAGTCCACCGTGCTCTCTGGATGTAGGTGAACTACAACTCCCAAACTTAAGATCAATGCCCACCAAACCCTTCCAGTATTTACTGTTGGTCATGGGAGTTCTGTGAGCCAAGTTTGATTCAATTCCATCGTTGGTGGAGTTCAGAATGCTCTTTGATTGTAGGTGAACTATAAATCCCAGCAACTATAACTCCCAAATGTCAAGGTCTATTTTCCCCAAACTCCATCAGTGTTCACATTTGGGCATATTGAGAATTTGTGCCAAATTTGGTCCAGATCCATCATTGTTTGAGTCCACCGTGCTCTCTGGATGTAGGTGAACTACAACTCCCAAACTTAAGGTCAATGCCCACCAAACCCTTCCAGTATTTTCCATTGGTCATGGGAGTTCTGTGAGCCAAGTTTGATTCAATTCCATCGTTGGTGGAGTTCAGAATGCTCTTTGATTGTAGGTGAACTATAAATCCCAGCAACTACAACTCCCACAGGACAAAATCAATACCCTCCCCCAATCCCACCAGTATTCAAATTTGGGTGTATTGGGTATTTGTGCCAAGCTTGGTCCAGTGTATGAAAATACATCCTTTTATATCAGATATTTACATTACTATTCATAACAGCAGCAAAATGACAGTTATGAAGTAGCAACGAAACTAATTTTATGGTTGGGGGTCACCACAACATGAGGAAGCGTATTCAGGGGTCGTGGTCGTGGTTGAGAACCACTGTTTTGGACACTAAGAAAGTCAACTTGCTTTGGGTTTTGGTCTCCATTTTCCATAACCTTTCTTTCTCGGTCGCTTATCATCTCCAGGGTGAAGGTGGCTTGGAAGGTCCTCCTGGGAAGACAGGTCCAGTTGGACCTCAGGGACCTCCAGGGAAACCTGGTCCAGATGGCCTTCGGGGAATACCCGGCCCAGTTGTGAGTATTTGTGCAACTCAATAACACAAGGTCCTTGTAAAATAAGTCAACTCTTCCATCAACCAGATATTATTGGGTGGGAAACATCTCATAGTTACTTCTCCCCCTTATTTTATGGTAGTCAATCTTGATCCTTAAGCTCTTGAAGTGAGACAGCAAAAAATATAATAGAATGATAATACATTGGTGCCAAATCACTAATTATTATTTTTGCAGGGTGAACAAGGACTTCCTGGTTCACCAGGGCCAGATGGACCTCCAGGCCCGATGGTAGGTACTTTGTTTATTCATATTGGGACACAATACACCCATCTGCATGCTCTCTAAACCATCAGCCCTTGTCCTGAGCTCCATAACTTTGTTTTGCATGGGAAGAATATTCCACTTTTGCATTATTTATTGTGTCAGGAAACCGAACAGTTGTATTACATTTTTGACAGAACAAACAAACAAATGAACAAAAGACACAGAGTTTGCAAGCTTGGTAGTTGATTAAATGTCCTTTGACCAGTATCTGGCCCCTTGGAGTGCCTCTGGTGTTGCCGCAAGAAGGTCCTCCGTGGTGCATGTGGCAGGGCTCAGGTTGCATTGCAGCAGGTAGTCAGTGGTTTGCTCTTCTCCGCACTCGCATGTCGATGGATTCCACTTTGTGGCCCCATTTCTGAAGGTTGGCTCTGCATCTCGTGGTGCCAGAGCGCAGTCTGTTCAGCGCCTTCCAAGTCGCCCAGTCTTCTGTGTGCCCAGGGGGGAGTCTCTCATTTGGTATCAGCCATTGGTTGAGGTTTTGGGTTTGAGCCTGCCACTTTTGGACTCTCGCTTGCTGAGGTGTTCCAGCGAGTGTCTCTGTAAATCTTAGAAAACTATTTCTTGATTTAAGTCGTTGATGTGCTGGCTGATACCCAAACAGGGATGAGCTGGAGATGTCTCTGCCTTGGTCCTTTCACTATTGGCTGCTACTTCCCGGCGGATGTCAGGTGGTGCAATACCGGCTAAGCAGTGTAATTTCTCCAGTGGTGTAGGGCGCAGACACCCTGTGATAATGCGGCATGTCTCATTAAGAGCCACATCCACAGTTTTAGCATGGTGAGATGCGTGCATACTCAGTAGTAGAGTAGCATAGCCCAAGGGCAGATGTCTTCACTGTGTCTGGTTGTGATCCCCAGGTTGTGCCAGTCAGCTTTCGTATGATATTGTTTCTAGCACCCATTTTTGCTTGATGTTCAGGCAGTGCTTCTTGTAGGTCAGAGCACGGTCCAGAGTGACTCCCAGGTATTTGGGTGCGCTGCAATGCTCCAGTGGATTCCTTCCCAGGTAATCCTCAGAGCTTGGGATGCTTGTCTGTTCTTAAGGTGAAAAGCACATGTCTGTGTTTTAGATGGGTTAGGGATCAGCTGGTTTTCCCTGTAATAGGCAGTAAGAGCACCTAGAGCTTCAGAGAGCTTCTGTTCAACCATCTCAAAGCTCCCTGCTTGAGCGGTAATGGCACGATCATCAGCATTGATGCATACAATTTTGTGTACAATTATTATGTAGCACAGTGTTTGGACCTAAGAAGCTTGAAATGGTCAGGGTGAGGGGGGGGGGGGGAGTATCAAATACAAAATTAACTTCAATGCCATGTTATATTTGTTTTTCTTCCAAAGGGCCCACCTGGTTTACCCGGATTGAAAGGAGATTCGGGTCCAAAGGGAGAAAAGGTGAGAATTCTGCATAAGAAAGCGGATGGGTAACTTCCAAAATCAGACCTCAAAATAAGAGATGGGTAACTGAGTTCCTGATCACTGACCTAATTCTTCATTTCTCCTTCATAAGAGAGAGGAGATACATAAGCGGTCAGATTATATCTGTTTTTTATATGGGGGGGAAACCCCACTGTGTGAATCTTGTGCAGAACACATTAAGTAGGAACTATGACTTCTGGTTTTGCGTGTTTCATCTTGAAATGTTGTCTTCATTTTCCTTATTTTTAAGGGACATCCAGGTCTGATTGGCCTGATTGGTCCTCCTGGCGAGCAAGGAGAGAAAGGAGACCGCGGCCTCCCAGGTCCTCAAGGTGGATCAGGAGCTAAAGGAGAACAGGTAGGCCAACAGAGAACATCCGTGACAAATTTCTTCAATGGTTCTTCAATGTTCCGTTGAATCACGGGAACTTTGTCACTGTTGCTATTTGCCATCAAGTCTCCACCAACTTAGGTGAGATACCTCCATTTGTCCTCGTCAACAATGCCTTGCGCAGGTCTTGCAGGCTCAAAGATGTGACTTCCTTGATTGTCAATACATCTGTAGGTAGTATTCTTATTATCCTAACCAGCCATGATCATATTTTTCCCAATTAGTAATGTCTTCTCATGAATAATCATCTTGGTGTCCAGTGAAAACTCAGTATAGAGTTGGTCCTGGATACAATGATGGTCCATGGCATACATATTTGTTTGTTTGTTTGTTTGTTTGTTTGTTTACAGTATTTCTATTCCGCCCTTCTCACCCTGCAAGGGACTCAGGGTGGATTACAATGTACATATACATGGCAAACATTCAATGCCATAGATACACAACATATATAGACAGACACAGAGGCTATTTAACATTCCAACTTTTTCATGAGGGTATTCTGGCCACCAGGGGAGCTGTTGCTTCACCATCCCTTTGTGACACTGATTAAGTACTTCCTCATTTGTTGCAGGCTTGCTGGAAGTTTTTATGGCATCGTAAATTAGTTAAATTAGCCTCCCCGCGTAGGCGGTACCTAATTTTCCTACTTGACAGATGCAACTGTCTTTTGGGCTGCAAAGGCATACTCTCAACAGTTTTATTGTGTTATGGTGTATTGTTTTTATTGTTTACTGCTATTGTTTTAATGTTTGATTTGCTTTAAGTTACGTGTTTTGTTATGCTGTTGTTTTATTGAGGCCTTGGCCTGTGTTAGCCGTATCGAGTCCTTCGGGAGATGCTAGCGGGGTACAAATAAAGAATAATAATAATAATAATAATAATAATAATAATAATAATAATATATTATAAGAGATGCAAAGTTCCATAAGGCTTAAATGCAAGGACACAGTTCCCAAGATCCAAAGGCAAAAACATGAAGCATAATCCTTTAAGCAATGGTCAAACAATAGTCCATTAAAAACAGTTGAACACAAGACCCAGAATCCCAGACTCAGGAAGCCAGAAGCGTGCTGCTTAAAGCCAAGGTTAATCCATAGAAGTTTGCATGGAAAGAGCTACCTTGAACTGACAACCCCTGTGTGTCAGCGAGAAGGCTAAATACCCTTTGCAGACATGAACATATTGCGATGACCTTTGGCAAACTTGGCTTCTCGCTTGCTAGTCAAGTGAGAGCTTCTCCGGATCCTTAATTACAGACGATCTTGCCTGCTCACTAATTCATCATCTTCCAGGCTCTCTAACCCCTTATCTTGGTCGTGCAGCTGGACCAGATCACCGTGGGAAGGGAAAGGAGACAAAGACATCTCCACCTGGCCGTGTGGGAATTCACTCTCGTTATCAGTCTCACTAACATTCCTTTCCTCTGAGAACTGACTTGCTGTTTCCCCTTCAGCAGCCTCACCGTCAACCCTGTCTGGAGCATGTACAGAAATCTGTAACCCATCCTCCTCATCATCATCTTGTAGGAACTCTGGCTCACAAAACCCACAGGGCTCAGCTTCAGACTCAGAGTCAAATTGAGTCACAACACTCATGACCTTTCGGTCAAGAAGTAATCTTCATGCATTGAACTTTCATCCAGTGCCACATTTCAAATTTATTATTTATTATTATTTATTAACGTTATTTGTACCCCGCTAGCATCTCCCGAAGGACTCAGTGCAGCTTACAAAGGCCAAGGCCTCAACAAAACAATAGCACAACAATACAATTCAAAGCAAATCAAAAACATTAAAGCAATAACAGTAAAAACAACAAACAATACACCATAACACGATAAAAACAGGGCCGGCCCAAGTAATGGGTACAGATTAAAAAGTGCTGAATGTAACAGGTGGTCTATCGGATTTCAAGGAAGTGCAGTGTGCAGAGAATCTTAAAGTTCTAAAAAGTGCTTTCGGGACTCTAATAAAGTGCTTACTGGAGTTTTCCTATTCTGGAAAGGCACATTGGAACAGCCAGGTCTTCAAATTCTTCCTAAAGACTGCCAGTGTGGGGGGCTGTCTAATGTCTTTGGGGAGGGTGTTCCAAAGTCGGGGGGCCACCACAGAGAAGGCCCTGTCCCTCGTCCCCAACAAACGAAGCAGGTGGGATCACAAGCAGGGCCTCTCCGGATGAATGAAGAGAGCGCGTGGGTTCATAAACGGAGATGCGGTCACGCAGGTAGGCAGGTCCCAAACCGTTTAGGACTTTGTAGGTAAGCACCTGCACCTTGAATTGGGTTCGGAAAATAAACTGCAGCCAATGGAGCTCCTTAAACAGGAGGGTTGACCTCTCCCTGTACGGAGCACCAGTTAACATCCTGGCCGCTGCCCATTGGACTAGTTGGAATTTCTGAGCCGTTTTCAAGGGCAGCCCTACGTAGAGCGCATTACAGTAGTCCAATCTAGAGGTGACCAAGGCATGGACCACCCCGGCCAGATCAGCCTTTGCAAGGTACGGTCGCAGTTGGCGTACGAGTCTCAATTGTGCAAAAGCCCTCCCAGACACCGCTGACACCTGAGCCCCAAGCGTAAGTGATGAATCCAAGAGGACTCCCAAACTGCGGACCTGGGACTTCAGGGGGAGTGTAACCCTGTCCAGCACAGGTTGCCACCCTATACCCCGATCTGGTTTACGATTGACCAGGAGGACCTCTGTCTTGTCAGGATTAATCTTCAGCTTGTTCGTCCTCATCCAAATAGCCACAGCGGTCAGGCACTCGTCCAGCACTCGAGGAGCCTCCTTGGAGTTAGGTGGAAAGGAGTAGTAGAGTTGTGTGTCATCTGCGTAGAGATGGCACCCAACTCCAAAACTCCGGATGACCTCTCCCAGCGGTTTCATGTAGATGTTAAAAAGCATGGGAGACAGAATAGAGCCTTGCGGGACCCCACAGGTCAAAGGCCAGGGGTCCGAGCAGGCGTCTCCCAGCTTCACCATCTGGGATCGACCCTCCAGGAAGGACCGGAGCCACGGCAAAACCATGCCCCCAAGACCCATCCCAGAGAGACGACCCAGAAGGATACCATTATCGCCTTCCTCCTTCCATGGACATGCATGACCTATTCCCATGTAAAAGGGAACAAATCTATAGTGTGTGTATATATATATATATAAGTAGAAACCCATGTTGTGCTTCAATAAACTCCTTTGTTTTTTCTATGTTTTCTCATAGGGTATTTCAGGTCCTTCTGGTCCAATTGGCCCACCTGGTCCACCAGGATTAACGGTAAGTAGCAAAAAGGCAAATCCTCGAAGGCTGGAAGTGAGGGCTCTTTTTGGATGGGAAAAAGTGGCAGAACCAAATCGCTGGATTTTATGGCACTCTCCTTTTTGGCATTGTTGCAAAGAGCATTCATGAAACTCCTCCTTCTCCTTGTCTTTCTCGGGTCTTGCTAGGCCTGCTCTCAGCTTCATCACCCATTAACATCTTGAAAGGAAACATGTATCATTTTGCATTTTCGCCATTCCAGAAAGATAAATAGGTTGACTTTTCAGAATGCAAGCAATCCTTCATTTTTAGAATGCTAAATAGGTGCATTTATCTTACTTTACGTTATGCTTAATATTCGAAGACGGGCGAAATGGACTCATACTTCCATTGGCTTGGGATTTGCATGAATGTTTACTTTATGATGAGTTTCTTGTAATCAATAGTTGACATGAATAGCTCTGATACTTTTATTTGAGCTTGTTTTTGCTCTTGTTCCAGGGTCCTCCCGGTCCAAAAGGTGCTAAAGGATCTTCGGTGAGTGCAGGCACCAAAATTGTAAAAATAGCAACGTTACTATTAACGGGAATGCAAATAACACCATAATTTCTAGACTGGTTATAAACTATAGCAATGGGATGGGTGTGTTCTAGTCATATTCCTCTTTTCCGCCATGTTCTTCCTCTTTGGCCAGCATCTTCAACAAATTTATTTATTTATTATTTATTTACTTCATTTATATACCGCTTTTCTCAGCCCTCAGGCGACTCAAAGCGGTTAACAACAGCAAAATTCAATGCAAAACATCATAAAACGATTATGGGACAGTTAAAACAATAGCATCATCAACAATTAAACATCAATATAACAATCATTAGCGTCTCATCAATAAAATCAGAATCCAATCTCATCATCCGTTAATCCATGTTCCTATATTCATTACACTGCTTAATCGAATGCTTGTTCGAACAGCCAGGTCTTCACTTTCCTCCGAAACGCCAATAAGGATGGGGCCAATCTGATATCTGTAGGAAGGGCGTTCCACAGCCGAGGGGCCACCACTGAGAAGGCCCTGTCTCTCGTTCCCCCCAGGTGCACCTGTGATGCAGGTGGGACTGAGAGCAGGAACTCTCCGGATGATCTTAATGTCCTAGTTGGTTCATAGGAGAAGATGCGTTCGGAGAGGTAAGTTGGGCGGAACCGTTTAGGGCTTTATAGGCTAAAGAGCAATGTCCAGTCTCGATAAAATCGAAAGAGTAGAGACATCACACTGGCAACAAAGATCCGCATAGTCAAAGCCATGGTATTCCCTGTAGTAACATACGGATGTGAGAGCTGGACCTTAGGGAAGGCTGAGCGAAGGAAGATCGATGCTTTTGAGCTGTGGTGTGGAGGAAAGTTCTGAGAGTGCCTTGGACTGCGAGAAGATCCAACCAGTCCATCCTCCAGGAAATAAAGCCCGACTGCTCATTGGAGGGAAGGAGACTAGAGACAAAGTTGAAGTACTTTGGCCACATCATGAGGAGACAGCAAAGCCTAGAGAAGACAATGATGCTGGGGAAAGTGGAAGGTAAAAGGAAGAGGGGCCGACCAAGGGCAAGATGGATGGATGGCATCCTTGAAGTGACTGGACTGACCTTGAAGGAGCTGGGGGTGGTGACGGCCGACAGGGAGCTCTGGCGTGGGCTGGTCCATGAGGTCACGAAGAGTCGGAGACGACTGAACGAATGAACAACAACAACAGGCTAATTCCAGCACTTTGAATTGTGCCCAGTAGCAAACTGGCAGCCAGTGGAGCTTGCGCAACAGAGGAGTTGTATGCTCCCTGAGTGCCGCTCCTGTTAGTAACCTGGCTGCAGAGCATTGGACCATTTGAAGCTTCCAAGCAGTCTTCAAAGGCAACCCCAGGTAGAGAGCGTTGCAGTAGTCTATACGGGATGTAACCAGAGCGTGGACTACCGTGACAAAGTCAGACTTCCCAAGGTACGGGCGCAGCTGGCGCACAAGTTTTAACTGTGCAAATGCTCCCCTGGTCACCGCTGAAACCTGGGGTTCCAGGCTCAGCGATGAGTCCAGGGTCACAACCAAGCTGCGAACCTGCGTCTTCAGGGGGAGTGCGGCCCCATCCAACACAGGCTGTAACCCTATGCCCTGTTCGGCCTTGCGACTGACCAGGAGTACCTCTGTCTTGTCTGGATTCAATTTCAATTTGTTCGCCCCCATCCAGACCGTCACAGCGGCCAAGCACCGGTTCAGGACCTGGACAGCCTCCTTAGTAGTTGGTGGGAAGGAGTGACAGAGTTGGACATCATCTGTGTACAGATGACACCGTACCCCGAAACTCCGGATGATCTCCCCCAGGGGCTTCATGTAGATGTTAAACAACATGGGAGACAATATTGAATCCAGTGAAACCCCACAAGACAATGGTTGTGGGGTAGAACAGGTGTCCCCCAATAACACCTTCTGAGAACAACCCTCTAGGAAGGACCGGAGCCACTGCAAAACAGTACCTCCAAGGCCCATTCCCGCGAGGCGTCCCAGAAGGATACCATGGTCGATGGTATAGAAGGCCGCTGAGAGGTCCAGCAGAACTAACAGGGACACACTCCCCCTGTCTAGCTCCCAGCGTAGATCATCCACGAAGGCAACCAAGACTGTTTCAGTTCCATGTCCCAGCCTAAACCAGACTGTGCCGAATCCATATTTCCATATGCCTCCATATTTCCATGACGGACCTCATCATGACCATCTTCTCTTTCAAGAAGGAATTCAAATTGGCTTTTGATGTCCTTTTCAACAACGCCATCTTGTTTCTGAATCCACCCTCACAATTTCCCATATAATACATCTTTGTGTAAAATACACCCTTCGAATTTTCCATGTCATACATCTTGGTGTAAAAACATCAAGGATTTTGGCCATCAAGGATCTTCGAACCTTGATGGCCAAAATCCTATTGTCAGCCCCAACTAATTTGAATTTGTTGAGACAGTTGGGTCTTCTTGTAAACTGACTTAACATAAAATGAGTGATTCGATGGGAGTAACCAAGATAATTTTGACTAATATTTGTGGATTTTTGCCACAATTGGGAAGGAGAATATCATTTATTTTTATTTACTTCGGGTATTTCTACCCCGCCCTTCTCAACCCCCGAAGGGGGACTCAGGGTGGCTTCCAACCGGCATACGTTGATGCCTACAATTCACACAGTAAAATACAGTTAAAACATTACATTAATACAATAAAAATACAATAAAATGCCAGCCTGGTGGCCATCATTTTGCCAAGTCCGTAATTAATAAATTCATTCCGCTTATTATAGTCCGTTTCCACAGCTTTAGTCGTCATTGTCCATTGTCTGTCTGCCAGATTACCCAAAAGCCTGGTCCCATATCCATGATTTTAATTTCCTTCTGAAAGAGAGAAGGGATGACGGGGACTGAATTCCCCGGGGACTGAATTCCACTAGCAGGGGGCCATCACCGAGAAGGCCCTGTCCCTCGTCCCCGCCAATCTCGTTTGTGACAAGGGCGGGGCCGAGAGCAGGGCCCCTCCAGAAGATCTTAAATTCCAAGGCGAGACGTAGAAGGAGATACGTTCGGACAGGTACGCTGGGCCAGAGCTGTATAGGGTTTTATAGGTCAAAACCAGCACTTTGAATTGTGCTCGGAACTGAATTGGCAGCCAGTGGAGCTGACATAACAGAGGGGTGGGATGCTCTCTGTATGATGCTCCAGTGAGAAGTCTAGCTGCCGCTCGCTGGACTAGTTGAAGTTTCCGAACAGTCTTCAAAGGCAACCCCACGTAGAGCGCCTTGCAGTAATCTATTCGGGATGTAACAAGAGCATGGACCACCGTGGCCAGATCAGACTTCCCATGGCTTTTTGACTCCTGTAGGATCAAATAGTGGGTAATACTTTTTCAGTGGGAAGTGTTGTTGAGAACTTTTGTGAACTTTCCTTACCTATCTAATGGAGTTTGCCTACCTACAGATAACAGGTTTTCATGTCATTCTTTCCAGGGTCCGACAGGTCCAAAGGGTGAAATGGGCCATCCTGGACTACCAGGACCTCCTGTGAGTACGACTTTGTGGGTTTTGGCCCTTTCCCTTGTGTAGTCTTATGTATAACGTTTCTCAAACCCAACTGCTGTCCTTCATCATCCAAGGGACCTCCTGGAGAAGTGATCCAACCGTTACCAATCCAGTCATCGAAGCGTACCCGAAGAAACATTGATGCCAGCCAGTTGGTGGACGATGCTCCCAACACAGACAACTACATGGATTATGCCGATGGTATGGAGGAAATCTTTGGCTCGCTAAACTCTTTGAAACTGGAAATTGAGCAGATGAAACATCCCTTGGGTACCCAGCACAACCCGGCGCGTACCTGCAAAGACCTCCAGCTTTGTCATCCCGACTTCCCAGATGGTAGGTAGTCATTGTTCATTCAAGGAAGGGGATGGGAATTGTGTAGGAACCAAAAGGTTGTGTCATAAAACCCCTGAATTCCGTAGTTTGTTCCAACTCAATGATACCCAACAAATCAGAAAGAACTTCGTAAATCCACACCTATGATCATATGATTTGGTAAATCGACACCTATGGCATGATCCTCATGTTTTGTTCAGTTGGATCTAGTCCACACATATAACAAAAGAGAGAGAGAGATTCCACCTAAATACTAGGAAGAACTTTCTGAGAGTAAGGATCTTCTGAGAGCAACCCAGAAAATGTGCAAGTGGAAGATCAAACTCTTGAATACCAGAATTGTAACTAGTATTCCCTAGTCTAACAACAACATTTGATCTCCTGACTTCAGGTGAATACTGGGTGGATCCGAACCAAGGCTGTTCCAGGGATTCCTTCAAAGTTTACTGTAACTTTACAGCTGGTGGTGAAACTTGCATTTTCCCGGATAAGAAATCAGAAGGAGTAAGTAATTCTTTTATTTCTCTCATATTTATATATATATATATATATATATATATATATATATATATATACAACTTGAAAATGTTTGGTGACGCATAAGTTGCTGTGATCTTATTCCAACTGATGTATATTTCCTCTTAAAGTTCAACGCTGATAGAATGTGTTAATGCTACGGGCTATTTGGATGCACATTTATGCCACAAGTGAAGTTTGAAGGCCTTTTCTCATGTCACATCTTCACTTCTAGGTCTTCAGCTCTATAATTTGAATCTTCTTAACCAAGATAATTTTGAATGTTATGTTCTAGATCTATATAGTGACTTTAGGAGGTCCTCAAGGACCATCTAGATCTATATAGTGACTTTAGGAGGCCCTCAAGGACCATCTAGATCTATATAGTGACTTTAGGAGGCCCTCAAGGACCATCTAGATCTATATAGTGACTTTAGGAGGCCCTCAAGAACCATCTAGATCTATATAGTGACTTTAGGAGGCCCTCAAGGACCATCTAGATCTATATAGTGACTTTAGGAGGTCCTCAATGACCCACTAGACCGGTGGTTCTCAACCTGTGGGTCCCCAGATGTTTTGGCCTTCAACTCCCAGAAATTCTAACAGCTGGTAAACTGGCTGCGATTTCTGGGAGCTGTAGGCCAAAACACCTGGAGACCCACAGGTTGAGAACCACTGAACTAGACCCTCAAGACGACCTGATGACCATAAACAGGTCAATACAAGGAGCTTGTCTGGCTAGTAAGAGGACCAACTTTAGAGCATGTTGAAACATGTCTCCAGTTTCTAGTATTTTGGCCCACCCCTTCTCCTGATGTCTCCAGAACATAGATTGAGATAACTTCTCAGAAATGAATTGAGCCCCATGCGCTATCATGGTAACCTGAGAATATCCAAGGGTCCATGATCCTATCACAGTAGCCTCCACTATGACTGAGATGGTCCAAAGTAGGAATCCCAAGATTGGATCTCTTCCTCCAAACTTTCTCTGAGACTTTGAAGAAAATTTCACTCATTTTTCTGTTTTGGGGATACACCCCAAGAATTACAACTATTGGTCCAAAGGCCCATATAAAATTTGCTTATTTATTCATTGTGTGCATTTATCCGCCTAATAGCTCACTGTGTTACTTTTCCATGATGGGATATAAAATATGTATTAATGCGTGAAAATAGCTGTGTTGTATTTCATAAAGAAATAATGAGAACTCTTAATATGGTGGAGTAAAAAATGATATACAGCCATATTAAGGAGGCATGTAAGATGTTTATGTATTTATTTATTTAGTGGACAGCTGGGAATATTTGAAGAGAACTTGCTCTCTTTTCCACCCAAGTTGAATCTTTTAACATTGCAGAACAAGGGCTGAAACCTTCCATTTGAAACTATGGCAGAACTGTGTTTTTCTGTTCTTCTCTCCCTCCAGGGCCAGGACAGTGGCAGTTGGGATGGAAAAGGGCAGTGGCAGTTGGGTTGGACGGAAGGAAGGGCCTTTCTATGCTGAGATATAATGGAACTGTGCCCTGCTCTTCTCTCCCTCCAAGGCCAGGGCAATGGCAATTAGGATGGAAGAGGGCAGTGGCAGTTGGGTTGGACGGAAGGAAGGGCCTTTCTATGCTGAGATATAATGGAACTGTGCCCTGCTCTTCTCTCCCCCAAAGCCAGGGTAATGGCAATTGGGTTGGAAGAGGGCAGTGGCAGTTGGGTTGGAGGGAAGAAAGGGCCTTTCTATGCTGAGATATAATGGAACTGTGGCCTGCTCTTCTCTCCCCCAAAGCCAGGGTAATGGCTATTGGGTTGGAAGAGGGCAGTGGCAGTTGGGTTGGAGGGAAGAAAAGGTCTTTATGAGCTGAGATATAATGGATCTGTGCCCTGCTCTTCTCTCCCTCCAAGACCAGGGCAATGGCAATTGGGATGGAAGAGGGCAGTGGCAGTTGGGTTGGAGGGAAGGAAGGGCCTTTTATGCTGAGGTATAATGGAACTTAGGCCTGCTTTTCTCTCCCGCCAAGACCAGGGCAATGGCAATTGGGATGGAAGAGGGCAGTGGCAGTTAGGTTGGAGGGAAGAAAAGGTCTTTCTGAGCTGAGATATAGTGGATCTGTGGCCTGCTTTTCTTTCCCTCCAAGGCCAGGACAGTGGCAATTGGGATGGAAGAGGGCAGTGGCAGTTGGGTTGGAGGGAAGGAAGGGCCCTTCTATGCTGAGATATAATGGAACTGCGCCCTGCTCTTCTCTCCCTCCAAGGCCAGGGCAGTGGCAATTGGGATGGAAGAGGGCAGTGGCAGTTGGAATGGAGGGGGAGCCTTTCTGCAGGGCCCAGACATGATGGAGGTGTTCCTGCCTCTTCTTCTCTGCCACTGGGCCAAGAGATATGGAGCTGTATCTTCTGCTTCTTTTCTATCTTTGAAGCCAGGGCAATGCCAGTTGGGATTGAAAGAATACCCGATATGCCCAAATTTGAATACGAATGGGGTTGGGGGGGTGATTTGGTCATTTGGGAGTTGTAGTTGCTGGGATTTATAGTTCACCTACAATCAAAGAGCATTCTGAACTCCACCAATGATGGAATTGAACCAAACTTGGCCCACAGAACTCCCACGACCTACAGAAAATACTGGGAGGGTTTGGTGAGTTGTGGAGTTGTAGTTCACCTATATAGAGAGAGCACTGTGGACTCAAACAATGATAGATCTGGACCAAACTTGGCACACAGACCCAACTTGGCCAACTTTGAATACTGTGATAATGCGGCATGTCTCATTAAGAGCCTCATCCACTGTTTTAGGGTAGTGAGATGCGTGCATACTCAGTAGTAGAGTAGCATAGCCCAAGGGCAGATGTCTTCACTGTGTCTGCTTGTGATCCTCAGGTTGTGCCAGTCAGCTTGTGTATGATGTTGTTTCTAGCGCCCACTTTTTGCTTGATATTCAGGCAGTGCTTCTTGTAGGTCAGAGAACGGTCCACACTGATTCCCAGGTATTTGGGTGCGCTGCAATGCTCCAGTGGGATTCCTTCCCAGGTGATACTCAGAGCTCGGGATACTTGTCTGTTCTTAAAGTGGAAAGCACATGTCTTTGTTTTAGATGGATTAGAGATCAGCTTCTTATACTTACATCATTGTATTTATACTTATGTATTGTTGTCTGCATGTGGCACTTGGGGTGCTTCTGTGAGCAACCCCGAGTCCGTTTGGGGAGACGGTGGCAAAATAAAGATTATTCTGGACCTAGGCACAGTGGAGTTGTGCCTGCTTCTTCTCTCCCTCTGAGACCAGGGCAGTGACAGTTGGGATAGAGGAACAGCCTTTCATCTGCCTCTGCACCTTAGGGATGATGGAGCTGTGCCAGCCGACAGCCTTCCCAGATCAATGGGTCATTTGTGACCTCTGTCGTTAATTTACCCGTTTGCTTCCACCAGCAGAATTTGCCGCCAGCTCTCTCCAAGGTTACAGGCCATTAAACCCAAAGTAGGGAGAGGTGTTAATTGTTCCATAATCATATGGAAGGGCGGCTGCGAAAAATAGTTTGATCTTTGATGTCAAGTAGTTGCTTGTCCCCGGTGACGCAGCGGGTTAAACTGCTGAACTTGCCGACCAAAAGGTCGCAGGTTCGAATCCGGGGAGCGGCATGAGCTCCCGCTGTTAGCCCCAGCTTCTGCCAACCTAGCAGTTCGAAAACATGCTAATGTGAGTGTTTATTTATTTCGGGCACTTCTACCCCGCCCTTCTCAACCCCCTAGGGGGGACTCAGGGCGGCTTACAACCGGCACAATTCGATGCCACAATTCAACAAATAAAATACATAACAACAATAACCACAAGTTAAAACAATCAATTAAACCAATAACAATTAAACAATTAAAAGTCAATCGAGTGGTCAACGTTCACCGAGCATTACCATAGTCCTTTCCAATTTCTGGTCGTCATTATCTTGTCAGTCTGCCAGAGTACCCAAAGGCCTGGTCCCATATCCATGTTTTCAGTTTCCTTCTGAAGGAGAGGAAGGATGTTGATGACCTAATTTCCCCGGGGAGTGAATTCCACAGGCGAGGGGCCACCACCAAGAAGGCCCTGTCCCTCGTCCCCACCAGTAGAACAATAGGTACTGCTCTAGCAGGAAGGTAATGGCAGGAAGGTAATGGTGCCCCACCAGTAGATCAATAGGTACCACTCCAGCGGGAAGGTAATGGCGCCCCATACAGTCATGCTGGCCGTATGACCTTGGAGGTGTCTATGCACAACGCTGGCTCTTCGGCTTAGAAATGGAGATGAGCTTCCTTCTGAAGGAGAGGAGGGATGTTGATGACCTAATTTCCCCGGGGAGTGAATGCCTCAGGCGAGGGGCCACCACCGAGAAGGCCCTGTCCCGCGTTCCCACCAGTAGATCAATAGGTACCGCTCCAGCGGGAAGGTAATGGCGGGAAGGTAATGGCGCCCCACCAGTAGATCAATAGGTACCACTCCAGCGGGAAGGTAATGGTGCACCATGCAGTCATGCTGGCCATATGACCTTGGAGGTGTCTATGAACAACGCCAGCTCTTCGGCTTAGAAATAGATATGAGCTTCCTTCTGAAGGAGAGGAGGGATGTCGATGACCTAATTTCCCCGGGGAGTGAATTCCACAGGTGAGGGGCCACCACCGAGAAGGCCCTGTCCCTCATCCCCACCAGTAGATCAATAGGTACCGCTCCAGCGGAAAGGTAATGGCGCCCCATGCAGTCATGCTGGCCGTATGACCTTGGAGGTGTCTATGCACAACGCTGGCTCTTCGGCTTAGAAATGGAGATGAGCTTCCTTCTGAAGGAGAGGAGGGATGTTGATGACCTAATTTCCCCGGGGAATGAATTCCATGGGTGAGGGGTCACCACCAAGAAGGCCCTGTCCCTCGTCCCCACCAGTAGAACAATAGGTACTGCTCTAGCAGGAAGGTAATGGCAGGAAGGTAATGGTGCCCCACCAGTAGATCAATAGGTACCACTCCAGCGGGAAGGTAATTGCGCTCCATGCAGTCATGCTGGCCATATGACCTTGGAGGTGTCTATGGACAACACCGGCTCTTCAGCTTAGATATGGAGATGAGCACCATCCCCCAGAGTCGGACACGACTGGACTTAATGTCAGGAGAAAAGTTGCTTTTCCAGTTTTTATTTAACAGGTTGGAGAGATTTGACTTAAGCGCCTGTATGTTCTGCTATGTGTAACGCTTGCATTCACTTACATCTCTGTCTTGTCTCTGTTCTCTTCTTCTTCCTCCACCTCTTCTGCCGTTTTCAGGCTAGAATTACTTCCTGGCCAAAGGAAAACCCTGGCTCCTGGTTCAGTGAATTCAAGCGTGGTAAACTGGTAAGAGACTCTTGCATTCCGCTTGCGGTTGGGCTTTAACCTGTTCCGTATTTTTCAGAGTAAACTGGCCCGTTGGCCCAAAGAGCAGCCCGCCACGTGGTATAGTCATTTCAAACGGGGCTCCATGGTAAGTGGCTTTGCTTTTGGCTCCCCTCCACCGCCTCAGGAATGGAGCATGCTGGCCACGCCAACGTTTTCGTTCTGAACCCCAAACTGATCTCACGACACATGCTAGACTAACAAACACAGTTAAGGAGGGTCCAAAGAATCTCCTCTTGTCTTTCTGTCTCCTCTGAGCTTCCCCAAAATCTATAGATTCAGGATCTAATTCTCCACTTGTTTTCTTCTTGACGGAAGGAGGTTTTGGTTTCCTTCCTTCCTCCTGAGCCTTCGAGGTCCTATTCACAATTTGGAACTTTTTCTGCACAAAATCTGCTTAGGGCGTTTTTGCACAGAAAACGGCACCTCTCACATTTTTCTGAACAATTGCATTACGAAGAGATTTAGTATAATCTCCCCCACCCAAGGCTGAACCTTAACTGAATCCAGCAAGGTAGTATGAGGGGTATTTTTTAAGTAAGGTCCATTTTGTTATAGACACTAGTAGTTTGCGCGCATACCACAACGAGCATGTGCGTCGTGTACCGGCATGCCTCGGGAACAACTGTGCTCAGTTTCCTCTCTGTAGCTAACCTGTACGGTTCTGTTCTGTGCTTTAAACATGTTTAAGACTATCAACTCACCTGCCACATGTGATACGGTTTTTGTCAGCAAGGAACCTGCCTGCTGCAGAAATCCATTGACAGATTTGTGAAGTGTACGGTGATACTGTTATGAGTGAAAGCAAAGTGCGTAAGTGGGTACGACAATTCAAAGATGGCCATGACAACATCCACGATGAGGACTGCTCAGGTCCCTTGCTGACAAAAACCATATCACATGCGGTGGGTGTGTTGATAATCTTAAACATTTTTAAAACACAGAACTGAACCAAAGAGGTTAGCTACAGAGCGGAAATTGAGCACAGTTGTTCCCGAGGCATACTGGTACACGACGCATGCTCTCGTTGCGGTATGCGAGCAAACTACTAGTGTCTACAACAAAACGGACCTTACTTAAAAAATACCCCTCGTATTTATGACATTTGAGCCATGGAAGGCCTGCTCCATCAGCACATCGTCAGGAATTTCCTCATTTTCCCTTTCAAAACAATCATGTCTTAACAGTACAGAATGGAACCATATCAGTCTGAACTCTAGTCTTAGACTTCGGCCCAATCAACAAGATCAGGAATGGTCCTTAAGCAGAAATGATTGAGGTCCACACACTCCTAACATGGTGGACTTTCCATCTTCAAACTTAAACAAGTCCTCCAGTCCCAGTTTTTGTCATCTTGAACCAAATGTTCTGAGCAATTGGTGTTTTGGGTTGTTGTAGGTTTTTTCGGGCTATATGGCCATGGTCTAGAGGCATTCTCTCCTGACGTTTCGCCTGCATCTATGGCAAGCATCCTCAGACACTCAAAGTATTCAGACACTTTCGGGCTATATGGCCATGGTCTAGAGGCATTCTCTCCTGACGTTTCGCCTGCATCTATGGCAAGCATCCTCAGACACTCAAAGTATTCAGACACTTTCGGGCTATATGGCCATGGTCTAGAGGCATTCTCTCCTGACGTTTCGCCTGCATCTATGGCAAGCATCCTCAGACACTCAAAGTATTCAGACACTTTCGGGCTATATGGCCATGGTCTAGAGGCATTCTCTCCTGACGTTTCGCCTGCATCTATGGCAAGCATCCTCAGACACTCAAAGTATTCAGACACTTTCGGGCTATATGGCCATGGTCTAGAGGCATTCTCTCCTGACGTTTCGCCTGCATCTATGGCAAGCATCCTCAGAGGCCTCTAGAACATGGCCATGCTATGGCCATGGTCTAGAGGCATTCTCTCCTGACGTTTCACCTGCATCTATGGCAAGCATCCTCAGACACTCAAAGTATTCAGACACTTTCAGGCTATGTGGCCATAGTCTAGAGGCATTCCCTCCTGACGTTTCGCCTGCATCTATGGCAAGCATCATCAGACACTCAAAGTATCCTCAGAGCTAGTAGGCATGAAATAGGAATGTTGGACACAAGAGTCATCTTGTGGTCCAAAGAGGAACAGGGGACACTCATTCAAAATTGGTGTCTACTTGGACTATGAATGGCCAACCTCTGGTGCACCACCATCCAGACCAGACCATAAAGGTCACTAGTCTTACCAAAGTTCTCTTGATGTTGCTTGAAAGTATTCAGACGCTTTGAAAAAGGAGAGGCAACTTCATCTCACTACCTCTGAGGATGCTTGCCATAGATGCAGGCGAAATGTCAGGAGAGAATGCCTCTAGACCATGGCCATATAACCCGAAAAAACCTACAACAACCCAGTGATTCCGGCCATGAAAGCCTTCGACAATTGGTGTTTTGTTTTATTTTTTTCTGGAGACTTCCAGAACAATGTTGTGTCACACAGTGGACCTCTTGGATATGTGTGTTTGTGTATGTTTGGAGTTGCTTCCTTCTTCCCAAACATGTCTTCAGATTCATAGTATGTTACGTACTCACAACACTATACTAATTTGTAAGACCATGTTTAGATCCCATTCTTTGGCTTCTTTCTTGGAACCCTTTTGGTTATGTTCAGTGTGTTTGTGTGTGTGTGTGTGTGTCAGGGGTGACAGCTTTGTCTTCCATTTATTTGGCTTAAAAGAAAAGGCTGCTCTTCTTCTCACTCTCCCAACTTTGTTGCCACCATCTTGCTTGCTTCATGTTATCAGATATCTCCACCAACATCTAGAAGACATCTCAAACGTAATCACAGGACATGAAATAGGAATGTTGGACACAAGAGTCATCTTGTGGTCCAAAGAGGAATGGGGCACACTCAAAATTGGTGTCTACTTGGTCTATGAATGGTTGACCTCTGATGCCACCACCGTCCAGACCAGAAAGGTCACTAGTCTTACCAAAGTTCTCTTGATGTTGCTTCAAAGTATTCAGACACTTCGAAAAAGGAGAGAGAACTTCAAATTCATCTCAAATGTTGACTTGGGTGAAATTTTGGTGGCAGTGATGTAGATTTATATAGGTCTTTGGTTTGGCGATCTTAACACCTTGTATCCGAAATGACTATAACGGTGGGAAGACACTAGGTTCTTGTGGGTTTTTTCGGGCTATAGAGCCATGTTCTAGAGGCATTTCTCCTGACGTTTCGCCTGCATCTATGGCAAGCATCCTCAGAGGTTGAGAAGGACACTTTGTAAAAGTTTATACAACAAAGAACGGGGAAGAATGTTGCACACCAGGCCTGGAAACACCTATGACCACAACACCAGGAAGAGTCCAGGAATATAAGCAAACACTTTATTGTAAAAAAAACATATAAAAGGCATATAAAAATCAGAAGTAAGAAAGGAAAATATATAATCCAACGAGGTTTTGAAACAGGAGATAACCAAACAGTAATCCAAATGTCTCATAAAGTTCCAGAGGTGACAAAGTCCTGGAACAGCCAGAAATCACAGCTACAGTATTAGTTCACAATCAAAAAGCTCTAACTAGTAAAACTCGAACAGGCGTACGTGAACAGGAACATAGAAAACTTCCAGGATTTAAATCCAAAATCAAAACTTAACTTGAACCAGGAACAAGAGAACTCAGGTTTAGCTTCTCACTCTAACGCAGCGTTGCCTGAACTGACCTTCACTTCACTTCACTTTATTTCTTAATTAGTCGCTCTCCACCAAGGTGCTCCGAGCGACTTACAATCTAAAATAGCATTTACACAATATAAAAACATTCAACATAAAAACATTCAACAGTGACTATTTGGCAAATTAGATCTGATTACTTAAATGCAGAACCAAACAGCCAAGTCTTGAGTGCCTTTACAGAAGGTCGCAACTCCGACATTGCTCTAATATATGGAGGCAATGAGTTCCACAGAATTGGAGCATAGGTCAAAAAAGCTCTACGCCTTAAGGTAAACAACTTGTTTAATAGACACCCATGAAATCATTCTGTTTCCCATTAATTTCCTTCACAACTTTCCCATGTAATCTCTCTGAACAAAAATATCTATTTTCAGTTCTGATTTATAAACAAAGACGTTTGCTGACCTCCATAGCTACAAGTGGGTTCTCCTGGGAATCCTCCTTATCACTCAGCTCTTCACTTGATTCCTTATCTACTGTTGCTACTTTTGACTCCCCTGAATGCCCTTGAGGCCCTGCACTTTCCGAACCAGTTTTCTCACAGGAAGAACCATAATTTCCCAGACTTGAGAGCCCATCACTTTGTGTCACTGGAAAGCTCACAAACCTCTCTAAATCATCAGTTAAACCATCAGCCTCTGGTGACTGATCTACAACAAAGAAGGAGAAAGCAGGACATTGAAAACTGTTGATAAAGTGAGTTGGAGGAATATTAATTAAAATCTAGTGGGACCCTTGGAGGAGATGGGTTTTGTTTTGACAACGAACAGGAAATAATATTTTGGTGTATCATCCAAAGCCAACAAATTCTTCCAATTGTGCCTATAAAATGAGGCATGATTTCCCCTTTCTGCCATGTGTTACCCCAAAAATAACCATTTCCAAAAACACCAAGTGACATCATTGCTACTTCCTGTCACAGCAAAAAGGGTCACTGTCAAGGTCAGATGCCAGCCAATTAAAGAAGTATAGTTTATTGTTCAAACAAACACAAAACAGCCCAAAACAAAACCACAGGGCAAAAAACACTTAGTTTACAGTGTGAAAAAGCCCAAACAGGCAAAAGAACCCACAAAACTCCAAACAGAATATAACCTGGATTAACCAGAGATATAACTAGGATTAAACTCAAAATGCTTAATTGCAGCCTTTCAAGGGTTGTAAAATGTAACCTGAGCCTCAAACACAGCAGGAACTCCAAGGCAGGAAGGTTGATAACGCCAGCTCCAGAAGCTCAGCCGCAGACGTGGAGGAGAGAGAGTAACGACAGTGGATGAAGTCCAGTCCGGTCCAGTCCAAAGGGAAACGAACAGTTGCAAGGTCAGATCCCAATCCGATGGATAAGCACAAGGAGCCAAAGCAGCGGGGCAATACAGCAGCTAATGCAAACATCAAAACAGTGCAGTCCAGCAAAAACCCACACAGTTCCAGCCCCCTTTGCTGCTTAAACCCAGAGCATAACTTACGTCCCAAAGTCTTCTTCCAAACCCGTCTTCTGTAAACACAAAGATCCAGAAAGCGCCCAACAAGACTCCTTGCCGATTGCAAGGTTACAATTGCAAACACTCCCATTTTATCTACAAGTCCTCGTCAGAACTTGATTCAGCCAACACCCTTGTCCCAGCTGCATCTTGTTGCAGCTCCTCATCCAAACTGGAGTCGCCCCTAGTTCGGCCCAACCCATCCCCAGCTGTGCCTCTTCCACCACTCCTCCAAGTAGTCCATCTCTGGTCTAATCCTGAAGTTCCCCAAGACCCATCCATGTCTTCACTACTCCAACCTTCAAACGTGCCACTGCTTGTGGGTTCAGCACAAATATCTTGAATCTCTTGAACCCTTGTCCAATCCATCCCATCAGACCCAGAATCTGATATCCCATCATCCATATCATTTGCATCAAAACCTTCAAAAGAATCCTCATCTGTTGGCTCACTAAGTATCTCCCGGATTCTTTTCCTTTGTTGCTCTTCATCATAGTCTTGCTCACGAGTAGTTTTCCTGCCTCTCCTAATACAACTAGTGTTACTATCACTGCCAGCAGACTCTATGACAACAGTCACAATGGCTTGCAATAGTCTAGATGGTGGAAAATGTATTAGGGACAACCCCTGGACCATATGTAATTGTGCATCTCTGGATAGGTCACAGCTCAATAATTGCATTTCTTTGCATATCACCACCATTCCATGGCCCGAAGCTGATCCGATGGGGTTAATTTTCTTCCCTTTCCATTTCGCAGGAGTGAATGAGGGGATTGCAAATCTTCCGTTTCACCTCCAGGCTTTTTGTTTCCTCCATTCTCTTTTCAGTCCTGGAACATGTACATAACTCCCCATTAGAGCGTAATGGGGCTTTATGCTTGTTCAAGCCCATTATCAAGTTGCTGCCATCTGGCTTCTGTCACAAACTCTTATTATTCTGATATTTAAGAAAACAAGGAGCTGCTAACACATGTTCGTCGGATTTTGCAAAGGGTGCACATCGCAATGCCGCATGAAGACGAACCGACAAGACAAGCTCCAAAAATCCAATGTCAGTTCTAAGAAAAGTGCATTTCTTATAATAAAAATGGACTTAAAACAACAAAGAATGACAAAAGATTACAATGAATGTTGAGTAGTTTCCTCTTGGATGAAGAAAAGTTATTAGAAAGAGCTATCTCTGATCTCCTTAGATCCAGGAAAGGTGCAATTGTCGTCCCAAAGAAGGTGCCAAAGGATGGTGATCACCTGTCTTAAAAAGAAGCATTCAATCTCCTTGCGTGATTTAATCAGAAGTCACTTTCGATACCATCTCATTGATTGATTAGCCAAACACTGACAATATTTGTGCTTCTGCTCTGATCGTTTCTTCAAACCAACGCAAAGGCTCCAGTGGGAATTTCAATCCTGTCAAAATGCCTTTTCATTTAGAAATCAGCCACGGTCTAATTTGTCGATGCCTAGAGGGGAGGAAAGACTCATCTTAGTAGATTTTTAAACTTTTCAGAGATATTTGGCCTCCTCAAAACTAGTGACCTTCAGACATCCCTTAATATCAGTAATGATGTACTTCTCAGAAAACAATAACTGACCTAGTTTAGAACCATGATCTTACCCAAACTGTGATCACCTATGGAGAGATGTCCAGTTGGAGAACCTGTCTTCTAGGTTCTGGTAACACTTCTACTTGTCTGTCATCTGGCATGTTCACTTTACTTTGGTCAGTCATGTTGATCTCTCAGGACAAAGCTGAAGAGCAATCCAGACATCCGGTTGGTACTCATTTTGTTTCCTATTATGTATTTCTGGTGAAGTTGTGTTTATTATGACCTATTATAGCCCCATTGCTTTCTACTATTGCACCCCAGGCTTGGAAACACCTATGACCACAGTATCACACAAGAGTCCAGATTACAAGCAAACAATTTATTGTAAAATCACATTTAAACGGCATAGCAAATCAGGAGTAAGGAAGATATATAATCCAGAAAGGGGTTAGCAAAAGATGACAATCAAACAGTAATCCCAATGACTCATGTAGATCCAAAAGTAACCCAGTCCAGGAATAGCCGAGAAATCAAAGTACAGCATAAGTCCACAAGCAAAAGGTATACTTAGTAAAACTTGAGCAGGAATACCAAAACGGGGACATGGAAAACTTCCACGATACTTAAATCCAAATCCGAGACTTGACTTGAAACAAGAACTGGAGAACTCAGGCCTAGCTTCTCACTCGAGCGCTACATTGCTTTAACTAGCCCTTAGGTAAGCAACTTGCAAATTAATAGACACCCATGAAGTCATTTCTATAGCCATTAATTTTCTCCCAAAGTTTCCCTCGTAAGCGGTCAGTCAAGTGCTGTCTGTTTTCCGCTCTAATCTTAAACAGAGACCTTTATTGAACTCCGTAGCTCCAGGTGTTTTTCCCTGGGAGCCTTCTGTATCACTTTGCCCGACTCCTTATCTAACGTTGCAGTTTCTGGCACCTCTGCCTGACCTTGAAACCCTGCACTTTGTGAGTCAGGTTTTTTCCAGAGAGAACAAACATTTCTCTCACTGGAATCTTGGTCACTTTGTGCCCACGAAGACCTACAGGCAATCCCACAAACCCCTCCAAATCATCAGTGAACCCATCATCCTCAGGCTGTACAACAGAATCTACATTACCCAATGCTTTCAAAAAAGGAATTATCTGAGGATCATATCCATCAACCAATAACTCTCTAACTTTGATTCTCCAGGTATTAACATCCAATAACAAATGAAAGTAAGATCCCCTGTAACCACAGAATTCATATTCATGGTTTGACTTACTCAGACCTGAAATCTTTGATATGATTCCCTTGGAAGTTAACAAAAAGTTGTGTTGGAGGACCTACCAAAATCCTGGAGAAGATCCCTCTATAGGACTCTCTAGGTCCTCCTATGTGATGCCATGTTATGTTCAGACCAGAATATTGATAATTTAATGATGAACGGCCATAGCGGTGATTTAGAATCATAGAAGCATGGAGTTGGAAGAGACCACAAAGGCCTCCCAATCCAACCCCCATAATTGTGGCCTTATTGTAATGAGAAGAGAGAATTGTTGAGTGGTCATGGTTGAGTGGTCATCATTGTGGGAGCTGATGATTTCAGTAAAGGTGATACCATCTTTGGTTATGGAAGGTATTGAGGAGAGGATCCCTTTCCTGTCCTCGTTTCCCTCCTACACTTGTTTTAGTATAGTTCCGCATTTTGTGCTTCCTCGTTCCCTCCTCTTTCATCCCGCGCAGCTCTCCTACGTCGATTCAGAAGGCAACCCTATCGGCGTGGTGCAGATGACCTTCCTGAGGCTCTTGACTGCTTCAGCCCACCAGAACATTACCTACAACTGCTACCAGTCCGTGGCGTGGCACGACGACGCCACCGGCAACTACGACAAGGCCATCCGCTTCCTGGGCTCCAATGACGAAGAGATGTCCTACGACAACAACCCTTTCATCAGGGCGGTCCTTGACGGTTGTGCAGTGAGTGTTTGGGCCAAATCTCAACCCCCTTTGAAGAGTCTATAAGCATGAGGGCCATAGTGCTTGGCCGCTGTGACGGTCTGGATGAGGGCGAACAAATTGAAATTGAATCCAGACAAGACAGAGGTACTCCTTTGTCGTGTCAGGAGCGACTTGAGAAACTGCAAGTCGCTTCTGGTGTGAGAGAATTGGCCGTCTGCAAGGGCATTACCCAGGGGATGCCTGAATGAATTGATGTTTTTATCATCCTTGTGGGAGGCTTCTCTCAAGGCCGAACAGGGCACAGGGTTACAGCCTGTGTTGGATGGGGTTACATTCCCCCTGAAGATGCAGGTTCGCAGCTTGGGTGTGATCTTGGACTCGTCGCTGAGCCTGGAACCCCAGGTTTCAGTGGTGACCAGGGGAGCATTCGCACACTTAAAGCTTGTGCGCCAGTTGCGCCCGGTCCTTGGGAAGTCTGGCTTAGCCACGGTAGTCCACGCTCTGGTTACATCCCGTATAGACTACTGCAACGCTCTCTATGTGGGGTTGCCTTTGAAGACTGCTTGGAAGCTTGTCCAATGCTTGGCAGCCAGGATACTAACAGGAGTGGCACTCAGGGAGCACACGACTCCCTTGTTGCGCCAGTTCCACTGGCTACCAGTCTGCTACCGGGCACAATTCAAAGTGCTGGCATTGGCCTATAAAGCCCTAAACGGTTCTGGCCCAACTTACCTGTCCGAACGCATCTCCTCCTATGAACCAGTTAGGACATTAAGATCATCTGGGGAGGCCCTGCTCTCGGTCCCGCCTGCATCACAAGTACGTCTGGCGGGGACGAGAGACAGGGCCTTCTCAGTGGTGGCTCCTCGGCTGTGGAATGCCCTCCTACAGAAATTAGATTGACCCCCTCCCTGTTGGCATTTCGGAGGAAAGTGAAGATTTGGTTGTTTGAATAGGCAGTGTAATGAACATAGGAATACGGAACAACAGATGATGAGATTGGATCATGATTTTACTTGAGACGTTAATGAGATGTTATGTTGATGTTTAACTGTTTATTATGTTGTTTAATTGTTTTTTAACTGCTTTTATATGTCAAGCATTGAATTTTTGCTATTGTTAGCCGCTTTGAGTCGCCCGAGGGCTGAGAAAAGCGTTATATAAATGAAGTAAATATTTTTTTTTGTCATGTCAGGAGTGACTTGAGAAACTGCAAGTCGCTTCTGGTGTGAGAGAATTGGCCGTCTGCAAGGACGTTACCCAGGGGACGCCTGGATGAATTGATGTTTTTATCATCCTTGTGGGAGGCTTCTCTCATGTCCGGTTGCCCAAAGGCCTGGTCCCACAACCACGTCTTTACCTTCCTCCTGAAGGTGAGGAGGGATGTTGATGCCCTAATTTCCCCCGGGAGTGAGTTCCACAGGTGAGGGGCCACCACTGAGAAGGCCCTGCTCCTCGTCCCCACCAGCCTCACTTGTGATAGCGGTGGGGTCGAGAGCAGGGCCTCCCCAGATGATCTCAGATTCCGGGGTGGGACGTAGAGGGAGATACGTTCGGACAGATACGCTGGACCGGAACCGTAAAGGGTTTTGTAGGTCAAAACCAGCACCTTGAATTGTGCTCGGGAAGTGAACCGGCAGCCAGTGGAGCTGACACAACGGGGGGTGGTGTGCTCCCTGTATGTCGCCCCGGTGAGCAGTCTGGCTGCTGCTCGCTGGACTAATTGAAGTTTCCGAACAGTCTTCAAGGGCAACCTCACGTAGAGTGTGTTGCAGTAGTCTAAACGGGATGTAACAAGAGCGTGGACCACTGTGGCCAGATCAGACTTCCCGAGGTATGGGCGCACTGTATACCAGTGCCAATGATCTCCTTAGATTTCCCCATGGAAGTGGAAATGGGTCAAGTTCTCTATCTTTCAGGCTAGGTTTGTTAAGTCAGTGTCTATGGTGAAGCTGAGTTCTCCTGTCTCTTCTGACATTCAGCATTTCTTTCCCACTCTCCAGGCAAGGAAGGGCTACCAGAAGACCGTGTTAGAGATCAACACCCCGAAAGTGGAGCAAATCCCCATTGTGGACATCATGTTCAATGACTTTGGAGAAGCGTCGCAGAAGTTCGGGTTCGAGGTGGGACCGGCTTGCTTCATGGGCTAAGGACGGCCCCACGGGAAACAACGTCTTCCAAAATGAGCAACCTCGTAACCTCATTGTGCCTTCTCATTTTTAAAAAAATGGTCACCGTCACGTGCACGTTTTGAAACTGGACAGTTTTGATGGGTTTATTGTCTTCTTTGTTTCTCTTTTGTTTTGCCGGAGGCCTGACTCTGCCTGGGAATAAGCCAAAGCCTCTGACCGAAGATGGAAACCGTTCCCCAGAGCAGACCGTTCCCGTCTCAGAATCACATGACCTAAAATTATAATCTATTTCCAAAAACCAGCCTCTTCCTCTGACGTATCCTTTCTCTTTCTGCGCATCTTCTTGGAGACCACTGAAGGCCTCGGCTTCCTGTCTTTGAATGTATGGCTCTTCGTCGCCATCGGAAACACTTTGGCCACGAAACGTTGGTCACTTTCAACAGCCTCGACTTTCTGCAAAGTTCCACCAACACCATAGGAAAACAGCATGATCCGGTTCCTATTTCTTGAAGACTCTCAAGGACATCGCTAGATAGGATTTTACATCTTCCCTGGGGTTTCAATCAGAACCCATGCAGAATACCCCCTAAACGTGTCATTAAAATCAAAGGCTCAGGTCCCAAAAGTAGCAACTCGTACCAAATACACTTCCTTTTTTGACAAAACGAAACAAAAATAATATTGCCAGGTTCTGACTGTATACCCCATATGATAAAGGTGCTTCTATTTTTGTATTTTGTAAGTAAATATTTGTATATTATTATATTAAATATAAAGTGTTTCCGGGTTCAAAACATGCATGTGTCACGCCCATCTGCCCCATCCGTCATCAAAGGTCCCCCAAACCTCCAAGACTCCTCGAAAACAAATGTTCACTGCAGCCTTATGGGATGCATATTTCCCCAAAATTTAATTTCCTCTGGATTTTAATCAACTTAATGCCCAGTGCCATCCTTTACTCATATTGTTCTTGAAGGATGCAATGAGTCAATTTTAGCCATTTACTCCAAGAAAAAGTCTGAAAACTGCTATTTGCGGCTCAAGGCTTATTCTGTGCAAAATCCACGCAATGCATTCTTTTGTGCGCAGAAAACAGATTTGTGGCTTTTTCTGCACAGAAAACAATATTTTCTCAAAGTAATTTTCACCCGTTATTACTCTCATGAGACAACCTTTGAAAACTATAGTTTGGGAAGACTTCTTCCAGTCCATATTGTCAGTCCACAAAGTTGGATTGCAATGAACGTTACGCCCAGCGCAATCCTTTGCTCGGGTTGTTCTTGAAGGAAGCAACAAGTCAATTTTAGCCATTTACTCTGAGAAAACTATAGTTTGGGAAGACTTCTTTCAATCCACATTGTCAGTCCACAAAGTTGGATTGCAATGAACTAAATACACGCAATGCATTTTTTGTGCGCAGAAAACAGAAACGTGACTTTTTCTGCACAGAAAACAGTATTTTCTCAAAGTAATTTCCATCCGTTATAACTTCCATGAGACAACCTTTGAAAACTGTAGTTTGGGAAGACTTCTTTCAGTCCACATTGTCAGTCCACAAAGTTGGATTGCAATCGTTATGCCCAGTGCAATCCTTCGCTCATGTTGTTCTTGAAGGAAGCAACGATTCCATTTTAGCCATTTACTCCAAAAAAAAAAGTCCGAAAACTGCAGGTTTTGGAGATTATTTGCTGCTCAAGTCTCATTCTGTGCAAAATCCAAGCAATGCATTTTTGTGCGCAGAAAACAGAAATGTGGCTTTTTCTGCACAGAAAACAATATTTTCTCAAAGTAATGTTCACCCGTTATTACTCCCATGAGACAACCTTTGAAAACTATAGTTTGGGACTTCTTTCAGTCCACAAAGTTGGATTGCAATCAACTTTACGCCCAGTGCAATCCTTTGCTCGTGTTGTTCTTGAAGGAAGCAACGAGTCCATTTTAGCAATTCACTCCCAAAAAAAAGTCTGAAAACTGCAGGTTTTGGATGCTATTTGCTGCTCAAGTCTAATTCTGTGCAAAATCCACTCAATGCATTTTTTGTGCGCAGAAAACAGATATGTGGCTTTTTCTGCACAGAAAACAATATTTTCTCAAAGTAATTTTCACCCGTTATTACTCCCATGAGACAACCTTTGAAAATGTAGTTTGGGAAGGCCTTTTATTTTTCAGTTCACATTGTCATCTTCCTTCCGCAGGTCTTTCCAATCTGCGTTAAAATATACTAAAGCTAGAAAGCATTTAATTGTGTGGATTGGGGCCAACTCAAAGCATATCTCCAGAATCTATTTTTGAAAAACCAAACTAATTCAGAGTCCAGTTGAGGGAGGGAGGATATTGCTGCAAAAGAGACCAGCAATGTGTATTTAGGTGCTGTTATTTTTGGTCATAGCACAGGTTTGAGGTCAGCTCTGTCACTTTTTTTGTTTTTGTTTTCTGCCTTCACTTGATTCCATGTACAGGTTAATTTTTTTTTAATTTCAAGAGAAGCAACCTCCTTTTTTAACCCCACCCCCCAACTTCTATTTCCATCGGAGGACTGTATATGGCAGGGATGTCCATTCTAAATGGATTCTCTTTTTGAAATAATAAATATAAATAAATAAATAAATAAAACCTAGGTGCTTATATTTTTAATGATTCACAGTTCTCTCTGTTGGTGCTATCTATCTGAAGGACAACACTGGTGGATCCCTGTCGTTGACCAGCCTCCAAAACTCTTTCCCTTTCAATCCAGTCGAATGCCTTTCCCAAGATTCTTAATTCCTTGATTCTATTTTGAGTTGCATGCCAATCTGATCCTATTCAGTAGACTCACTGCTTCCTCTTGTTGTTTTATGGTCCCATGAATTGGCCCGTTACATTGTATGTGTGTGCTTTAAAGAGAAGGGAGAGGCGTTTTCCATTTCATCCCTTTGTAACCCATAGAATATTCCTGGATTTATATGACGGTCATTATGGCAGACTTGTATTTGTGGTGCTAATTTATGTGTTTGTTCAACGTACTGGATCAAAGGACCACCGTCTTTACATACATAAGGTGCAATCCCATGAGTCTTTCCCTCAAAGGAAGACTCCTCCTCCATAGTCTGTTTTCCCAGATGGACAGAAAGAGGAGAGCAATGTGCAATCCACTTATAGCTAGGATCCAAGGAAGCATATGCATTTTGTAATGGAAAGGCATCACAACCACTGTGAATCAGAGCCTTCATGTGATGTCCGTTCCCAATGCTTTCTTGGAGATATCTCTCAACTATGAAAGAGATGGTTGCAGATGTTGAGGACCTTTGGTGGCGGTTCTTCCTATTGGAAATTACTAAATCCCACCTGTATTTCTTGACTTTTGCTCATGTCTTGAATAGCAGATGTACTAGGGAAGGCTAGATAACACACCAGACACTCCAAATAGAATGGAGCACTAATTGTGGGTATCCTTGAAGGACGGAGCCACCATCTGTGTTGGAAGTTTCCCTTGTAGCCCAATGCCAGGAGGTGCTAGGGATGGAAATACCAACAATTGAAATAGCTCTCCTTGCGCTCTGGAATTGTAGTTTCCTCTTTAGTGATAAAGGAACCCCTTTCCTTTTCAGATTGCCCTTCAAATCCACTCCGTATTCCTCCATATCAAACGTTCAGGGAACTGTGTTGTCGAAGGCCTTCATGGCTGGAATCACTGGGTTGTTGTGAGTTTTCCGGGCTGTATGGTCTTGTTCCAGAGCCATTTTCTCCTGATGTTTCATCCACATCTATGGCAAGCATCTTCAGAGGTTCTGTTGGGTGGTCCATTAGGTCTGTTGGAAACTTACCTATTTTCTAACAGACCTCACAACCACCGAGGATGCCTGTCATAGATGTGGATGGTCCGTTAGGTCTGTTGAAAACTTGCCTAGTTTCCAACAGACCTCACAACCTCTGAGGATGCCTGTCATAGATGTAGATGGTTCGTTAGGTCTGTTGGAAACTTGACTACTTTCCAACACACCTCACAACATCCGAGGATGCCTGTCATAGGTGTGGATGGTCTGTTAGGTCTGTTGGAAACTTGCCTAGTTTCCAACACACCTCACAACTCTGAGGATGCCTGCCATAGATGTGGATGGTCTGTTAGGTCTGTTGGAACACACCTCACAACATCTGAGGATGCCTACTATAGATGTGGATGGTCTGTTAGGTCTGTTGGAAACATGCCTAGTTTCCAACAGACCTCACAACTTCTGAGGATACTTGTCATAGATGTGGATGGTCCTTTAGGTCTGTTGGAAACTTGCCTAGTTTCCAACACACCTCACAACATCTGAGGATGCCTGCTATAGATGTAGATGGTTTGTTAGGTCTGTTGAAAACATGCCTAGTTTCCAACAGACCTCACAACTTCTGAGGATGCCTGTCATAGATGTAGATGGTTCGTTAGGTCTGTTGGAAACTTGCCTAGTTTCCAACACATCTCACAACCTCTGAGGATGCCTGTCATAGATGTAGATGGTTCATTAGGTCTGTTGGAAACTTGCAGACCTCACAACATCTGAGGATACTTGTCATAGATGTGGATGGTCCTTTAGGTCTGTTGGAAGCTTGCCTAGTTTCCAACACACCTCACAACTTCTGAGGATGCCTGTCATAGATGTGGATGGTCTGTTAGGTCTGTTGGAAACGTGCCTAGCTTCCAACAGACCTCACAACTTCTGAGGATGCCTGTTATATATGTAGGCAAAACATCAGGAGATAATGCTTCTGGAACATGGCCAGACAGGCCAGAAAACTCATAGCAACCTATTCAGGGAAGTCTTGTGAAGAGGAGTTAATATGGGATGGTGGAAACATTGAATTCCAGTGTGAAACTAGCAACAAACTCTATGGGGAGAGCATGGATTGCACTCGTTCTTCTTCCGTTGGTTTCGGGAACTCAGAACATGCCAAAGACTGAACATTTGCCTCTCTGCACGAGGAAGACAGCAATTCATACCTATGGAAGGGGAGACGCCAAAGACACCCTTGCTTAGGTCATGTGATTCTGTTCTGGTTATTTCTTGTTTCCTATTTTGCTTTGTTTGGTGCTTCTGTCAAAAAAGAAAAACTCAACCGATCCTACCAAGTGTTGTAAAAGTTGTACCGAAGTGTTGTTTCCATCTTGTCCCGATTTCCCCCGTCTTCTTCTTCTTCTTCTTCTTCCGGACCACTTAGCGACGGTATATTGCAATAAAAATTACGTATTGTATTTGCAGACCTCTCTTTCTGTGTAATTTTATCCCTCCCCGTTTCCCCCCCTTCTAATAGGACTTGGAGGAGAGAACAAAGGCGGGATGGCAACGTTTCAGAGGAATCAGAATAATCATAACCCCCTCCCCGATGCACACACATGCACACAAACGCGAGTCCCCTCTCCATCCATATTCTCATTGAATGTGTCGGTGTCCCTGTGAGATTTTATTTTATTTTTTTGGAAGAAGGAGAGAAAAAAAGATTAAACCTGTGTAATAAAGGCATAAATGTAATAGATCTTTTTCAATAAATCAAGTTTACCTAACCCGCCGTGATGTGAATGCTTCTTGAACTAGAATGGAGTGTGGTTCCATCTGCCGCCACCCACCGCCTGGTTTCCTTTTTCCTTGGCGGAGCATGAAAGATTCATCAAAATTAGGAGGAACGATCGGTTGAGCAATATGTTCTCGATTGAAGACACGCTCTCTCGCAAGCTGATTCACAACGTCTAAAAGTGACCTATCAAGAAAGTTGGTGGCACCATGGGAATGAAGCCGAGCACCACCAACAGCACCCCTTCTCCCAAAATAAGGGATAGTGACTTCTAGATCTGCAAAGGGCAAGGGCACCAGACTACACAACAAGGATCAAGTCTTGGTCACATTGGAAAAATTTGGTTCTAAACTCGTTTCGTTTTTAGGGGGCCCTTGCGTTTCGTTTTTTTAAAGAATTCCGAAATTTTCCTTTTAAAAATTTCGAAATATACGAAATTTTGTAAATTTCGGATCGATTCGTTAATGGCGGACGCGATTGCGCAATATGCTAAAAAAACCTCCAAATGGGACAGGGGGAACTTCTGAAGCTTCCCTCTCCCTCTGTTGTTGACTGTTGGTGTGATAAAACAAACAACAACTATAAAACTTGCACCAGACATGCGAAAATAATTACGAAATAATTACATAATTACGAAATAATTACGAACTAATTACGAAATAAATTGAAAAAATTGTTTCGAATCTAATTTACTCCTCACAGTATTCCTGCATGGCTCAATATTGGATCGTAAGCTAATTTAAATACGAATTAATAACGAATTATGAAATTAACGAACGAAACCCCCCAAGCCTATTGGTCACATTGCCAAGGCACTAACAACAACAAGGACCCCACGAGACTTTTGGGGAACGGCTGGATCTTGGGACTTCTGCCCTCCATGTGAGTTGTAGTTTCCCAAGGACCAGCTTCAATCCCAGTGTGGCAGAATTCCACCCAATGGCTCAGTGGGAAATCAACAGACTTTCCTTTTGGGGCTTAAAGAGCTCTGCCTAATGTTTTGGACTCACAAGAACATCTTTCCCGCTCATGAACTTCCCTCAAAATGAACTATGGCAGTGTTTCTCAACCTGGGGGTCGGGACCCCTGGAGGGGTCGCGAGGGGGTATCAGAGGGGTCACCAAAGACCACCAAACCCTTCCAGTATTTTCTGTTGGTCATCGGAGTTCTGTGAGCCAAGTTTGATTCAATTCCATCGTCGGTGGAGTTCAGAGTGCTCTTTGATTGTAGGTGAACTATAAATCCCAGCAACTACAACTCCCAAATGTCAAGGTCTATTTTCCCCAAACTCCATCAGTGTTCACATTTGGGCATATTGAGAATTTGTGCCAAATTTGGTCCAGATCCATCATTGTTTGAGTCCACCGTGCTCTCTGGATGTAGGTGAACTACAACTCCCAAACTTAAGATCAATGCTCACCAAACCCTTCCAGTATTTTCTGTTGGCATGGGAGCTCTGTGAGCCAAGTTTGATTCAATTCCATCATTGGTGGAGTTCAGAATGCTCTTTGACTGTAAGTGAACTATAAATCCCAGCAACTACAACTCCCACAGGACAAAATCAATTCCCTCCCAAGCCCACCAATATTCAAATTTGGGTGTATTGGGTATTTGTGCCAAATTTGGTCCAGTGTATGAAAATACATTCTGCATATCAGATATTTACATTACTATTCATAACAGCAGCAAAATGACAGTTATGAAGTAGCAACAAAACTAATTTTATGGATGGAGAAGGGGTGATTGATATGAATTTCTAATAATATTATAATAATATAATATAATATAATATAATATAATATAGTTGTTGTTTGTTTTATCACACCAACAGTCAACAACAGAGGGAGAGGGAAGCTTCAGAAGTTCCCCCTGTCCCATTTGGAGGTTTTTTTTAGCATATTGCGCAATCGCGTCCGCCATTAACGAATCGATTCGTAATTTATGAAATTTCGGAAATTTCGAAATTTTGAAATCTTAAATTTCGGAAGTCCTCAGAATTTAGAAACGCTAGCGCACCCTAGAAACGAAACGAGTTTAGAACCAATTTTTTTCTTGATCGCCCAAGCCTAATGAGCCAACAATGTGATGCGGCGGCTAAAAAAGCCAATGGGATTTTGGCCTGCATGAATAGGAGCAGATCTAGGGAAGTCATGCTCCCCATGCTCTATTCCGCCTTGGTTAGACCACACCTGGAATATTGTGTCCAATTCTGGGCACCACAATTGAAGGGAGATGTTGACAAGCTGGAATGTGTCCAGAGGAGGGCGACTAAAATGATCAAGGGTCTGGAGAACAAGCCCTATGAAGAGCGGCTTAGAGCTGAGCATGTTTAGCCTGCAGAAGAGAAGGCTGAGAGGAGACATGATGTATAAATATGTGAGAGGAAGCCACAGGGAGGAGGAGGGAGCAAGCTTGTTTTCTGCTGTCCTGGAGACTAGGATGTAATGGAGCACTGAGGACTCAAACAATGATGGATCTGGACCAAACTTGGCACGGGTACTCAATATGCCCAAATGTGAACAGTGGTGGAATTTGGGGGAAATAGTGCTTGATATTTGGGAGTTGTAGTTGCTGGGATTTATAGTTCACCTACAATCAAAGAGAATTCCGAACTCCACCAATGATGGAATTGAACCAAATATGGCACACAGAACTCCCACGACGAACAGAAAATATATATCAGTGATTGGTTTGGGGGGGGGGGCGCCAAAATACTGTTTGCTTACCATTGAAAATTACCTAGGGCCACCTCTGCGTGTCCCCCATTCTGTATCTTTGCATTACCAGAGTGACTGGTTTTCTTGAACAACCATGCTCAAGTGAAGGCTGCGGAAATGGAAACAAGCACATTGGGATGTTCATTCATATCCACAGTGGCAGGAATCCTCAGAGGTTGTGAGGTCTGTTGGAGTTGCTTCAAAAGATGGGAGAAGTGTGTGCCTTGAGTTGGCACCCATGGAGAGGAGGACTCACAACTGGGCCAAGTTGTGATGTTCTTAGTCCACAGGAAGTGGGTCAGGGCACATCATTAATCAACACCCCTCATACCTTTCCCAAGATGGTTCTGTCTGGGTTGTTGTAGGTTTTTCGGGCTATATGGCCATGGTCTAGAGACATTCTCTCCTGACGTTTTGCCTGCATCTATGGCAAGCATCCTCAGAGGTAGTGAGGTTCTGTCTGTTGATGGTTCTTCCTTATTGCTTTCTAGGTCCCTTCCTGAAGTCAATAGGAACTTTAGGAGGGTCGACTCCAAGGGGAGAGGACCCTTAGTTCCCACCAAAGAGGGAACGCTACTTTGGCGAGCCTTCAGAGAAGCCTGATTCCAGCAATTTTATTAATATTAAAAATTGAAATGAGACTCTTGCCAAAGCGAAGAAGAGGCATCGAGGTTTAATGAGCGATTCAGCTGAAGCGGATGCAATTGTAGTGATAGCTCACATACAAGCATACCAGTACATTGATAAGAAGCATATTTATAGCAAAATACAGGTTTGAAAGTTTCAAAACTCCCCTTCGCTTCGGCTTCTTAGCAAATCATGTCAAAAATTGGCATTGAATGTTTGCCATATATGTGTACACTGATGAAAAGAAGCAAGGGAGCGGAGGGATGATTTATTGTTGCCACCAATTTGAAAGGAACCAGTATTCAGGAGATTTTACCCCAGTTCCCAATTTTAAAAAGAACTGGCCGATTTGCAATGGAGGTTGCCGATTAGGAACCAAATTTACCATCAAGTTGGAAGGGAGGCTGTTCAATTGCACCTCCTCCTTTATTAAGAAAGTAATAACTTAGTAGTAATTACACTGTATATACTGTAGCGTGACTGGAGATAAGAATGTAGATTTATTTGGTTACTCTTCCCTGCGTTTCTGCCACCACGTGAGGTAAGTTGTAATATTGTGAGAAATGGCACTTTGTACACAGAATAGACGGAGCTGAGGCAATCTACAAATAAAATTTAACAATTTTATTAAGTATACAGCGTGTGGTTGCAAGACGTAACTTTTCCTTGTTGCACTTGGAATAATACTTGTAACTTTAACAGTTCATTCTTTCAAGTAACACAGTATCTTTCTGACGTAGAGCACTTGTTTCAGACAAAGTTTCAATACAGGGATGTTCCCCTTATTTGATCCTCCCTAGATCAAATACTAAGTAAACTATTATTTAGCCTGTCCTTAGACTAAAAGAATACCAGCTATGTTTCACCATTCGGCTGCACTAGCCTGAGAAACTTCCAATAGCCAAACCCAGCTTTTCAAAGCCTCAATGCTTTGCTTCACAAGTCACTCCGCCACCTTTCCTTTCCTTCTCTCCCAACTCCTAACTCCTGACTCCTCTGAACCTAAACCCGGACTGCTCACTCCTCTAAACCTAAACCCTAACTGATTTTTAACTGTCGTTTTTTCAAACTCTCCCCTCTAAGCTCCTCCCACTTCCCTCTCTCCTGCATCGGTCTCCATGGCAACGCACATGGAGGACTCCTCTGACTTAGGCCGCTCCAGCATTACTGCAGCCAATCTAAACACAAATACAGTTAAAATCATACAATTTATAATCAACTCCTGTACAATGACATTCCACTGTCCTGGATTTCCTGTGCCCGAGGGATCAGCCAGCCAAGGAAACTAGTTTTTTTTTGTTCTTGTGATGGATCAGTGATTAGGGATAATCATTTGATTCAGGTTTTCCCCTTCCAGGATCAGATAAGGTAAAAGGTGAGGCTGGGAAGGATGTTTGTTGTGAAGGAAAACTTGGCAGAGGAAATCACAGTCTGATGACCCCCTCCTAAAGTCAAATAGTAACTCCAGGTCCCATTGTTCAGATGTGAGTTCTAAGTAAATAGGTGTTTTTGTGATTCCTGATTGCCTTTTCAGCCCAGCGGGCTGCTTCCTGATCAGCCTCCCAAAGGGCAAAAGAGTTCATGTGAAGGAAATACATCGAAGGAAAGTATATAGAAATTGTAGGAAATTCTAGGCCTGGATAACAAC